ATCAATATTTGATCTAGGAAATCATTTAGCTCGCGGCTTTGGCCCCTGGAGTTGATTCAGGAGCTCATTTTGTTGCCCTGGTTTAACGGAGGGGCTCTTTGCACCACCCGTATTTTTACTACACAGATCAAAGATCACGCTCAAGCGTTTTATTAGAATATCCAATCCATGAAAACCCCCCATCACCTTAGGACATGAGCTGAAAGAGTCGTGGCCGCCCCCGTTGAGGGGGATAATGTCTAGTGCCATTGACTTTTCTCGTAATACAAGCCTCTTCCTCGACGGCATGTCAAAGCTTAGCTCGGACGTAATCGGACATCTGTCAATAGGAGGACGAAGCTCCCGCTACAGATGACTGTCCCAGTTTGATATGAGGGGAGGAACGGGAGCTCGGGAGCTCGGGGGGGGGCCTTCGTTTCCGGGGCCATTTCTCACATGAAGAAGACAGTCGGTAGTTTTATCCCCGGCTCCACTTGTTTGCAGGTTGATGTGTCCTTGGGCAGGAGACACAAATAGCTCTGGTAGCTGCGACTGTGCGCCGTGTGAATGCTGGGTGCTGAGGAGCAGGCGTCGCTGATGTAGTGGCTCCTGTCATGAACGTCAGCGTATTAATGGGCGTGAATGGGTGAGTGACAAGATAAAGAGGTATACTCCAGTACAGTGCATTTTAACAGGAAATGTCTCATGTCCAAGGGGACGTCAGGGAGGAAGAAGTTGCTTTGAATTGCGCGTCTCGGCGGCTGCTTACCGGGATGAGGTTTTTGGGTCCACGGCCAATAGTGTGAACCAAAAAGAGACAACGTCTTCAGCCAGTGGGCGACGTGGCGACGTGAATAAACCAACCGGCTTTGGTATCGGAGGAGCACTGTTCCCTTTGTTCCCTTCAGTGTTTCCTTCCCCCGCTGGGTCCAAACCTTGTGAAGATCATTTGTTGTGATGAGGCCGTGGTGGGTTCAGGAGGAACCTCCAGCGCCCCTCCCCCCCTGCCTCCCTCCCCCCCTCCCTCCCTCCCGATACGCCTCAATGCGGAGTGCACGAGCGCGCAGACGCCTGTCGCCGCCGTCCCGGCGTTTATTTCCCTGTAACATCCGTAACCAGGGGGGCGGGGCTGCAGTTCAGCCTCGACACCGTTCTCGTGACCCCGGACAGAAACTTTAGACAGCGGCCACGTCTTTCTTCTCCCCGCCCCCGCCGAGCACCTGCCGCTGCTTTGACGTGACCGAACACATCGCCGTCGCGCTCGGCAGAATATTCCGACGCGGCTGCAGATGCAGAAGCAGCAGGTGCTCGGTTTTTTTTTTTTTTTTTTGCTCCATGTTGAGACAGTCTCAGTTTGAAAGATGTCTGCAAGCACACGATTAAATGGTGGTATATTTCACGAACCTTCCAAAGAGAATTAGCTCACTACTTGTAAAAGCTTGTTAAATATAACCGTGGAGTCTGCAGGGGCTCTTCTGCCACAGTCGGGTGTGAAGAGAAGGTGTGACGTTGCTCCTGCAGGGACAGAATGCGACAGAAAGCATCAGTCATTAATGAAGATGAAAAATAATTTGGAACAATGAAAGAAAACGTTACAAACCAACAGTCTTGTTTCTGTTTTGAGTTTTGTGCCGGTTGGTTGTGTTTATATTAATACTGTGTAAGCAGGGTTTTAGTATGTATGCACGCCGCTCCATAGGCTTATTTCAACGGGGAGCGAAAAGCAGCCTGCGGTGGATATAAAATCCTTCCACAAGTAAAGAAATGTCGTCTTTGCGTTTCCTCGCTGAGTGACAGTGACTCAAAAAGCTCATTGTTTTAACACCCACCTGACAGGGATCCAATGACACCCAACCCCCAAACCTCCGCTGTAAACCCGCTGCCCTGACGTACTGTCTGAGGGGAAACATCTGAAGCCAGCCTCTAAAAATGCTGCAGCTCCGGAACTCAAACCGAAGTCTGTGAGCTGTGCTGAGCGAGCGCTCTTTGATGTGTGCGCTGGGTTCCCAACCTTTTAAGGTTTACCGTTAATCAATTTGGGCAGCCTCATTGTTCACTCCGAGGTCGGGCCTGGTGATGCGGCATGCACTCCATTCAGCTGCCGGGGGTAATCGCCGCGCCGCCCGCTGATGGTCTCTGCATTAACGCCCAGAGAAGCTGGGTGGAGACGGAGACAGCGCAGCATCTTTGCCCATTCTCCGTTTTGTTAGTCAGTTCCAGCGGTTGGGTAAAGTAAAAGCGGGCATATTCGGAGACTCTTCTGTCTATCAGCATCGATCGGTGTGCTGAAGCAGTCAGAGGTGAAGGCTGTGTTAATGAAGTCTGGCTATTGATTGGACGGTGGGGCTTGCTGGTGGTGTTGGGAATTTGAGCGTCGCTTGGAAGCAGGGTAATCAGGATAATCAGGCGTGATGCACATGGCCCGCGAGCTTCCTATGCAGGGAAATCATGATGTATCACACGCTTTTCTTTGCAGGAGGAGGCATGCGCATACACATTGCAGCTTCCCACACACACACACACACTACAAACCCGGGCCGGTAAATCCCGCCGCCCAGACTCTCTTCAAAATGATGATGAGAACGTTCGTTGCGTAATTACACCCAAAAAAAAAAAAAAGAAATGACTTTGCTGCCAAAATATGTGCCACTCGGTTATGGAGATTTAGACAGAGAATTGGATTTCCCCAGCTGTAAAATCAGTTGTTGTCGCCCCCCTGGCCAAGCGCACCGCTTGACTCCTCATCCTGCTGCGTGTGGATTCCCATTATGCAGCCTGGTGCTGTAAGCTCTCCCCGACGTCTCGCCCACCTCTCCACGCTGAGCTGCTGGGACAGAGACACGTGAATGAATCGGGTACCTCAGTAGTGGATCTACGAATGTCACACTCCAAAAGCCCCCATCGATTCCTCCCGAGTGGAATCCGAGTGGCCTCCATTGGAGGGTCTCTCACTCCGAGTCCGAGTTTTTTGATGCAACCTTTGCAATCCATGAGCAAAGGCAGTCAGTCCTCTTCCTTTCGCGGGACGTTTTTCATTGCTAAGCGAGGACTTTCAAGTAAAGAGCTCATCAAGGGTTCAGCCGGGGGTTAAAAGCCGTGATATTTGACCCCCATTGTTTTGATCAGCCTGCCGCAAACCTTCCAAACACCGTCTTAGGGGTGTCCCTCGGTGAAGGACGGTGGTAATGGAACTTCTTAAAATGCTGCAGAGGCCAAACAAAATCCACTCTGATCCTATTAGAAAGAAATCAGATCCATTTTAAATCCCTTCCAAGGAAAACGTCGTTAATGAGATAAAGAGGGCGGAGCCGTGGGGAAGCAGCCGTGGTTGTGCTTCCGACTGAAAGGTTTGGTGTTTTTGTAACACAGTGTAAGAACCCTTTACGTGAGCTGCAGTTTGGCCGTTAAAGCCACGCGTTGTCTCTCGTGTTGTCCCTCTGGACAGACGGCTGGTCGGAGGATTTTATCCGTTTTCCAAGAGCTTTTTTCTGCTGCGCACCTCACAGCAGGGTGGAAGAAGCTACAGGACCCGAAAATATACACAAATGCCCAATTTATCCGAATTTCGACAAGCTGGTTCTCATTATTTTGTCATGTTTTGTTTTCTGGCACGGGAGATACAGATGTATTGCAGGGCTTTGAAGAAGACAGCACAATATGTCTTAATACCTCGCTGCAGCCGCGTGCTGCTGCAGTCTGTGCATCAACGTGCAACCGTCGGGTTCCGTTTTTCTACCCCCAGAACGGCCTCCGCATTATGTTCAGAAACCTGTTACCTGCGTGAAGACGTGGTGTGATTCAATTGACATTTGACCCTTGTTAGACTGGCCACGTATCGAGAACCGGTTGCCATCGCAACAGGTACCAAGAATTGTCTCTGGTGCTTTTGAGGCGTTTAAATAACCACGGTCCAGCTAGACCGAGAAGGAGCTGAACACGGATGTTCTTGTCCTTCCAAAACATGTATTCAACTATGATGAAGTCGGACGAGACGCAGCCGGCGGCTTCGGGTTTTCATATCCCACATCTGCGCGCTATCACAGTAACAAACAATAACCATTTTCCAGCAATGAACAAGACTTTTACGCCCATAATGTGGCTTCAACAAATAGTCGTGTTTTCCAAGGGGCCAAATGTAGTTCCCAGCCTCCTCTCGTTAGGCTTCCTTGTGCTGGCGTAGTCCATGAGACAGGAAACGTCTCAGTCCGTCACGCATATTCACACCGCGCCTCCGTAAAACACTTTGAATAATCCACTTCCTGCCGGTGAGGTTTGGTAGAGACGTTGAGCATCAGCGTGTGTGTGTGTGTGTGTGTGTGTGTGTGTGTGTGTGCATATTATAGGGGCGGACAGCTTTCTGTCGGTGCACCGGTGAAAGCCGCAGCACAAGCACGGGGGCGCGTTTCATTAGTCTGTCAGACTCGATGATATTTAGAACCTCAGACCCTCGGCCACGACTGGAAAACTCAATCAGGGCTCTGATTTCATAACCCCGCTCGCTGACAGGGCTTATTTTATCGCGCCAATGATTCATTCCAAGAAACGCTCTGCCCAGCGTCCCCCCCCCCCGGCCCCCCAACACGTCCTCCATGGGTCGACCTGAATGGAGGAAAGGGGGGGGGGCAATAAATCTGATTTGTAGGAACTAGTGCAGATATTCCTTGCCGGGTGTGGGTGTGGTTAGCGAGATTAAACCCCCCCCCCCCCTGCACCCGGTAGCACAAATCAGGCGCCTGGACAGCGTTGATCTGTGGGGGGCCGCTGGGCCCATTGATTGCAGACGGGGGAGGGGGAGGGGGGGCCCATAAATAATGGGAGGCGGAGCGCGGAGGGTGAAGGTAAACAATTATCCGCTGAGGTGGACGGCGCACGACGTGAAGAATGATAAACACTGTGAAATATGATCGACTCCAGGTGATGTGTGGGAGCCCAAGGACAGGCGGAGGGCTGGGTGCGCGTGGAGATTTCCTCGCGGCGGCCTAAACGTGAACGTGTCTCTCTCTGTCTCTATCTCTCCGCAGACGACCGATGACATCGTTTCGTCCGCCGAGTGCTCCAGCGACGACGAGGACCTGGAGGAGTGCGACTCGGGACATGCAGGTGGGACGGGTGTGTCGAGTTGTGCTTGCTCTGAACCTGGTCTATTTCTCCTTACCTCCTTTGAGTTGCTACCGAGGAGCCCCTCCTCTTAGCATCATGTCCCATGGGAGCTCCAAGTGTAACTTCTAAAAGCCAGAAGACCAGTAGCCACTGGGAGCCTACCGTCAGATCGACACTGGTAGACTCTCAGCGTACATCTTAAGTCTAAAGAAGTCCTTGGCCATTGATTGTCCTCCCCAGGCTCTCAGTAGAAGGTTAACTGTAAATGCACACATCGTCTAGCCAGCTACTGCGGTCCGAGCCCCCCGCCCTTCCGCCCCTACAACAAGTTACACTTAGCTATGGGAACACTGGTTGCGGACATGACGAAGCCTTGATACTAATTTGGTTCTCTCAGCATTCGAGAGCAAAACTTTAATCAACAAAGTACAAAATTAGTATCAAGCCCCCATGTCGCCCACGCTGATGCTTCAAAATGTATCTGTCCTGTGCTGGTGGGTTTCCTCTTGCTGTGCGTGTGTGTGCGTCTCTCTTGACAGAGGATACATTTTGAGATTCTTTCGAGAACAAAGATGCTTTCAGCAAAGATACTGTGATATGTAGCAGACTAACTGCAAGCAAGCCTCTTCCTCCCCCCTCCTCCTCCTCCTCCTCCTCCCCCTCCTCCTCTGTACTTCTGTTCCCCTGGTCGGAGGCTTGCCTTACCTGAAACATTCTAATAGAGAACAGATATCCTCAAACCTCTGTGTGCATCGTTTCTCTTCCCTTCTCCCTCACACACACACGCACACACACACACACACACACACACACACACACACACACACAGGCACACATCACTTTGTGATTAAAGTTATCACAGTGATGAGACGCCCACTCAGCAGAGTTTGAAAATAAAATCACAGCTGGTAATATAACCGCAGATTTTAAATGATTGGTTATTTTGAGGCGTCTAGTAACTTGAACAACGACACGTGGACCCCGATGGGACCCCGATGGGACCCCAGGAGAGTCTTATCCACTCTCATTAATCTGCTAATAAAAGGCCTTTGTTATCTCTGCTCGGAAAACAGATTTATTTTTCCGGGAAATTAGAAATGAGTCTTGCTTCTTAAAATGTAGCCACATTTAGGCTTTTATTATGAAGAGAAAGTCATTTTCACAGCACTCAGGTTCTTTATCTCTAAGCGCGAGTCGCTCTCTTTCTACGGAGATTATTGATACTGAACGGACACGTTCCTGCAGCTATTTTTCATTCCTGACACTTTTAAAGCCTCCAACCCGCATATTGTCAACGTGGAGGCGCAGAGTGAGAAGTTTCTGCTGAAGAGAACACGGTACCCTCTCCTCATCCAGTGGCGACATAGGAAGCCACGCACACTCATACATGATGTACATTTCACCCTGTTGACACAGACATTCACGTCCTCATTCCTCGTCCCCCTGCTTCTACTCGTGTGAGCAGCTGCACGACGTGATCTTGGTTTGTTTTTGTCCTGCGATGCACACACGCACATCTCCCCCCGTATCGGTTTGGGCCGCGACGCTGCGACGTCGGTGCTTTGTGTTTTTGCTTTGCCTTTACTTACGGGCCGGGGGGGAGGAGGGGGGGTGGAGGGGGTCGATTGGGGTGGTTTTCTTTTCTCTCGTGTTGTTGTGGTGTTTTTTTCTTTTGGTCTCCTCCTCCTCATCATCCGCCGTCCATCCTCCAAGCCGAACATCACGCCAACCCCCCCGTTTCCGCCCTCATCTCGTGCCGCATGAACTTTTGGTGGTCGGAAAATACAAAGTCGCCCCCCCCCCCCCCCCCCCCCTCACTCACTCACCCTTCTTTCTCTTAGCCTTTCTGCATATACATGTCTGTTTGAATGCAGATGGCATAAAAGCGCACTTTTATTGCCACAAAGTATATCTGTTTTTCTATTCTATCTGTTGCTCTGAGTAGAAGGCGTTTGTGGCATGCACACTGTACCGGGCTGCACCGCGGCCCTACTTCTGCCCCCCCACCCCCCCTCCTCCCCCCGCTTCTGCATGGATATGACAGGCATCCATTTTGTGTACTGCTTCCACTCCACCCATAAGCCTCGGGCCGACCCCCCAGCTGGCTGCTAACACGCGTCAGTGTGTGTGCGCGTCTCCCGGGGGGCTGCGGAGGCCTCCGCCGGCCCCCCCGGGAGGCGCGTTGTGACGGCGGGCGGACCGCTCGTCTCCGTCTGCCGTGCGTGGTCGTCCCGTGGTTGTTTTTGTCTGACAAAAAGTGATGAACCTCACCTTCCCCCCTTAATCCCGCGGGAGTTCCACAAGAGGGCGAGTAGGGAGGGTGCTGTGAGGTCCCCGAACACGCCGACGCCGCTCGCCCACGTGCAGGAGAGCACGACGGGCACCAACCGCCGTTCGCCGCAAACAGCGTCTCAGTTAATCGTTTCATTTCACAGCGATTAACAGAGTGGCAGTTTATGATTCCCGTGTAATTGGAGCAATTCTTTAAATTAATATGGAATTAGATTTTATTAATTGATGCAAATTATTTTCCAAATCCAAAGTGTTTATGATGATTAATAATGATTCAGCGGCTACGACATGATGATGATGATGATGATGAAGATCACTCACACGAACTACGACAAGCAGCAAGGAAAAGGTTGAAGCGGCGGCGTTGCTGCTCTCACTCTCGTGTCTTTCCCAACTCGTCACAGAAGGATGTGGTTCCGGTCCCACTCGTGCGTAGGGAATGTTCACACTTTGCGTGGACGCACAATATGTTGTTCCCGTCCGAACAAACCACACAACAGAGATCCTCCTCCCACACATCTCTACAAACACGGTAACAGGTGCCCTCTGTGAAGGTCAGATCGATTTTATTAAATAAAAGGGCCCTAATTGGTGCGGCACCTTTACCCGAGCACCTTTTGATGCAGTGGAGCAGATCTCTCCTCATCTGTGTAACGTGAAGAGTAAAGAGTCTGTGGATCAAACGAACGATCGGCATGATGTAAGGCTGCAGAATCAAGCACGATGGGGACGGATCACCGGGTCCCTTTGTGCCGTCCGTCGTGGCTTCTGTCGAGCGCATTCGGCTGGCTGTCACTTCAACGCAGGCCTCAGATCAGTTTAAAGGTTATTAAAGGCTGACATGTGTCCGCCTAGTGGGGAGGTCACAGCCCAACAGCTGTAAAGCCAACCGAGCGGCGGACGGGGGCGCGTCGCCAGTTTAATACGGCAGGACGCATCCATCCACATGGCGACAGATTAAGAAGTATACCTGCCACGTGGGAGACGGTTACCGCAGGGCTCACCTCGCCATCGAACTCATATTACGGGGTACATGTTTCTAGGAAGCTAGAGGGCGCCGATATAATCCCCGGCAGGCCCCTTTGAGTGTGTCCACACTGGGAATCGGCGTTTTGTGCAGTGAGCAGGTCTCCACCCGTGATGAATCTGCGGCAGCAGGTGTCCGGGGCACAATGCGCGGCGCCACAATGACAGTTCGGGGCCCCGAACCACTGACTCGCCCACAATCTGCAGCTTTGAAACCCCAGCGATTCAGTTGACGCGCAGCTGCTGCCGGGGCGCCGGCTTTCAGCTTTCTCGGAATCGTCCGTTCCCGGACACGCCGTTTTGGATCATCTCCATCCGGAAGCCTCAGCAAAACGCTGGATGGACACGGGGATCAGGGGGGAGAGCGGGAGAAAAGAAAGTGCTGCTCGGAGACTTCCTCGTCTCTAGCGTTCGACCTGCTGAAGTAGTCAGACGCTCGTTTAAAAATCACAACGTTCGCTTAATTCCTCTTGAAAAGCCAGCATGAGCACAACCCAGTCCATTTTTAAGCAGCATTTCTCTCACTTTCGGGATTTAAAATGCTACCAGGTAAACAAATTGTTAATAAAGTCCTAACTTTATTTTGCTTAAAAAAAGACAGAAGACTAAATAGAGAGTTGGTAGCCGGGGACGAGTGTGGGAAACAAGCGGCGTCTAGTCGAGCGAAGCCACGAGGAAGCCCAGTGTCTGTCTGCAGCGAGCGGAGCAACGGGGGCTTACACAGGATTAAAGTGTTTACCGACACATCAGGGTCCTCTGCGCTGACTGACTGCAGACCCTCCCGACCTTTTGTCGATACGGCGCAACGCACACAGGCGCCAAAAGCTGTCAGCCAAGAACGGGAGGATGCAAACAAGGCCGAGACCACCGGGGCACCGTCGGATAAAACAATCCTCACATTCCACTTACTGCTGTTCTTATTATCGCTTATTTAATAATTGGCTCAACAAGCCCCTCCCTCCGCTGCGTCACAAAGCGCCGCCAACGGGGTCAACAAGCCCCTCCCTCCGCTGCGTCACAAAGCGCCGCCAACGGGGTCAACAAGCCCCTCCCTCCGCTGCGTCACAAAGCGCCGCCAACGGGGTCAACAAGCCCCTCCCTCCGCTGCGTCACAAAGCGCGCCGACGGTTGCCTCATTGCGTATTTCGGCCTGCAGAGGACGAGCGCGGTCGCCCATAGGCAGACGCCCCCCCGAGGCCTCTTGTGGAACTCCTCGCCAACGCTGCGTTCTCTGCAGCTCATCCGTTCTCCCCCCTGATTCATTAGCAGTCTCGCTGGGCCGGAATGTCACATGATGTTGGCTTTATGTCACCCATGTCCACTGCTGATGAACGTCAGCCCGCGGTGGCAGTGGCGTTTGACTGACCTCCGACCCCCTCAAGCCCCCTTTCCCTTTCCTGTCCCATGGCTTGCTGTATTGTTACTGTATATTACTCTCCCTAAATGCAACTTACTTAAGCATGCATTAACCCAACTTCTTATCACGGAACTCAAATCCAGAACGAAACCATGTCCGATCGACCTCTTTCTCTGACGTACACCCAGATCGCACGCTCTGTCCCGTGTTTTAAGATACTAACAAGAGAAATGTAGCAGTGACTAATAATAAAGGCTTTATTATTAGTTAATGGAGGTGGCGAGCCCTTCCTCTCTGTCTGCCTCAGTGTGTGCTTTCTGGTTGTTCATCTTTGATAGTGTGACAAATGTACTGCCTTTCTTTCTTGCTTGCTCCTCTGTTTGACTTATTTTTGTCCTGTACATATATGTTGAAACACATATATGTGTATCTACCTGTTTCTATTCTGAAAATGTTCAAATTTTAAACTGTTAATTTGCCAAGAATCACTATTGCCAATGTTTTGATGATTTCTTCCCTAATTAGAAAGAAACTTCCTCTTTTCTCTATGAATGAATGAGGACTTCACAAACGGGAGGTTTTTTTTCAGACCGGCTGTCAAAATTTAACAGCATTTCAAATTCACGTCCTCATAGAGAAAAAAGAGAAGACGCCTCCAAAGTCGAGCCTCCCCCACTATCTGTGCAGAGTGTTCCAAACTGTTCCTATGCTCACCGCTAACATGCTCCCGGTACCTGACGGCTTTCTCTGATTGAAATTTGGATTTAATTAATGAAGCGATTCGTTTTGTGCATGGCAAAAGAAGTTGCAGCTTAGGGTTTGTAAAACTGTCAGTGTTGAGAGTGCTGTTCTCTTCTGTAGATGGGCATGTATATGCTCATTGTCTGTATATCCCCATCCCTTCCTTACAGCCAAAATCGCTAATGCCGCCCGACCGCTTCGTGCCGCCTTTACATGGACATGGCAACTGATGTACACGTTCACCCCCATCTATGTCATTTCCTTCCTAGTCTGTTCATAGGTCCCCCCCCCCCGTCACGCTCCCTCCTCCCAGACCCGTTACGTAGAGATTCTAAGAAATGTACAGTCGTCCATTGATGAAGTAAAAAAAAAAAAAAAAAAGAAGAGTCCTCTAGTTGTAGATATTTATGGAGACACTAATCTATCGAAGAGTTCTAGATATACACTTTCTTTTCATACAAAAATAAGACTATCAAAAGAACATAAAAAGTTATATTGCACTTATTTTTCATGTCATGATGTGTGGATGTATGTGTTGTTACCTCCCTGTACCATCCTGTCTAAATAGAGAAATATTTACTAATTAATCAGAAACTGCTAAAAAAGAAACTAACCTAACTTGTCCAGAGGCATTCTTACACCACTTTCTTTTGTACATTTTGTTTCTTCCTGCCAAAATCACGCGGGCAATTTGTTGATGTAAGTTGGAAACTGTTTCTTTTTGTAGGCTTTTATGATTTTTACAAGCTGTTTTTCTTCTTACTAATCCCTCTTCTGAATAGCTATCAGTGGCTTTACTTTGTGAATGTCTATTTTTCCATGTTTGCCCTCTGAACTCTCTGCAATGCATTGGTTATTATTTTGGTTTCCTTCTTTTCTGTTGTGTTCTTTTTTTTTTGTTGTTCCAAAAGGTTTGCATCTCTGTCTGTGTGCGTTTGCACTTGTACAAACAAGCCACTTTGGCAAGAGGATAAGCAGCTTCAAGAGACGCCTGAATGTTTGAAACCCTTCGTGGTCCCCGAGGAACGCACGCGGTACCAAGTGTTCCCCAATGGATTTATTAGAGTTCGTTAGAAGGTTTTTAAACACACAGGTAGGGAGCAAAGTCTTATGAATATAATCTGTTCCCATACAGACACACCGCATGTCAATCACGTTTTGAGAGACGTATTTTCTCCACGTAGATTTGTGCATACAAATAAAGTTTTCTATGATTTTGGTCGGTCATGCGTGTAAAACTGCAACAGTAACCCAGGAGAAGATGTTGGTCCCTCGGTAGGTGAATTAAGAATGCAGCTGTACGTATGAGGGAATGTGTTCGTGAAGAAGTCACGGTCGGTATCACGTTATCCCCAAAATGGAGAACACGAAGATCCTTCCGCTAAAAAGGAGCAAACATTCAGGTGTGATTGAACTGCTCAGGGACTTTGTGCCATCGTGGTAACTGTGGGGCTCAAAAGGCAAGATGCTGTCCCCTGCAGGGCTCATGACACGTGGGCGAGAGGCCTTTAGCAGATCAGTGCGGGACCCTCAGAACTAAAGTGTCGTCAGGTTTTTAAGAGGCTCAACGCCACGTTTTGTTGGCACTTCCTGTCCAGAAGACCTTCTGTCGCTTTTCAGTTGGTCTTTTCCCGCCGTGTCGGTGAACAGCGTTAAAAAGCACCTCCCTCTGCCGCCATATGACAGTTTCCCATTGACGACTTGGTTACATTATTGTCAGGCCCACTGGCTTGCACTTGAATTTTAATTAAATGTATTTACCCCCTTTTTATCCACTGAATGCAGCTTTTTGTGCTCAGTTTTCTTTGAACAAACGTTTTGGAAAGAAAAATGAAACTAGCCTCTTAAAAGCCTGAACTAGTCATTTATGTGCAGAAATGTGTGGCATTGCACATCATTCGCACTTTTTCATACAGTAACTGGTAAATCTTCATGCAGCAAATAGAAGGTCTGCCATCCATGACGGGTTCATACTGCGGTATAGATGCAATGCTGATGCACGTAGGAGTTAGTACGTGGAGTCAGTTTATGTGGCTCACCTGGGTGCATCCCTCAACGCCTTTTGATGCAATGTGGACTTTATCTTTGGCTGTTGTTTTCCTCTCAGTTTGGGTCTTGTTTGGTTCTGTTCTATTGTTTTTGCACTGGTACAGTATTTTCCGTTCTTTCTTTTCTGGTTTTTCTTCAGTTCTTTTTTCCCTCCGTTGAGCTTTGCTTTAGACGTTCTTTGGTGACCGACGGTTTTGGTGTTTGGCTGCTTCTCGTCCGCCCTCTGACTGCTGTCTGTGTCTCTCTTTCACTTTCCAGGAGGGGAGCTAGTGATCCCCGTGCTAGTGGAGGACCCCATAGACATCCCCTCTGTATCCACCCGTTCTCCCTTCATCCCCCTCCCCCCCACCCTCCGCCCCGTCCTCACCATTATCGAGACCACCAAAGAATCCTTGGCCATGGCCACTGAGGCGGGGGTACCTTGCTTTTCGGACCGAGGCGGCGATGATTGTGATGATGGTGGTGATGATGATGATGATGATGGCATGGTGATTTCGGGGTTTGGCTCTGGCGAAGCTTTCGACTCAAGCCTGCCCCCGACTGACGATGAAGATTTTTACACCACCTTCTCCCTGGTAACAGATAAGATCTTGACCACATCGGCCTATGAAGGCAGCTACAAAGTCCTCGCACCCAAGTGGGAGGCCAAGGACTTGAGGCCTAGCAAAGCCTCTGAGGCAGGTAGGACTACACCCTCCTCGCCTTTGCCTGACCTCCGGGGCACGCCGGCGGTCCCCTCGGACAAGCCACCCAAGCTGCCCGCCGGGAAAATGAACAACCGCGAGGTAAAACCCCCGCAGCCGGACATAGTCCTGCTGCCCCTGCCCACGACGTTCGATCTGGACGGCACCAAGCCACGGGGCCCCTTTATCACCTCGCCCATGCTGCGCACGGTGCCCGCCCCCTTGCCCACCGTGCCCGGAGTGGTGAGGCGGGTGCCCCCGGGGGCCTCAGAGGTGATCCGGGAATCCAGCAGTACCACAGGCATGGTGGTGGGTATCGTCTCCGCCGCCGCCCTCTGCATCCTCATCCTCCTCTATGCCATGTACAAGTACAGGAACAGGGACGAGGGTTCCTACCAGGTGGACGAGACGCGCAACTACATCAGCAACTCGGCGCAAACCAACGGCGCTGTGGTGAAGGAAAAGACGCCCAGCGGCAGCGCCAAAGGCAGCGCCAGTACCAAGAGACCGAAAGACAAGGACAAGGAATATTATGTATAGAAATCAAAAGTCATTTCCCAACACATAGAAAGATAAACTGTTTGGAACACAGTTATAAACGTTTTGACAGTACCATATTGGCAACTGTGATTTTAAAAAGGATAAAACCTCTTGAGAATCCAAGTCTTACTGAGTCACTGAAACATTTGCAAAAAAAACGTTTGGCTTATGGAAGCACACTTACTATTGTAAGCATTACAGAGAGACAATGCAGTACAACTTCACCGGGACTCAACGTGGATCTTTTTAAGGCGAGCCTGCTGGAGACATTTGGCAGTGTGACAAACATCCCTCTAAAATCCACACGACCCCCCCACCCCAAGTGACTGTCAAGATGAGCGTGATCCTTCGAGTTCCAACAGCCGTGTCCATTGTAAACCTGTAAAATACGATCTCTGTCGTTTCGGCCATCCAGAGCATGCATGTGAGTGTATGTGACGTGGTGCTGGCATCTGTGTAAGTGAGGGACCTCAAGAAACCACGATTGTCGGGAAAGTTGGACGTCAAAACATGATTCGCATCGCAAACACTTTCATCAAATGTAGCTTTCATGGAGGCGAAACGCGCTGAAGTATAAATGGGTACTTACAGCTGTCTTTTATTTCTTTTTTATTTATTCAGTTGGTTAGTTATTTATTCATTTATTCTAGGTCCTTCTTTTGGAGGGATGATGTCCAGTTGGGTGGGGATGCGATGCAGTAACGTGTCTCCCTCTCGTCTCGTCGTTAAGGGACGAGCCGCAAACTAATTCCAGATGGTGTTCAAGCTTGGATGAGGGGATCCGCCTGAATTGAAAAATATCCAAAAGCATCACTTTTGTCCAGTTTCCATCCACTTCCTGAGATGTTCCAAACGCATTATCATAACGTGTGTCCAGCTGAGATTTTAACTGTCGCAATCTTAAAAAAGGTCTGGACTAAAGACTTACTCTAGTATGAACAAGTGAGATTCTATCTGTTGTCACAGACAACCGTGTCAAAAACAGCAAATATGTTTACATATTTTATTACATCATAGCCGTTGTGCTTTGCAGGTCAATATTGTACAGAAAATGAAAGTTTCTGTTGATTTTTAAAAAAAAGAAATCATCCTCTTGTATAGACGGACCATTTGATTTGATTTTACCGCTTGAGCAACACGACAAAGAAGTGATTTATAATCCTTTCCAGGAACGCCTGGGGATAAAAAATGATGTGCACAGGAACATTTGTTTAGACAGAGAGCAAATGTTGTTAGATTAGACGTCTAGTCTCTCTGGATAATGTTCCTCTTCAGTCGCATGAATATTTCACCAGAAGCTGTCAATCAATTAGAAAACAACTCCCTCGGATCTTGTAAAAAAAGGTCTCCTCCTTATTCTGAAATGAATTTCATGATGTTATTTATTTTTTATTGGACATTTTAAGAAACGGAGGAAGAGAATAAAGACGCATTATGAGAGTTATTAGCACCTTCCTGATTTACAGGTGTTTTTTTGTTTCCTTTCCTTCTTTTTTTTAAAACTCTGACGTCAATGTTCTCGTACGCTCAACTCGTCTTTTTGCATCTGTTTTCTCTGTTTATTGAGTAGCTTAATTTCATGTCTCATTTTTATGACATTCTCTTCCAGCAATATTTCGTTTTTTATGTCATTATTTATTGCTGGTTATTTGATCTCATTTTCAGGTAAAATCAGTCAGTGTGTATGTTCACTTTGGTTTTTTGTGTTGTTACTTGGCTTTTTTCGAACAGTTTTAGTGTCTAATGCTCCTATGACTCCAAACAATTCCCACAAATAAAAAATGTTGTTCCCAAACCTTTTGGATGTTGGACCGCTGATGGCTGTGTCTCAATCCTCCATGTTATGGTGTAAAGGTGAGTGAAGATTGAAGATGATTCACCCAACCGCCATCCCCGTCCAATAATTTCCCTTTATATCAAAAAGTGCATTTCCATTCAAATGAAGTCCGGAGCAGAGCGGCACAAACCCATCATTTACCCGTAGATCGTTATGCTAATTCTCACAGCGTTCCTGAGGCCACCAGGGGACAAAGGACGGATGGAGACGGCGTTATTAGAGGGTCAGGGTGGTCTGAGCAGCAGAGGAATGGATCTGCTTCTTCTTTGGAGTCCGGCCTTTCTGAGAGTGCACAGCCAAATGAGATTCTTCACACGCACGTGTTCGGCTTATGAGCCTGTTAGTCAGTGGCTGCAGCACCCGCTTCCCCGCCTCCGGTTTACAATGTCCATATTTTGTGCAAATAGGCCTTCACAGAGCTGGTCATTAACTTGCAGCGGCCCGTTGATGTGAGACACCAGAGAGGCACGCGTGAGTATATCCAGCTAGCACAATGGCGCCGCGTGAACTGCTTCATCCCGCCGCGGGCGATGAGAAGGATCACTGCCCTGGACGCACCGTTGAGCACATTCTGAGCCAGAACACTCATTCTTCTTCATGTGGGGATTTGATCAGTACGAGGCAACACAATAACAGTGTGTCTTTAGGAAGCATTCATTCCAGCAGGCAACGCTGTTCAATCCATCCTTCAGTCTACTGCAGCTCGTGCGCTGCCCTACCAAGCACTGGGTAAGTAATCCGTATTTCCTGTTAGCACGTTATCATGAGATAGTCTGTCATCACCTCAACACACTGTTGCAATGTTCTGACAGAAGACGGCGACCAGCTTGTGAACATAGAGCCCTTGACTACAGGTTACTAGATAGATTATAATGCCTTTAAACTTCATTATTTGAGCCCAAACTATTACTGATGTGAGCTGCCTAAACTTTGAGTCGATGGCTGTGTGGATGAGGGGTTGGGTTAGGGTTGGGGTAGGGTTGGGTTGGGCTGGGTTAGGTTGGGGTAGGGTTGGGCTGGGTTAGGGTTGGGCTGGGTTAGGTTGGGGTAGGGTTGGGTTAGGGTTGGGTTGGGCTGGGTTAGGGTTAGGGTTGGGCTGGGTTAGGTTGGGGTAGGGTTGGGTTAGGGTTGGGTTGGGCTGGGTTAGGGTTAGGGTTGGGCTGGGTTAGGTTGGGGTAGGGTTGGGTTAGGGTTGGGTTGGGCTGGGTTAGGGTTCGGTTGGGCTGGGTTAGCGTTGGGTTGGGCTGGGTTAGGGTTGGTTTAGGTTAGGTTAGGTTGGGGTTGGGTTGGGTTGGGTTAGGTTTGGGTTGGGTTAGGGGCGTCAGGGTTTTGTCGGTTGCAAAGCCATCGTGGTGCCAATGAAATGGAGAGCCATTAATCATCATTAAGGTCCGACTGCGAGCCGCTACTCGTGCACACAATGTAGATGGGAAAGGTACATAGATAATACGAATAAAAATGATATTGCATATCTATGATGAAATCTATATCAAATGATTTACAATGCATAAATTGCAATACATATAATACGTGATTTATAGGTTGATTAACCACACAACAGCATTCATTCCACTACTGTCATATCGCAGATACTGAGAATTCTTATTTAGCTACCAGGTTCTATTTTATCATTTGAATTTAGTTGATTTCTGATTTTAATTAAGTATAACAAGATTGTAGTTCATCATTCCAGGCATATTTCATTTAGAGATAACCGCTGGTGAACAATCGGTATGTAAACTTTACATTTACTTTCGGGTATCTGGTTGGATAAAGTGCAGCATCTCTCTCTCAGAGAGAGCAGTTACTGTGATTTGCTTCATTTTCAAACTGTTTTATTGTTACCTCAGCAATTATTTCCATAAAATATTTCAAAAAGGTAAAACATGTGAAAAAGTCCAATTCAGATCAGATAGACCGAAGTAGTCTGAGGATCTTTTCCTTTGTGAGCTCACTGTCCTTTGTGAAAGCACTCAATATTTATCTGGTCTTTAGTCAAATGAGCCTGGAGCTGCGGTGACCTTTGACCAGGAACAACCTCTGCCTTCACATCGCAAAGGTCACAGCTGATTTAGGGTTCATCGGGAACGAGGCTCTGCGATGAATTTCACACCGGAAGATGATTAAAATGCAGGAATGTGACTGGTATATTTCTTTTAAAAGGAATAAAGGCTGCGGTGGACGAGATATGAAGCGTCTCTTCATCAAAGCAGAGGGAGGCCAGAGATTAAAATGAAAGGCAAATAACACCAAAAATCCTGAAGAGACAGAGAAACCAAACAAGGGGAGGTAATTGCAGCATAAATCACCACCGAAAGAAACGTAAAATATCTACGAGCGTTGAAGTTTAGCCAAATAACACATTAATAGTGTGATCATAATGAATGCAAGTCCCCAAAACGACAACTTCTGCCTGAAACTGCTGTCTTCTCAGCCATTAGTCTCTTTCAGGTTTGCACCAGCGGGGTGCCCATGGAGGAAAGCCCCCCATTTAATACTCACACACCATTTGCTCACACAGTTGTTGGCTGACAAAGTTTATTGATTGGATTGTATGTGTAACAACTACTTTTCCTTTTAGTCAAATTAGTAGGAGTAGATTGCATCAATGGTGCTGGGGTTGGCTGCATAATTCATTTCCAAATTGATAGAAGAAGCAATTTACATTTGCTAATGGCGTTTGCGAATGGATTTCTGTGTGTATTTGACCACATTAGCTCTGGAACAACAACAGGGGAGCCGCATTTAAAGGCTGACAGTTGACCCGTCATGAGATTTGACTTCAACTAATGAGCTGGTTAATTCCACACAGACGCTTTACGGCGTGTTTTTCCGTTCAAATAAACCGTGGCTTTGTCACAGCGGCTGGAACCTGTGATGCTCACGCCGAGGCTGCAGGAGCTCTGAGCACCAGCGCCGTCCACAGATTGTGCACATGCAGCTTCTCTTTCTCCCTGATTCAGGAGGGACGCCGTGTCCTCCGAGGAGCAGCTGTGAAGGAGATCAGCCCTGACAGGTCAAATATGAGCCCGCTGACCTTAACTCAGCATTAGCAAACCTCAAATACAAGTGTGTGTGTGTGTGTGTGTGTGTGTGGACAGATTGGTTTTAGCCACGTCAACGCGCACACACACACACACAGGTCATGGTTGTTGCATTCATATTCATTTAGCAAACAGTGATCCGTCAGCAGTACAGTCGGGTGTATATTCATTTCATTTTGTATTTCCCAAAATCGCAAACTACACATTTGCCTCAGACGGCTTTACTGTCTGTAAAACTCAATTAATTCCCTTTGGTCCTCGCCTGGCGGACACAGCGCCATCTAGGGACCAAGTCTGGACTCTGATTGACAGCAGAGGAGTAGATGGGGGCGGGGAGGCTGTGGGGTCAGGAGCACCCGGCCCCTGTGCACACTTCTACAGCGCGTCTCCATCTGAGTTGATGTCAAAGACTCTGATGGCGTGTGCAGTTTGCGGCACCTGGGGAGACGGGCCTCCTACCCGAGCTCCACGGTGCGATTGGATCCAGTGAGAATCCAGATGAAGCAATGAGTCGCTCCGCCGGCTCCCCGCCCCGGGAGGCCCCCGCACAGCCCGGTGGCCCGAGCCCCGTCCGCGCAGACCAGATGGAGAGCACGGCTGGTCGGGATCGGAGAGCGTTTTTGTGATGGTGGCGGTCGGTGGTTGATCCAATCAGATGAGCTGTGATTGAGTTCATAGCAACTCAACCTGCGTTGAGGTACGTTGGCTCTATGACGCCGCCGTCGGTGCTGGAGGACTAACGCACAGCGAGCCCACATCAGGCCCTCTTCATACAGCGGCCTGGTTCTATTAACCCTTTAAAAACACCCGTTTGTTCCGAAAGGCTCAAAGCGGTGGATCATTCATATTCGGTTTAAAGCCTAGTTTATGCTTCTGCGTTTTCAGAGCGACGCAGACGCAGGCCCCCCTTGCGTGTCCCTTGCGTGTCCCTCGCGTTGCTTTTCACACCTCGTTGCGTCCTTGCGTGTGTCGAGCAATTTTTCTACGCAAGCAACGCAAGCCTCCCGCAGCGCACAAGGCTGCGGTTGGTCCGCTCACTACGTCCTTTACGGAGTCTCACATTTCCGCTTTCATAGCCCGACAGCGGCATTATTAAAGCTTACGAAGAAGAACTTTTGTCGGAGGAAATGCGTAAATATGAGCGCTTCTACGAGCCGTCATTGGCGGGTTGTTGAAGCGGGTTGGATTCACGGAGGGAGATGAGGGAGGTTTGCCGGTCGAGAGGAACAAAGCTGTGGAGGAAAACACGGGACAAATGTGTCATTTCAAGTGTCATGAGTCCGCCGCATGGCAACATTAGCTTTGTCGGTTCTTCATTTAGCCAATCGACAGTTCTACTTGGCAGCTATGGGTGTAAATAAGAATATCAGCATGAAAACAACTTTTGGGGTTTTAAATGAGTGACACACTGAACAATAACCATATGAACATGTGCTTAGATGCAAGTTAGTAGAAGAACTCCTTATTATTCAATATTAACACCAATTTGCATCGTGCCTCTTTACAAGTAGAATTGTAAGTGAAGGGTACGAAGCGTTTATCCCACAATGGTACCGTGTGATATAATAGTTGTATTTCTGCTGGCTCCAGTTGGTCACTGTCACATCAGCTGCATGGAGAGGACTTCTTCGATTGCAGTGGTAGAATCAGTGCGGCGGCTTGTGAAGTAAAGTCACAGGAGGACCGTGCAAGAAGTTCAGAGCTCCTTAACTGATCACATGTTCTCCTAACGGGTGGAGAACTCGTGACACTGAGGCCACTGCAGCAGCAGCAGCAGCAGCTGGCCCTGGAGCCCTGTCTGCTCCGTCTGCTCCATGGGACCTACAGCTCAGGAAGAGGGTGGAGCAACTCCTAAGCACTCCTCGCTGACCTCGGTGGAAAACGTCACGGGGTCAAGGAAAGGCGGTTAGGAGAGTGTGAGGAGTTAGGAAGAGACAGCCGCGGGGGGGTTTGGCTTCAAATGTTTTAACTTTAAATTGAGAAAAGGAGATGTCGTGATCTTGAGGTGATGGGCCGATCAGGGTTGAGATCTCTAGTATCTTTAATTTCCGCTCCAACTTTCCACCCTTTCACTCCAAATCACGCGTTGCCAACTTTCAAAACCCTCTCGGCGTTTTCCTTTGTGAAAAGTGAGAAATCTAGCGACTTTTTCCTGGTGTTATTGGAGCCTCTTCTGGTGCCCCCCCTCGCCGTCTGGAGTGAAAGGTCACTTTATTTGTCTGTGGAGGAAACATGGACATTTGGACACCCCTTCACCCCCCCACCCTCCTGTGAAAGTCACGTCTGCAGCTACTGTTCTGAGTCCTGGATGATTTCCCCCCCTAAGGGCGTAACGATTCATTTTCACAACGATTCATGGTTGCCGATTCGATTCATGGGCGATCTGGGTTCATTTAGAACGATTTGATTCAGTGACTTAAAATCGATTCAGTAACTTTACTGGACAGTGCAGGCAAAGTTTCTGAGATCCCTGTTGTTTCTTGTAAGGAAATCATGTTTAAATTAATTATGGATATTATAAACAAGCAAACAACAATTAATGGCAAATGTATTAACCTTTTATTTGAATCAGGTGCCATTTTCAATGTAAACATTAGACAATAATTACACAATGTTTGGATCAATTCACAGAACCCCGGATGTTCAACCACATCGTAGGGTCTCATGTCTTTACAGATAAACTTGTTACTGTGATGTTTGGTGCTGGCGAGGCCTGAGGCGTCTGCAGAGCTGAGTTACCTGCTGCTGCTGCAGCGGTGACGCTGCTCGAGGTCCTGACTGTCGCCGTTGTTTAATCCCACGGCGCCGTAGTAGATCACCGGAAAGATTCGTTGTGTTTCCGTGGTTTTTTATTTGGCTTCTACATATTCTACAAACAGCGACCGACTTATTTAGAACACCTCCGTGTTTGTAAAAGCCTAAATGTTTCCACGCGCTGGATCGATAAGTTGGTTTGTAAATGTCTCGCTCGCAGTCGTCTCCTCCACGCTGTGTTTTGTTGCTGTTCAGAGTTTCGCGCGGCTGCTGCTGCGTACTGATGACGTCACAGACAGGCAGACTGGATCCAGTAACGTTTAACGCGTCTAAAGCGCTAAAAAACGAACAAACACACATCCATACCGGTTTTGTGCTTAAATCCAATGTGCAGTTTACAAGTATCGATACAATCGATTATGTACCATTTCAATCGATATGTAATCGATATATGTCGTCCGGAATGCCGATTTGCGGAGCACAGATTGATTCAGTTGGATCGCAGGAATATAAATTGATTAATCGATTCAGTGGATGAATCGTTACACCCATATTTCCCCCCCCCATTAAAGAGTGTAGAATTTTCCCCCCATGTAAGTCAGTTACGGGGGGTGAATGAAGGAGACAGCACAGACATTCGGCTGCCTTGGGGTTTATTCACAGTGTTCTCCACATAAAGCACCTTCCTTTACTAATATATACTGCATGAAACTAATGTAAAGTCAAACACATTAAAAGAAACATTCATTTTCATGATGTCAGTAAAAAGACAAAACTACATTCTGTTGAAAAGGCACCAGTGTTTGGTCTGAGTGGTCAACATTTTAGCATTTAACACATTTTGCATGATAATACACTAATAGATATTTTAACAGCGGTTAAAATAGTTCAAATAATTATGGCAAGAAATCAAATGTCCGTTCAGCGACCGGTGGAGGTAGAGGAGGATGAGTGTCCGGTCCGGTCTTTGTTCTGCGTGAGGAGCACCGTGGCGTTGGGTTAGTCAGCGGGGGGTTTGGCCCCTTTGACCGGGGAGTCGTCCAGGTCGGACGTGGTCAGCCGCCTGTGAGGAGCTGCGTCACAGGGGGAACAGAAGCACTTACATTCCACATGGATTTGTCCGTTGACCTAAATGATGCATGTCCTTCACATTGTACATCAACACCAATGTTAATGAAGTAGGCACAGATTTATTTGGGCCAGCGTGTTGGAGGTACAAAGGTTCTCCTCTCACACGGAGCCAAATACGTGGAAGCAGCTCAGGACTACAAGTGATTGAGCGCCGCTGGGAAGCCGGAGGTGGTACTCACGCGGCGTGTCGGACCTCAGCAGCGAGCCTTTAACGGAGGACGAAAGAGCGGCCAGTCGCAGGCTCCAGGAAGTGGCGTCCAGCTTCTCGTCCTGGGAGACAAGAGGACAGGAGGACACTCAGCTGACTAGCAGCTAACTAGGTTAGCACCCATCGTGTGCTATTGGACGCCTTGCCATGGAACGGTCGTGGCTGAAGCCTGAACGGACTCTAATACTTTGGGTCCCCGTTGTCAGTTTGACACATGGTACATCTGGGGGTGTTAAATCATTAACATCAGACATCACAGGACACACACTGAGCCCGACCCTCCCCCCATACGGCTTCACACGCCCTCTTTAGTAAAGACAACAGCGTCCCTTTTCCTTAAACAAACCCGGGTGTGCAGCAGCTATTAGCCTAATGCGATCGCCACTTAGCACTCAACACAAGAGTCATTTGGCAAACCAGATAGAAACCATCAAGCCAGTGGCTGTTTGGCCGCACGCGTCTGATCAGCTGTTAGCAGCCATGTCCCGATGGCTCCCTCGACTAGAGGACTGCAGCGATTGACGGAGAGGTGCGTTTATTTAAGCGCGTCCGTGGAATTATTCATTTATCTACACGGGATAAATGAGCTGCTCTGCACACATCAGCTGGTGTGTGTGGGCGAGCTGGACTCAGAAACGACTCAAAAGTCAGACTATCCTGATCCAGGCGGCTGCGGTTTGAACAAAGCACTGCAATTAGTGACGGAAATAGAAAAGGTGTGGGTGGTGGTTTGGGAGAGCGGCCTCTGAAAGGGATTATGAAGCTCATTGTTCCGGAGTACACTGCTGTGTGTGTTGTACCCTGTACTCCTGGATCCTGCGCTTGGACTCGTCCAGCTGGTGTTGGAGGTCCCAGACGATCTCCTTGTATTTGGCGTAGCGCTGCTCCACCACCTCCCTCTGCCGCTGGGACTCCTGTTGGCACGAGATGGAGGCTGTGTCACTGTAACCAGACGAGAGGGCTTCTCAGAGGAACGCAGACTGCCAACGTGGCCCACAGACTGCACCTGCGTCCAGTAATGACCCGCCGTTTGGTTTGAGACCAAGCGCTAAATCAACTCCGATCAGACCGGCAGATTTAAAACGTCGCCTTGTGGACCGTGACCTCCTGATGGGCCTTGAGAACCTTCTTGGTCTCACTTGGTTCCCCTCACACCTGAATAAAGCTACGATCTCTGCTCTGAGTTCAGGGATCACAACTTCCACAGACACACAGTCACCTCCATCCAGATGTTCTTGTCAGGAGTCAGTGGATGTGCAATAAATGCAGGCGGGTGAATGCACATAGCAAGATATTGGCCCTGGTTTTACTCCTGGAGGCTGTGACGGTGTCTTGTGGGGTGAGCTCCTATGAAGTCTGAGGAGCGACATGCCGTTCTCCTCGGCTCCTCCAGACCCTTCATCATGGATCACAGGTGCTCAGGGTGAACCTGCTCTCATCTGCTGAAAAGCACAGGACGCCTCGTGAAGCCGGGTTGTTTGGGCAGAGACGTTCACACCAGTAGGCTACTTTCTTGATTCTGGGTCTTCTGGGTCGGTGCCCTCTTGATTAAATGCCATTATTGTGAGTCGCTTTGGATAAAAGCATCAGTTAAATGATCCATGTACACGCTCGCAGCACTAATGGAGCATCAGACCGCTGAGGCCTCTGTGAAGGGAAGGTGGACGCGTGTCTTCTGGGCAGAGGGTCTCTGGTTCCCCCTCAGCTAAACACCGTTAGCTCCCTCAGCACTGCGGTTGGCTGTTAGTTGCTAGGCAGCGATGCAGTGGTCGCTACGTTGAGGGTTGGGTGGTGGAGCTTCACCGCTCTGATCTCCCGCTGCACGTTTGGATGGGAAAGCTCTGCTTTCAGATCCCGGCGGTTTCACCCCGTTGACGTAACAAACAATCTCAGCCGTCGTGCTGCTTTTTCTGAGAAACAAACAACCCGGTTTTATTACACAGAGGCCATCCAGGCTTCAACGGGACCCACCTCCAAATCTTTGAAGTTCTCCATCAAACACGGTTTGTCTGGAATTGAATCCAAGTGGTCCAGGGCTGCTCTTGTGTTCTGGAAAGCACACGCAGAAAAGCAGCTCACTGTAAAGTTCTGTTCGTTAAAGTCATTGAACTGCAGCCATTTCAATCTTTTAACGAATAATCAATACAATGCATGCAAAGGGAGGGCGAGGAAGGGAGGGCGAGGGAGGGAGGGAGGGATCACTAATGAAACACATTTAGCCAGATGAGTGAATCCCAGTTGAGGCTGCACAGCTGGATCAGCTGTCCGTGTCCTTTAAGCGGATCCGTAGAGATAACGGGCTGAACTATGCAGAGGGGGGGGCGCGCTCGCTATCTGTCCTCCCACATGTGATGAGAAGCACTCACACGTGCACAACAAACCCGTGAGTTACTTGTATGTAACACCTGCAACGCAGAACCTACAGTGTCGTTGACAAGACGTCGTTCTGAATGCATCTCAAGGTGTTGATACACGTTTTTGAAGGCGGGGCGGCGCCACTGCGGAGCAAATGTTTCTGGGAGTAACGTCTGTATAATGGTGCACAATCCCAACAATGTTCTCACTCTCTAGTAGTCCGAGTTGGTAGTGAACCGAGAAACAAAAGCAGGGTGACTGTATGTAGACAATGCACTACTGGAAGGAACAAAAACACTTTGCAAAGGCAGGAAACTCACTTTATACGTCTGTTGGACCTCAAATGATACAAACAACACATTTCAGTGTTTTTGCACAGGAATCAATCCAGACGGCATTTTGGGTTCAACACTGACGGTGCTTTGTGACATAATACACTGAGGGTGTGGCTGAGCGGTGGAGAGGAGTACGATACCTGGATAAGCATGCAGGGTGGGGTGATATAGTATTTAGTATTGAGCTTAAGCATCAAAACAAGCGGCTGACTGGCGCATGAGGGGAACTCGCTGGCTCCTGTAAGCAGATAGCGCTCCGAGGAATTACCTCGTTTCTCACAACTGATCAATAAAGGTTGATTGAGGATGTTGGCGGTGACCGAAAACAGCTCAGCCGGTGATGTCAATGCTGCGGCCGGTTTCTCAACCACTGCAGCAAGACTGCTGATGATTACCAGAGCCGTGGGCCTGGACTGCATGGAGGCCTCAGGTGAAGCTCACCGAACCCCACGGGGAGGCACCACTCCTGCGTGCGTCCCGTTTTGGAAACATGCATTCACACACACAGCGTTTCTTCAAGAGAAATAAGACCTCACCGTCTCCAGATCCAATACCCGGTCCTGAAAAGAGACACAAACAGTGATGTTGCTTAACATGCATGGGACACTAGAACGGGTCGGCGGGGCGCTGGGGGCCGGCTCAATCCGCACTAAGTGACTTTGTCCTAAAAGACAGAGACGCGGCCTCCGGCGGTGCGCAGTAATTGGCTGCCAGCAGTCCGAAGCCCCACGGCTGTGTGCGCCTTGTAGCGCCACACCACAGGACGCACACAGCTACCAACAGATGTAGAGACGCGCTACATGAAGGCCAGCTGGACATCAGGAAGGTAAAGTTTCAGTTGCAGCGCTAATGAACAAAGGGACTGAATTGATGAAGAAGTAAAATGGTGACCTGAAGGCTCCTCATTTCTTCCTCCTTCCTGCGACTCCTCTCCAGCAGCTCTGAAAGACACGGCACTGTTGATGAGGCGGGTTGGACTACGTTGACCCCGGGTCAGTGTCTGCTAATTACCAATCATGTGGAATAATTGGAAAAATAAAGACATGTATTGGAAAATGTTGGTTGGTTTGGCCAAACTTACTCATTTATTTATCATTGCAAACTGTATTCCCCATTTGCTGATTACATGCTCGCCTGTAGACGAAAGGTCAAGGAAGTGACCTTCGGAAGCCAACGGTTGTCTATTTGTTAGATCTGGCAGCGAATGCCGTGCTGTGCGACTGAACTCCAACCAGCAGCAAGAGACTCCGTCAACACGCAAACGTCTCGTGAGCTTTTGTTTCAGGCCCGGACGGGGAAGCAACATTGTGACCACACACGGTCGTCTGGGAGGGGCTAGTTAGCTGCTAGCTCATGAACGAGTCAGTCATGAACACTGGTTCCTCCTCCATCACCACCCGACTCCAGTGTCCTCTTTCATGGTAGAAGAAGTACACTTTGAAGGGGGCTGCGGCATGGACACCAGCGATGCCGGGGATCCGACCACCGATCTAAGACCACCGCGCTCTCTCTTCGTTTGTAAAGCACGATGAGGATATTAAGCAGTCAACTTGTCCTCGCGAGCCTTCGGTGAGGTCAGGAGACGCAGCGCGCCTACATGGAGACGGGGAAAGGACACTCGCCTCCCTACGCTGCGATGTCTCCGGGGGGGAGACGGAGAGACAAACTGCCACAGCACAATGTTTGTAACCACAGGTTCTTTGACTCGTTGAACCAAAGAAATAACTTCCTTCATTTAAGAATAGAGTCAGGACGCACTAACAAAACTAAACCTTATTCCCGTATAGTAATGAGAAAAAGAGGAAAGAGGAATTTATTATCATGAAACAAAAGAATAGACGCATTGATTTTCTAAACTAATAACATTAATTGTGGATTTGTTTTCCAATAAACTAGCTGTTGTACCATTTATGATTAATAACCTATTAAATAGCCAGTAACATACTGATGCCCCTCCACTGAAAGCAGCACATACATGTTCCCCCAGGACACACTAGCTAACCCGTTCCGTCCTAACACAACTCCACTGGTCCTTCTCCTTTCTAGTCATGTGACCACTGAGCGCGTCATGGCCGACAATATTCTGCAGCAACTGAGATGAGCACACAAGTAAGACAAGTAAATCCACCGCAGCCAAGCGGCAGGACGGCGCCGTGTCCGTGTCGGCCCAGAGCGCAAAGGTTCTGACACAAATTAGATTGGCCTTCGTCGTTCAGATGGAGCGTCAAATCCAAGGTTTACTCCCTCCGGCAGGTACAGCTTATGAGGACAAAGTCAGTCAAAAATGGGACGTGAGAAAGACAAACAGGTCCTGCGCAGAGGTGACTAACTGGCGGACCGCCGTCCGGACCCGGAGCTAAAGCTCAGACAGGCGGTGATCAGTATTTCTATTTTAACCGGCGCAGTCGTCTTCAGGGTTGTGGCATAAAGCGCAGACCGATGGCGTTTGAGTTAAACCGTCCCACGTGATGCTACCCGACTGCCCGCGGGGGATCCTGACTCCATCCGAGCGCAGGACAAGCCAGAGCGAAAAAGAGAGGGAGTGGAATATATACATTGTATAAAACTGTTTAATTGTTGTGAAACAGAAAAGGGGAAATTCAAGCCTTTCTTCATTTATTATTATTTTTTAATTTAATTGAATTATTTGAACCTACAGTTTTATTTCTTTTCTCTTATTTTGAAATGCTGCCCTTCTAGTTATTGATTAAAGGGCAGCATTATATATATTTGCTGAATTCATTTGGTTTGTCAGTCGAGTATTGAGTACATGCAGTTGTTGATACTATTCAATCACACTGAATAGTCACATTATGATCTTCCAGACCTTTTAGTTGAATACCGGTCTGGTCTAAAGCAGAAGCACGAGAAACACCCGAGTGAAATGCCGTCGTCTAATCAGATATTGCTTTAAAATGACAAGGTGCTTAAAGTCTGTGTGTTACGAGGTTGAATCAAAACCTCAAAACCTACTGGTCCAAGAGTCAAGGAATAACTCCAGCTTGCTAAGTGTCCTCGCTGTTCCATCCATCAGACACAGCAGTGTCTTGTCCAACGCGGCCTTTAATCAAGTATTAGCTCCCCGACAAAGAACACATGGCCGGATTAGTCTCCCATGAGGCTGTGCTGTTCTACACAGTACCGCCAAATAAAGAATAGAACACCGCATACACCCATAACCTTTTACGCTCGCCTCCCGGGAGAAATTCCGTACTAGATTAGTATTTATGTCCAATGTAAAGATGACGTTGTGTACCTCTCTTTTCGGTGTCCAGGGATAGCAGGAGCTCCTCCTGCTGGTCCAGGCGCTGCAGCAGAGCCCTCTGCTCGGCGTCGCGGCTCTGCCTCAGGGCGTCCAACTGGTCCGCGGTCTGTTGTTGCTGCCTCCGTAAGCGCTGCTCTCTCCTGGTGCTCTCCCGCACCTCCTCACACAGCCACCGGATCTTGGTCTATGTGGTTCAGTAAATACTAAGTCAATGTGGTCACGCAGGAGGGGCTTCGTGGATGCATACGAGTGTTAAAGCTGCATTCTTCCTAGTGCCCACTAGGGGGCGACTCCTCCGGTCCTATAGAAGTCTATGGGAAAATGACTACTCGGGTATTCACTCAGTAAAATATGTAAACATGAGTTTATGGTCTCAATGTCTAGTTACAAGTCTTCAATGAAGCATGATGTTTATTTAGTAAATAATTGGTCAGTTATGGTGAAACGGACCACCGAGCAGGGGATGCTTTAGGGCGGAGCTACTGCTAACTAGGGATGAGCTGCATCTCAGAGGGGCCTCACTGAAGCAGAACATGGTGTAAACCTCGACACTAGAAGAGAGGAATGACACACCGAAATCGCACACTACGAATGGGCTTGTTAGAGTAGAGCATTATTGTAGCGAGACATTGTGTATTCTGAAGTTTAACACACCACCGCAGCACATGCAGGATCATACCTTTGTCTCGGCTAACCAGCGGTGGGGGTCCTTCACTAATCCGGGTTTCTGAGAGACGGCCTGTCAAAACAACACAACATGCATTACACAACATGGAGTCCTTCACAAAGGATCGGAGACCTTGGGAGGGTTTGAAGTAAGGGTTTTATGCCGGTTGCCGGTAAGTCGTCTAAACTGCCAAGGAATATTTGTTGGGGGCGGAGGAACAACAGGACTATCAGTCGTCGAAGCCCTCACTGTGTGAGTGTGTTCAACCGTCTCTGACACAACAGAGGTTGTGTGTTACGTGAGAACGTCTTCAGGGACTGTGTTCCATCTTTCCCAGACAAATCCTGATGACTGTTCTACTATAACGTCCATTCTTACCCCACGCAAACACTCCGGTATGTTAAGGAGACCTTTGTGCTGCACTGAAAGCACCACAAGGTGTCGGATTTGCAAAACTGTAATGGACGCTGTAGGATCCTCATCTTCGGTCTGGACACAGAGACGTGTGGGTCCCTCCTCTCGGAGTAAAGCTGGGACTGTTCGCCGAGGACAGCGAGTGCAGAACGATACGTGCTTCCGCGTCAAGAGAGTTTGGAAAGTCAGATTTAGCGAGAAAGACGCCAAGACGGCAACACCGATTTGGAGTGAAAGGATGACAGGTTGGAGGCGCTGTAGAGATCTCAATGCTGATTGGCCAAGCAAAGATCATGTTATCACCTTTTCTTTTTGTCCCAGACACAGGATCGTGTAATTCAGGGAAGGTACTTTTTGTAGATTCAAGACGGCGGCCGCGGTGTGGCTGTTGTTGTTGTTGTTTTTGTGTAGATTCCAGTTTTCCGCTGAGATTCCATCAACATCCAGATACTCAGCAGAGTTACTCAATCAAGCAGCCTTTCTTCTTTCTTCAGTGGGATTACTGGACATTTTGGTGAAAGGTGCGCTGCTCTTTTGTCACGCAGTGAAGCATCAAATGAGACGGTTAGCACAGCTGTGTTGCCTTTTGACGCAAAGTGCCGCTGATTTTTCTACCAGCAAAGTGCGTTCGAATGTATTTGGCTGTTGTGCTGGATTGCATCATGTTACGAAAGGTTGTGCTTTTCTGAACCTCGTCCACTCTGAACTAGCATCCCTGTGAGGTGGTACTTAGAAACCTCTTCAACCGACATGCTAGTGTGGTTAAGTTTAGCAGATATGTTTAACATCTTCCTCTCAGTTTCCATGGTAACATTAGTTGATAAGCAGGCAACACCGACGTTGATGAAAAGTTCTGTAGGTAATTACTCATAAATATATAATAATAAGTATTAGAAATGGTCATTATAATTCATCCCGACAAACATAAATGTGATCATTCTGAATGGGACATGTGGTATTTGTTGATATATTTGACTGGGAACTAAAGTGGTAAACAGATTCATCCAAAAGAGCCGTGTCCACTGGATGAGGATCATATGCACTTGGAGTGCGATAAGTACATAACTGCTTCTTTCCACCGGCTTTTGTAGCAAATCCATTCATAGAGAGGCGCGTACAGGAAGACACAGCCGCCATTCACACCGTGTCACTGAGACAGGGTGTTTATTGCACGATCAGACAGGAAGGCGCGCGGCGGGGCGCTTTTCGGGACTCTTTCTGTGCCGCGCTCCGGCAAACGACGTCATCGCTGCGGAGGTGTCAAGCCACCTTTTCAAGCCGTTATTGGAAGCCGGATCCAAGCAAGACTAATACCCCGAGTTGTTCGCACAACAGCTCAAGGAGCAGCGGCGGGAAGCGGCTGCGCAGAGCTCCCCGTCTCGGGGGAGCGTTCGGCGGCAGAGCGTGCGTCTGCGCCTCCCGCTCGCTTTACTCTTTTCCCAACCATCAAAGGCCGCTCGGTGCGGCGGCAGACACAAAGGGAGGGAAGCGGTTGGAGGACTCGACGAGCAGGCTGCGTGTTGAAAGCGGGTGGAAGTGAAAGAAATGCCACTGCTTGCTCGGCAGCGGCGCCGCGGCGGCTGATTAAATGTGTGGCTGTCTGTGGCGGCATGCGAGGACACGTGTGACTGGGTAACACGTCCTCCCTGCGCGCGTGGAGAGATGTGAAAGGACAACGCTAGATGTGTTTGTTGAGATTTTGTTTCATTCAACAGCTGAGATACAAATGAGTAACGTTGTACTGAACGTCATTCGATTACCCTGAAAAGCTTTTGAATTGATCCGATCATTAAAAAAAGACGTTTGTGGGCTGCGTTGATGCTGCTGTTAGATTTTTTTGAATGGACAAGTATGGATTGAAGAAGTATTATTTTGTTAAAAAAAAACAACTTATATTTCCCAATTTCTTTTCAATAAATACTGAATTTTGGGCTCAAGAGCCCTCTGGATTGGAAATGTTTAAATCATTCTAGCACACGAACAATCCTTCATACATCAACTAACTCTTTGTTACCTTGAGTTTTGGAAGAAACCGTTTTCTCTAATAATCCATTTCACAACAGAAAAATGATGCAAACCTGCCACACGTCTCATGCGGTAGAATTCAGGTCTCTTTTATGCAGCGAATGCTCACATGAGTCCTATGGAACAGACCTTGGATGAGTAGTACGCCTGCTTTTAGCAGTACGATTGTAGACACTATCAATGAACCAGTGCTTTTTCTGGCCCTGTGAAGTCATTTTGTGCCTAAATCCAATATGCAGGAATACTCAAATCATTTCCGAGTTCGCAAATGTCAGAATTTGCAGTCTTGCGCTAAAAACGCTACGCAGCCGTTGTGAGCAAACCCTTCCGGGCGAGGTGAGTGTCTGCTCCTCGCTTGGTCGGACGGGGAGCGGCGGTCCAGAAGGTTCTCAAGAGGTAAACCGCGAGGCGAATACTTGACGGGCTCACGTGGATCTGCACGGTGTGCAAACAGGCAACACTGTTCGCTAACCTGAATACCTGTAATTTGTCTTCAGCGTTGTTAGCCAGGCCGCGACAGGCTGTGTCCAGGGCCTCCCCCGTGGAGGTGAGAAGTGCCTCCCGCTCCGCTTCCATCCGGGACAGCTTCTCCTCCAGCTTAACGAGCTCGGCCTGGGAAGCACGTCTCCTCTCAGCTGACCGGCCCTGTGGACGATGGCAGACAGCAGAGCAGGGGGGGATTCTAAATAGTTAGGCTGTGTTGCTTAAATCTTACACGTCATTACAAGTCATTAAGCTGACTTACAATAAAGTGCCTTTCAACTCAAAAGTGCATTTTCATCATGACAGTAGCAAGATGTAAATTGCAGACAGGTTCCTGTAAATGAGAGAAGGAATCCAGGTGGGACTTTTTCAAGATGGATTTAACGGTTAACTGATGATACACATGCAGAAAGACGGGCGTCAGAGAGCCATTAACTTCCCTCCTCTGAACTGCACTGTCAATACTTCCAGTACCAGAGGACGTATTGATCGAGCATCTTAAAAGTAGTGCTGATTTGGCACCACTTGACCTCACTGAGCCTTCTCTGGTTTATATTCCCCGTGACTTTAACGATGTCGTAGATCCTAACGCCAGCAAGGAAGCAGGGTCCCTTAGAGGTCCGCGTTACGCCGAGGATACTGTTCGGACTGAATAGTTCTTTACGCCGACGTGCAACGTGAATGGGTTAAAAGGAGGACATGAAAGACATTCTCAGAAGAGCATAGTTTTATTAAAAATGAAAGCAGTTAGTTTTTTTTTCTTCCTTCCTTTCATTGTCCTTGGACTTCATCCATCACCATTAATTAGAGGTTTCACCACAGTGCGTTTGAGTAAGTTGGCAGAAGGAGGCAGAGCTTACTTTCTCATCCACTTCCTGTTTGAGTAGCTGGTACTTTGTGTGAAGAAGTGCGTGCGCGTGGTCCTTTGTGCTCAGCTGTGCTGCCAGCTTATCACACTCCTCCTTCATGCGGTCCAGCTTGCTGCGCAGCCCTGCACACAGCGCCCTGTCCGAGGCGCCGTCTGCCTGTGAAGAGGACGGCAGAGTTTAGTGATCGCACATGAGGACTGAACTGCTGCAGACCACAATATACAGGAAGCTTGATGACATTGGCAGTGCATTTAATAAGTATCCATTACGGCAAATGATTCAACAAGTCTGCACATCCTGTTAAAAGGCCGGGATGCTCGGATGTAAAAGGCCTCAATGGGGCTCTAAAAAGAGCCAGAATATTTAACCATCTGAAATACTTCTAATGTAAAATTGCATTTCTTCAAGAAACACATTTATTGTTAAAAGCACTTTAAAAAATGTAATCAAATTTCAATTCAAAAGCATGTGGGACGGCTATAAAAACGCTGTTATTTCAGATCCACAGCAACGCTTTTGGAGGCGATTTAAACTGTTCAGTTAATCCCGTTTTAGATCCTCAATCTCTAATAACCTCAGAAACCATCATTCCTAATTATAGATCAAATAAACAGGGTCAGAAATAGGAATAATTCATGCTTTTTCTGACCCTCTGAGGCTTCTGTCCGCGCCGTGCGAGCATTGGGTGGGCTTCTCACGGACACCAGCAGCCCCCGTAGGCTGGTACTTTAAAACGCCCTTGTCCTTACCGCGCTGGGAGATGACACCATTACAATGAGCTATGTCACATATTAATGCCATTCAGCACCGCTAATGGGCTGAGCTCAGCCGTATCAGGGAGGCCCATGCCCGCCTGGGAAACAACGTACCCGGGGGCGCTCATCGTTGGAGATACGGAAGGAGGGCACAGGGGGGGAAGTCAAGTGGAGTCTCCCGTCTCCAGCAGGGCCTTGATAAGACTTCTGAGGTCTGATATCAGCTCTTTAAATATTCCCCCTTGGGGCTCTGGGAAGGCCTTGAGGATCCACACACCATTAGGAGCTCAGCTGTCTTCCATCCAGAGGACAGAGGCCGAGCCGACGAGGAAAATCACTCCACTCACTCAGTCGAAACACGTCACATGTTTGCGAGGCTCTGGTCGGGTTTTTTAAAGTAGCGCTTCTTGATCAGACCTGTGAGAGCAAATCCAGCTTCCTTCACCGTCTCTGCTTCAAAAGAAAAGACCCACACACCCATTGACCACAAACGGACGATAGATTAGCTTAGCTTAGCTTGGGGTGGAAGATGTCAAGAGAACGACACGCATTTTTTGAAAGGCTCGCGAGGGACTCGAACATGCCGGCAGCAAACTGCCAACGTCGCTGTCAACCAGCGGCGCGAATTATTCTGACTTCATCAAGGGGCGCGAGAGCATTGAGAAACACGGGTCCTTCCATCAGCAGACGACCAGCAACTAACGTTAGCTAACGAACTAACACGCCAACCAGCTAACTCGCCGGCCGGCGAGCGGCGAACAGCTGTTCGGGGAGCCGTGGTCCTTTTCGGGGTCAATGAATTAATGCAATACCGTGATATGCCGGGACACCGTCAGAATCTCATTTTTGGCCGCACCGTGCAGCCCTACAGCGCTGCACACGGGCTAATTGTCTCTCATCATCTATCCATCTACTATACAGCATCCCGTCCATCAGTGAGCAACACACACACATTTGGGGTTAAGTGTCCCAGCCAAGGACACTTTTAAATACTGTTAAATACTTTTAAATAAGTATTTATCGATTGAATTATTATAATACATAACATCACATCTCAGTTTCTGACATGGCTTAAGTCACGTGACGTTGGTAACCGAGGTTGTGTTTATATATAGTTTATACTTCATATTATGAACAGAAATGGAGCAAAGTGAGCTTCAGGTTGTCAGGAACCTCAGATATCACTTTCTAAGTTAGTTACGTTACAGAACAAATACACAAAGAAACTTTACATTTGTGTTGTTTTATGGAGCAGGAGGAAGCAGCATCGAGCTGAAGACAACGATGTGTGTGGTGACATTCAGCGAGTAGCATGGACATCTTCTGTGAGATCTTAAATTAGCTCCTATTCTATGCAAGAAGAAAAGTCCTTGCATACAAGTTAATACATGTGTTTGCTGCGGTTGTTTTTATTGACTGTAGTTATTGATTTTCTCTGCCTTAAGATTGCAATATTACTTTTAGCTTAAACTATATGGCTTAACTGATTTAATTTGAATTTAAAATAACCGGAAAATGATTTTCTCTCAGCCTGAAACACATCATGGTCCGGAGGAGAAGCTTTGCATTTTCTTAAACGAGATAGTAAGATTACCTTTTCTATCTGCATGTAATGTGTTTTTTGTATTTTAAGGCTTTTACTGTCAAGCGCAGCAGGTTGCTGGGCAACGGGAGCTGCAGAGGAAAAGCGGATGACGCCAGCGGGAACTTCCCCCGTAGGCCAGACCGTCCAATAAGACACGGCTATCGCCTCAATGGCAGAGTAACCGACCTGTCCGTCACCCCTCTGTTGACAAGTACAAGGAGCTGAGGAGTCTACACCCCGTCCCTCAGGAGAGGAGTGGGACACACCTGGAGCTAATGTCTGCGTCAGGGAAATGCATGAAGGACATCCAGGGGAACAGATGGAGAGGCGCTCAGGGCTCCTCTCTGAAAGCGTAGAGGCCGGTCAATGTGAACATTCAAACTTCATTAAAGAGTTCATGACCAAGGCTAGACTTTCTGTTATTGGAAGTTATACTGGAACAATAAAAGCAATGCTGAACTCTAGATGAGTGTTCCGGGCCAACCGTCTAGCAATATAGTTCATTATGTATTGTATTGTCACCTACCGCCTGAAATCAGTGTGTTCCTTTAGATAAATTAAAGCATTTCCACAATAAATTGGTACATAAGCTGCCGGGAAAACCAATGCTAAATGTATTCCAATTTATTTTTCTAAATGTGGCATTTAGTAACCCTTTCAGAGATGTAACGCAACACAATGATCAAGACTCCTATTCAGGGGGAATATGAGTCTACATTTGAATTAGTGGGGTCAGTACAGGACCCTGATGATGGAACGGTTGAGAGCCGATTCACATGCCAGCAGCTGTAACGCGTATCAACACACACGCAACTCATCTATGCACAACTGAAGTGCAACGACCGGTCGCCAGGCTCAAGCTAGCTGTTTTAATGTCTTAATGTTAAGCTAATATAATCCAGTGCTCACCTTAACCTCCTCCAGCTGGGCCTTTATTTCGTCCCTCTCCCGTTGGCAGAGCTTGAGCATGTCCTGCGCTTCCCAATCCTTCCTCGTCCTGCTGTTGTGCGTCACGGCCCTCGTGGTTTCCAGTTCTGCCTGATGCGCCGCTCTCTCCAGCTGCAGCTGCTGCCCCAGAGCGGCCCGCTCCTCCTGCGCCGCTTGCAGCTTGGCCTGGAGCTCCGCGGAGCCCTTCTGGAGGCTGTGCTTGGAGCTCTCCTCCTCGGCTAACCTCTGGGTTAGATGAGCGTGGGCCGAGGTCATCTGCTTTAAGGCGGCCTGGTCCCTCTGGCACTGACGGGCCTGGATCTCCGCCTGCTCCTCCAGCCTCTGGTTCTCCTCCTTTAGTCTCGTCTTGGCCGCGGCCAGACGCTGAGTGTCCTCCTCCAGGGCAGCGGAGGCCTCCTTCACCTGGGGTCAGAGTCTGTTAGTGTGATCAGAGCGCTTTGCAGGACTCCATCGCCGAGGTTTTCACTACATTTAACAAGATTTCAAACTGGTCAGCCAAAATAATTAAATGAAATTCAGTCTGCCTGTGGAGTGCAGGATGCTCATGTGATCGTGACCTCTAAAAAACCAAATGATACGTCAACCATTTGCATGACTTCAATGCTGTCTGAATGCTAAACGTGTCATCATCATCACACGACCCGCTGGCAGTGTGATGCCGCTCGATTTCGACCACCCGGCTGACTCGATACGGTTCCTAAATACTAACTCCAGTGTTGCATCTTCCTACGGCTAAAATGAATGTCTTAGCAGTACCTCCCGGGTCTCCTGCTCCAGAGACAAGTGGCGCTGGCGGATCTCGGACAGCTCCACGTCCTTGCGGTGGAGCTCTTCTTCGCGTTGGGCCAAGCGGCCCAGGACTCCGGCGAGCTCCCGGCGGGTCGCCTCCGTCTGCTGGCGCAGCTCCTTCAGCTGGGCCCGGGCGCTCTCCCTTTCCCTGGCTACCTGGAGGGGGGAGAAGGGAAATGAGGGATGACATATGAATGGGAGGCGGAAGATGGTGTTCAAAAAGCCGCTGTAACAATGATAATGAGAAGGAGCGACAGAGAGACATGTGCAGGAGCAGCTCCAGCACCGATAGCACAGACAATGGTCACGTCTGTTCCAGGCAGATTGCTTCTAATGCTGCAGCTCTGCCTGGAATGTGCCGGAGCTCAGAACCTAATCATTTAATTGAGCACTTGATTCCCTCCGCTAATTCATTAGGGGAGCAGAAATACTTTTTGTAATTAATTCACGTCGCGTCGAGTAAGCCGGGGAGGGCGTCCGCCCGGCGGAGGAGCGAGGCTGCTGACGGGGACTCGGAGTTCAAACGGAGTGGGAAGCACTGGGAGGTGACCTTCAAGCTAATAATCACTGAACCTTTCATCGTTCCACAGAGCACTACTTTAACATACAGGGCCTCGCAAAAGGTTCTGTGACCCGCTTCCGATTTGGATATAGAATTATGAAGCGGTTAGAAACAAGGTCGTGTAGTTCTGACTTTGTATGACTTATTGCTGGCTTTTATCTGCATTCAATAGTTTTTACCCTCCCATTGGCTGTTCAGGCTCAGCCGTATTCGCCCGGGTAACGTGAGGCGAAAACCTTCTAGAGAACAGAGCTCCTGTGGCGTGTCCTCAGTGTTCACGTAGTAGCAACATTTGCTTCCACCAGCGAGAGTTTGGCTGAAATAAGTTGTGTTATTCTCGCTGCCAGGAGCGCCGCTACGAATCAGATGCTGCTGCAGCAGCATCTGGACCCTTTGAGACTGAGCAGCTGAAGGCCATGAGAAGCTGAGCTAACTCAGGGTGACTAGTCAATATGCTGCAGTGACATGTACCACATTGTGGTGCAGAGTTTTGACTTTGTTCAATGATGGGCCAAAACGAAAAGACTGGTATGTATTTGTATTCTTCATGTACGCTGCTCTGAGATGTTGCCTCATGTGCTGATCTGCATCACGGGACAAATGTCTTTGCAGAACATGGGCGATCTCTTTGTCAATAATGACGCCAAAGTATTTTGAATAAACTGAACCTACCATAAAGACAGACTGGAGATCCAAATACTTCTTTAGCAGGCACGTCATGAATATATAGATATAGACCAAATAGAATTACTATAATCTGAAAAGTCAAAGCAAAGGTATGTTGACTTTTAGTACCGAGTACTGTTCAGTCCAGAAACCTTACACACCAATAGTAAAACCCAGCACCTACAATTCCCCTCATCGCACTAATAAGATCTTGCATTAGTGTATGCTAATGCATACACCTGCACCAACACACCTGCGAGGTCCCGTCCGTGTGGACCTGAGCCTGGGCCCTCGCCTCCTCCAGGTCCTTCTGCAGCCTCCTGCACTTTGCCTTCCACTGGCGCACGGCCTCCTGGGCCCTGGTCCTCAATTCAGCTCTGCTCCTCGTGCTCTCCTGGAGCAGCGCCTCCGTCTCCCTCCTGTCGGCCTGCCCTCGGCTCTGTCATAACAAGTGGGCACAGTCATTCCTTTTTCTTTTTTTTTTTTTTTTTTTTTCAGCCATGCCGATGCTAAATGTTTTTTTTTGTTGAGTTAAAATAAACCTACTACAACAGTTAGCATAACTTAACATTAGTGAGTGTTCACTTTATTAATCATTACTGTGAAGCCTCAATACAAACATACCTGCATCTCCCTCAACTGGTCCAGCATTCGTAGCTGCTGCTGCTCCCACTGGGCCCGCTCTGATGACAGGTCCTGAAAGAGACAAAGGACGTGTGTGTGTCTGTGTGTGTGAGACTAATACCACTGCTGGTGGGGCACAGAAGAGTCGGGCAGACATAAGGGTGCAGAGGAATGGCTATAATAAACAAATTATAATAAACAGTAAAGAGCGAGTGACAAAATACAGATTATATGCAAGCTCTTCTGAAAGTTGTAGTGCCATTTAGGTATTTATACTGAATAAGACAGCAATCAAAGGTTGGAACCCCTTTTGCTTTATTCTTGCTGGCATACTTTCAACAAGCAGTTGTTTGCTCCATATTGACATGAAAGCTCCTGAAGTTTGCGGATGACACCACCCTCATTGGACTGATCTCTGGTGGGGACGAGTCCGCCTACAGCTGGAGTCTGACCATCTGGTGTCCTGGTGCAGTCAGAACAACCTGGAGCTCAACGCTCTAAAGACAGTGGAGATGGTTGTGGATTTCCGGAGGAACAGAGTCCCACCCTCCCCCATCACCCTGTGCGACTCCCCCGTCACTATTGTGGACTCCTGGGTCCTGACTCCTGTGGTTTCCTGGGCTCCATCATCACCCAGGACCTCAAGTGGGATTGAGAGAGATTTTTTTTCTCTTATAAAAAAACTCAAACTCAGATTTGAGAAAATTTAGAAAATTCAAGATGCATCGATAATCGTTTTATCAGTTTAGAATCGATAATCGTTTTAGAATCGAATCGTTGACCTCTGAATCAGAATCGAATCGTGAGGTGCCAAGAGATTCCCACCCCTATTGTCACTCGTCACTTGTTCGATGTGGTTGTTCGTGCACTTTATTTTTTAACTTTTTAAATATTTTAAATTTTTAACTCTAACTTTATTCCCTTGTTTTACACTAACCCATCGCCTTATTCTACTAACCCGTTGCATTAGCATTTCATTTCATTTTATTACTTGTGCACTGCTGTCTTGTTGTCTATTGTTACACTGTCTACTGTCACGCACCAACCGCCAAGACAAATTCCTTGTATGTTTGACGTATTTTGGCAATAAATGTTTCCTGATTCCTGATGGCGTCACGCGGATGTTGCAGGTTTGTCGGCTGCCCGTCTATGATTCCACCACCTCCCAGAGGGGCTCTATTGGGTTGAGATGTGGCGACCGTGGACTCTTTGTCATGTTTAAGAGACCAGTGTGAGATGGTATGAGCTCTGTGACGTGGTGCGTCATCCTGCTGAAGATGGTCCACTGTGGTCATAAAGGGATGAAATATCCTCCACAGCACCAGCAGGCTAAATGCATGGATCCATGCTTCCTTGTGGTTTATGCCACATGCTGAGGGTTAACCAGACTACAGACTCTGTCTGGACCACGTCTACACGCCTAAATACACTGAGTTGCAGCAATGTGATTAGCAATTTGTGTTAACAACCCATTTAACAGGGGTGCTTTCTAAAGTGGCGGCGATGACGGAGATGTTCTCTGAAGAGCGGATGTTAAAAGCTCAAGTGGGGTCGATATAAAGGATCACATACCTCCACCTGTGAGCGGAGTTGGACGCTCTCCTTTTCCTTTCGGTCCAGAGTCCTTTTCAGTTCCTCGACCTCGCTGGTGACCGACGCGGCGTGCAGCTGGGCTCGCAGCGCCGCCACCTCTTTCTCCAGCTCCAACCCGTCTACACACACACACACACACAACCACAGCGTTACCAGGAACCACAACTGTACAATACGGGGTGGCGGGTGGATTAGACATGCAGCACACACTGCAGAGGCAAGGCCACGTCTTTTGAGTGAGATGGATATTTGCTACACCTTTTTTTACCTTCTGCACGGAGGGCTCATATGCACATGCCAATCACTTCCCCCGGTCACTGGAGACCGACCCACAGTTGGTAGAATACAAATAGTGTGATGTAAATGAAGCAAAACTCGCACATTCTGATTCACGCATTCTAACGTCTTCTTATTTCACCATATTTTTACCCCGCCTGTCTAGTTCACATCATTTGTACCTAAATCTTACTTAGCTAGTTATAAAAAAAATGTGTCAGATTCAAACCTTCACTGCTATTTAAGGCCTTCGAGGGTCGAAATTCAACACTATTACAAAAACGCTTCCGCTGCTCCCAACAGTCTCAGACATAAAGTCAGCTTTCTCCATGTTTACGTCATAGCGTCGTGTCGTCATAGCGATCCTCTTTTAAGAGGATGCATCCAGATGTTTTCTCCTTTCTGCCACAGACCCAACTTAGATTCAGTACCTGCCCCTCTTTGCCCCCCATCCCTGAAGGTGTGGTTGCCATGAGGAAACTCCGTCTTCTCCTTCCTCATCCTCAGCAGCTCGCCTCGCATGTCCTCCACCTGGGGGCGTCGGCCAGAGAAAGACATGTGACTGTCCCGGTGGGGAAGACAGACCGTCTCTGAGAAGATGCTGCACGGATTGTTGTTGTGTATGCTGACGTCAACGAGGACAACGCAGAGACACAAACAAACCTGTTGAACAAGAGCTTCTCTGCTGTCCTCAGACTGTCCAAGACGTCTTCTAGCTGCCTCCAGTTCCTGCTCCATCTGAGAGGAGCATAACAATAACAGGGTCACGGTGATATAGGATGGAGGAAGCAAAAGGGTGGAGTTCCATCACCTGCAGTGGATCATCAGGTGTGCAGAATTCACAATACACAGACATTGATTTAAGGTACAGTTATGACACGGTGCTTAACTATGACATTTTCAGATAAAAGAATTGACATAAATAAATTGGCCAGGCGAGAATATGAATTCTTGAACTATTGCTTCAGTAAAATGATGCTTAAGGCCAAATGTTCTCTAAAAACAACACGTATTCACCTTTGATCTCTCCTGGCCGGCTCGCAGCAGTCTGGCCCGCTCGCTCTCCTGGTGTCTCCCTGAAGTCTACAAAACACAGACCACAGCATCATCAGCATCATCATCATCATCAGAAGACAGTAGAGTCAGAATGCAGTCGGCGGTGTTATTACACCACAGGACCCAGCCAGTCGCTTCCTCTTGGAAGGAGAAAGTGTCACCGCGGTGGAACGTACGAGCGCTTAGATCCGTCCCACTCGGAGCGGCTGGGAGGATGAATTATAACATCGGCCCAAGTGACTCATCGTCTATTTGATTCACATCGCAGCGGGACATCGCTGGGCCGTGCTCGCCCTCCTCCCTGCTCCGTAGTAGTAAAGGGGATTACTTCCCTCTTCATGTCCTCATGGATGTTTATTTGCCCTTAATTTTTGGACAAATGCATTATGTCCCATCGCCACGGGTCCCGCTGGTGTCCCATTAGGGCACTTAAGAGGAGAGGGATGCAAATGAATAGGTTTCGACTGTCATTACAGCGCGTCTGGCTCCAAAGGGGCATCCATCTGCACACGGCTCCACAGCGCCCCCCTGTGGTGCACGAATAAACCAAAGAAAGGAAAGATGCATCGATCGGGTCCAACCAGACGCTGTCCTCACAACCGGTTAACCAAAAAAAACATGCTTTTGTCCCAAAAATGAAACCTCCTCATGCTGATGATAACAAGGATGAAGTGGCAGCGTCAGAGATCAGTAATACGAGACCAAGTGTTCCTTCCTCTGACTGGGTGCATCGAGCTGTGAGCTGACCTCACTGAAGTGCTGTTAACGACGGACTCGCTCAGCTATTAGTGCTACGAGGCAAATGCACGGGTCAAAGACTCACAAAAACACCACGACCATGAAACACGGGAACGTAGCGGTTTCTTGCTTGGCGACCATCGGAGCAATGGCCGTGTTTGGTAGTCTCGTAAGGCAGAGTGACATAGTGAGAATGCCGTCTTTACAAAGCAGCGCCGACTGCGGCGCCTTAGAGGGACCACCAATAGAAACAATCTAAGGACCAAGCGGGGAGGAATTTGCAAATGTAATACGGGGGTCGTGGTATGTTACACACAGAAACACAAGATATGCAGATAGATGCGTGTAATGCAGAGCTATGGATCCAGTCTGACACCAGAAGCATCACGACGACCAGACGCTTGTTTCCAGCAGGACATGAACGCACCACAAACCCGTCTGAGAATGTCCCTTAGGATATCGCTTTGTGTTAATCATGACTGTTTGACTCGTATGTTTAGTTGTGTGTGTTCTTTAGTGTTTCCAATGTTGCTTTGTCTGTCACTTCATTATAACCTCAACCTGCTCAGGTAGTGCAAATAAAAATAAGCCTTTTGTTGTTGTCATGCTTCCTCTCTTCGAATGTGAGAGAACCTACATCCCTCCGTCCAGCACCTCCCGCATGAGACTAACAGCTGTTGCGTGCTGAAGGGGGGGGGGTGTCACCTCCTGCAGTCTGCCCGACATGGCCGCCCGCTCTCTCTGCACGCCGCTTTGCTCAGGGTGCACCTCCCTCTCCAGCTCCTGCAGCCGGCGCTCCACACGAGAAGACACCTGCAGACAGTGAGACGGCGGGGACGCCTGAGGTCACACAAACATCACCGCCGCAGGACACAAAGAGCGAGACGACAGGAAATGAAAATGTAGCTGACGAAAAAAGATGTATATCTTTTAGAACGGATGCGAGTGTTCCTTGTGTGATCGGGGCGCACGCAGCACACGCGCCTGTAAGGGCAGTTAGCCACAGAGCGCCGCTTGAATTGGATGAAGTGTAACATTGAAATGAAGTCCAGAGCTGGACAGAATGCTGCGAGTAGTCGTGGGGAACAACTCCACTCACTGAGTCCGGTGTCGGGTCGTCTCTCAGGCTGTCCATCGCTCGCCTGCTGTCAACATCACACCTACGAAAAGCACACAAATAGTTACACATCAGGGCTTTGAAAAAGCCTTCCAAGGACATTATTCGGAATTCGTAATGTGATGCCACTAAAAACAATTATGCGGCGTCAGACTGTAAATTATAGTGGATCTTTTAGGTGTGGCCAGCAGCGTTAACACTATTTATTAAATTCCCAAAGTCTATTTGCATTAATAAATGAAAGGAGTTTGTGTGAATAGTCTCCAGTCATTGGCTGCTACTTTGTCTAACGTCAAGTTGTTACTATGCAAAGGTTACTTAAACAACAGGAGCCGATTGGAGTACGTTTTCTTTTTCTGACTTTGAGGCGATAAAGTTATCCGAGAGTACAAATGTTCAATGCGAATGTACCTTTGACTTGGTTTTTAAATATGACTGTGACACGTTGACAAGAATGTTGGACACATTTTTGTCCTCTTTTGACTTTTTTTAATTGACCTTTTACATAAAGTAGCTGTTTCTAACATTCAGAGCATTAATACAGCAGTTTTATCATATTAACATGTCATTCGAAACATAATGTTGTTCTTTAATGTTATTGTTATTCTATCTGAACTCTTTCTAAGCTGATATATAATTACAATGTCATATTATCACTATTATTTTTACTGCTTATGCTTACTTTAGCAGTTATAAAAAAAAACAGTAGAAGTTTCAACTTTGTTCTAAAGACCCTTTTGTCTCATAACAAAATGCGACTGCTTGATTGAGTTGCTATGATACCTGTTTCTCCTGAGGATCTCTCTATCCAGGTCGCTAGACAGTCTGTGCTGGCCACGACGCAGATCCCTCAAGGACTGGTGCAAGGAGTGAATCTGCATGGGAGCCACACGTAGATACAGATTAGATATATTATATATTACATGTTAGCCGTCGCTGGGACTACTAAACACAATGTATTCCTGAAAACTGGCATGAGTAATTCAGATAGAATCTCAACAAGCTCCTTCAAGGTTCAGCGTCCTGTCAACAACCCTAACGCGCTGTGCCCTCTGGTGGACACTTCCTGACACTGCGTGACAGTAACACATGGCACTGATTGGTGGGTGGTTTGTCTCCGTCCTTACGTCGTCCTCCGATAGGCTGTTGTCCTTAAAGCGAACACTGGCGGACTGAGACCTCCGCCTCCTTCTTGGGGTGCCTGCATAGTCCCTCGGGGGGGAGGGGGGGTACAAATGCTGTCTGTCTGAAAGTACAGATCTATACGTGTTATTAAGGTTTGAAGGCAGGGAACCAAACAAAAACCTGCTTCACAACATATTCAAACGTTTTTTCACATTTCTCGTGTATTATTTCAGTGTTATCTGCCTTCATGTTTCCTAGCTTTGAATGAAGCTGGAATGATCCAGAACTAGCAGAACAGCTGACGCAACATCCTTTCATCTGCTCCGTACCTGAACCGGAGCCGGCCTCCAGGTCACTGGTGTGCACCGTGGAGGCCGAAGCAGACGCACAGCGAGCGCCACAGGATCTGCTCACCCGCTGCGCCTGCAGCTCACCAATCGACTCTTCCAGGTTCCCCCTGAGCTGGAGTGGGCAAAGCAATGAGATGATCCGGCATGGAACAACCAACTGTGAAAACACTTTAGAAGCATTAAGTAGCAGTAACAAACCTGGTTCAAAATCAGTGAACAAATAAGGAAAACAAATAACTGCAATATATATAAACATATACATACACACACACACACACACACACACACACACACACACGTGTAAATAAAACATATATAATCACATCCCTGATACGATCTGGAGAAGGAGAAATAAGTAAGTAAATTGAAGATAGTAGACGTAAAGATAAGCTAAATCGTTGAACCAGGAGCTGAGCTCTCCGTAACGTGCTCATGCACGTTGATTCACATAACTGTGGCTGACCATTGCCAAATATAACAGGTGTCTGACCAGTGCCACATATAACAGGTGTCTGACCAGTGCCACATATAACAGGTGTCTGACCATTGCCATATAACAGGTGTCTGACCAGTGCCACATATAGGTGTCTGACCAGTGCCATATAACGATGTCTGACCAGTACAATATAACAGGTGATTGACCAGTGCCATATAACGGGCTGTCCAGTGCCACATATAACAAGTGTCTGACCAGTGCCACATATAACAAGTGTCTGACCAGTGCCATATAACAGTGTCTGACCAGTGCCACATAACAGTGTCTGACCAGTGCCATATAACAGTGTCTAACCAGTGCCACATAACAGTGTCTGACCATTGCCATATAACAGGTGTCTGACCAGTGCCAAATATAACATGTGTCTGACCGGTGCCAAATATAACAGGTGTCTGACCAGTGCCACATATAACAGGTGTCTGACCAGTGCCACATATAAAAGGTGTCTGACCAGTGCCAAATATAACGGGTGTCTGATCAGTGCCATATAACAGGTGACTAAGCAGTGCCATATAACAGGTGACTAAGCAGTGCCATATAACAGGTGACTAACCAGTGCGAAATATAACAGGTGTCTGACCAGTGCCACATATAACATGTGTCTGACCATTGCCATATAACAGGTGTCTGACCAGTGCCAAATATAACATGTGTCTGACCGGTGCCAAATATAACAGGTGTCTGACCAGTGCCACATATAACAGGTGTCTGACCAGTGCCACATATAACAGGTGTCTGACCAGTGCCAAATATAACGGGTGTCTGATCAGTGCCATATAACAGGTGACTAAGCAGTGCCATATAACAGGTGACTAAGCAGTGCCATATAACAGGTGACTAACCAGTGCCAGGGCTTCAGCTTGCTCGTCGGTGTGCTCCCGGTAGTGTCCCAGCATCCGGTCCACTTTGGTCAAGTTCCTACTGGTGTCCTGCAACGGAGAAGACGCTTCTGATTCATGATGGTTTGGCGAAGCGCAGTTCGTGGTGCCGCGTGCAGCGTTTGTCTCGCGCGGCGGCGCAGGTTACCTGTAAAGTGGTCGCCAGTGTGCCAATCTTCTCGGAGATGTCCGCGGTTCGACCGTCACCTCCAATCCCGCTGGCTCTGCCGCTGTCCCGGCCCGGTGCGCGGCGAGCATCCCGCCCTCGAGGCCTGTGCCCCCGCGTCCTCTCGAACGAGTCCGACCCGCTGGATGTATCCATATATATATGGCGCTATAGCGCGGTACGAGCAGGTGCAACTGTTAATCGCATTAACCAACACACGGGGCTGATTTTAACTTTTTCAACACTAGACGCATCGGTCAGGGCCGTGGAAGAGGCACTTTGCCGTCTTTGGCTGAGCAGCCCGTGCAGACAGAAAGTTATCCGACCAGCGAGGCCCTTCCAGCCCGCCTGCCCTCCTCCCCAACCGGCCATTGTTGTGAGCGGAGCTCCATCCGGCTAGCAACAAGTGGTCAACCCACTACAACGACCGTTAGCTAGCTAACCCGGCGTTAGCCAACTAGTTAACTCTCCCTGAGACAAGAGTGCGAGACGCGACGCGTTAACCAGCGGGCAGACAGGGAGCGAGCAGCGCGGATAACCGAAGCAGTGTGTTCGCTTCGCCGGTGATAGCTAACAGAGTTGCCGTCAGTTACCGTGCTATGGCAACTTGAACTGGCCGCGTCTGAGCAGGAAAACGACCGTTCGGCAGCCGCAAGGCACGCCGGGAAATGAAGGCTAACGGCGCGGAGCGGTGCGGGAAGCCGGTGTTTGTGAACTACAAGGTCCGGCGGCGAGGACACTTGTCAGATAAACGCGAACAAAGACGTGAGAGAAAACAGGAATTGTTTCTGGCACATAAAACGCTGAGCGGTGAAATAGGAAATAACGAAAAACACAGAACAGAACAAAAGTGATACAGTGGAACTGAAAGCTCATGTTAATTGATTACAGTGTACTATTTGAGCTGGGCCTAATTGGACAAGCAGAACCACACTAATCCCTCTCGAACTGAAAGCAATAAAAGGCATTTCTTTTTTTGAAAAGTCATGTCAACTTTTATTTAACCAGGAAAGTCCTGTTGAGATGAAACATCTCGTTTATTAATGGAGACCTGGCCAAGGGGCAATAACACGAGAGCGCCTCAGAAGCCCACCCTCCCCTCAAGTTGGAGACCACCTCCAAACCCACCACAACAGCGCAGCTACCGGTCCTACTGCACCTCCTCCTCCAGCACCTCCACCTCAGGCACCTCCAGCACCTCCGCCTCCAGCACCTCCGCCTCCAGCACCTCCGCCTCCAGCACCTCCGCCTCCAGCACCTCCGCCTGTGACTGTGCAGACCTGAGGAGGACAGCACAGACTGCACGTGGCTTCACTGGACTCAATACGCACGTGTTGTTGGGGACACCAGCAGGACTGTCCGGAGAGGAAGCCGCGGGGACATTTGGGGACATTTAGCGCCGATGCTGCCTCCAGCATGCAGGTGGTAACATGCGCGCTGTTTGCGCTGGTCAGTGCGCGTGTCGGCGCGGAGTCCTGCCCCGCAGTGTGCGAGTGCTCCGAGTGGGACACGCACACCATCTCGTGCTTTGACATCGGGACTCTGCCCAGGTTCCCTGCAGGCACGGAGACACTGTGAGTACGCGGACTAAAGACATCTGCGAATGCATTTTAGATGTAAAGTACTCTTAACCCAGAGGAAAAATCATTATACGGTTTTAAATGTCCCCTCAGATGTCCCCAGAGGGACATCGCGGCTGTCTGTTAAGTAGATGCTCCATTCTGAGGTATTATATTCAAAGTTCTCAGGGTAACTTAATTCTCAATTTAGTGTGGAATGTAATCAGAAATATATTAAAGGAAAACTACACTAATTTATAAATTAATTATACTTATCATTTTAATTTGAATCATATTTTACACAAACAAATAAAACAATAAAAGGTCACATAGTGACTATGTGTGTGTGTATATATATATATATATATATATATATATATATATATATATATATATATATATATATATACTTTTCAGTATAATAATATATATATACTTCCAGTGATTTTCTAGTGGTTATTATTTTAAAATAAGTGCGTGAAATATTTATTGTCAGAAAATTGGGATCCCCATTGAAGCCATTTCTGCATCTTGAGGCTGCTTTTATTTTCTAAAAAACACCCAGAAATCATTGTGGTGCACAGTTCAAAGGGGAGAAGGCTTTGCTCACCACTGTACACGGATGATCCGTCCTAATTCCTAATTAATAAACCCTGTTTCTACAGTGGAGAGGAAGCTTTGTGTCAACTCACAGTTCAATTTAACCAACAGAAATATATATATATATATATATATATATATATATATATATATATATATATTAATGATAATCAGAGGGTCTGTGTGCAATCTATCGTCTTGTTATTTTAGAGCTATAATAAGTTGTCAAGAATCCTGGGAGCCGACATGACTTAATAAGTCAGGGTCGACTCTGACATGCAGGGCGTTGACACTTCCTAGTTGCTAAAGTACAGAGCAGAAATGATGCAACACCAAGTGACCAGTTTGACCTTCAGGGATGGAAACACATGCCCTTCAGAGGGACACAAGTGGAGGTTATTTCCATTTCAATCATCATTCTTTAGTCATAAATCAGACGGTAGTTATATTGTATTAGGTGACCCTTTAATGAGAACGAGCCTTACAAAATTCCCCAAAAGATCTACAGCTCAGCAATGAAACCCTCCACCCTTCAATCCCCGACACCTCTGTGCACCGGCTCCAACGGCACCCATCGCATGCAATTACCTCCCGATCACTGCCCCAATTCACCGGGCGACCACGTGCCCCACATGTCCCCCCGCAACTCCCTCACATTCCTGCCCAAAGTTTACCCAGCGTCCTCGAGGAGGACAGAGACATGAAAGCGAGATTACCCTCCCGATGAGAGACGGACAGTGTGCTGCGGGGCAGCAGATGAGGCGTGAGGCGGTTTGATTTTCTCGTGCACACACACACGCGCGGAGGGATGAATGGCCCCGCTCAGGCCTGCTGACTGTTAGCCACGTATGCTAAGACAGACTTTCTGCTCATATTCCTTTTTCAACTCCTTTCTTCGCCAAAAAAAAAAAAAAAAATGAGTGAAAAACGCAAGGCAGACGTCTGTCCGTGTCCGTGTGAGTGTGAGCGCAAGGATACTGGAGCGTGTGGAGGTTAGTGCGCGTGTCACCGGCAGGGCCGGGGCGGTGGAAAGGAAGCCCGCGTAGCGTGAGTCCCGACTGCGTCTGGACGATGCGTTCAAATACAGTGTTTATCTTCTGCAGCACATTTCTCAAACGCCCGGGCGCCGCCATTTGAGAGTCATTAAGAGGAAGAAAAGAGGAAAGAAACACGGCCGACTCCGAATTCTTGGATTGGAGTTCAAACATGCGATAAGTCGTTATGTTCGGTGTGCCTCGACCTGCTCGTGAATGGTAACAGATGAGCGCTGCGATTGATTGTAAAATGAGACGGGGCGCTGTGGTCACTGGGAATACGGACATTTCCATAGCTATTAATGTTTTAGCTGTTACCTCTCCTGTTATTACCTAGTTTAAATGTAATCCCTTGTTTTTTCTTGCTGCTGTAAATTCAGAACACACAGGTCAGAGCATAAAAATGTGAAAAGGTAACTGCGTCATGTCCATGTGCTCTGCCTGGAAGGACACTAGGTTTCTGTTTTGTGGGGATTTCCTTCTAGAAAACCTTCCGACACTCGATTCCATGGAGTCCCACCGGAGGTGGACGGTGAGTGAGACGGTCTAACAGTGTAAATGTCCAACCATCACTGGCAATATCATGAGTTTTGATGCTTCTCCCGCTTCAAACTCAATTCCCCTCCTGTTTGTTTTCTCCAAAATGAGACATCGGGGGAGTCATTTTCTCCTCAGGCCTCCAAGACGGGCTCATTGGTGTTTGTTGGAAAAGCCAAATAACGCGTGTGTGTTATTTGGGTTTGAGGCTGTGACAGCGGTGTTTGGTATCGGGGGGGTCTGCTCTGCGTCCCGCTGTTTGTTTGAGTGCGTCAGAGGGGGGCCGGGTGCCACCGAATGACCACGAGGGCCTCGGCATCTGAATCCTTCCATTGTTCCCAGAGGTGCTCGAAGGAGCCACGTCTCGTACCTGCTTCCTAATGGATGCCTTCACGGTTTCCAGTCGAGGAAGGACGGCGTGCATGGGAGTGCATCCTCCTGCACGCCGGCAAACAAGGCGATATTTGGCTACCGGCCTTATCTTTTTCGCCTTATAATGTTGTGACGCCAAAATAGTCCACTACTTATTTGCTTTCCTTGTTAGGAGTCAGATGACCAGATTTCTGTATGTTTACTCTATGCAGGGGAATTTTCTTTGTTTGGATAGAGCCAGGTTAGCCGTTTCCTCCGCTTTTAGCCTTAGTGCTAAGCTAACCGTATCTTGGCTAAAGCTGTATGGGCTATATACCGTACAGATAACATTTACAGGTATCTTCTTATCTGAATCAAATCATCTAGAAAAGAAAGTACAATTTGATGCCATTTTTCTTTTAGAAATTGAAATTGTTTGAATGCTATAATTTTATCAAACAGCAAAAATATCAATGGATATGGATAAAATATGGGAATATAGATGAGATTGTAGATGTTTTCCTCCTCATCACAGTGCATCTGTAACACCAGGTACTCATTTATCCTCAGCGACGTGAAGGTGTGTTTGACTGTGTGTATCCCACACTAACCTCCTCGGAGACGTCGCTCTAAACAGACCCAGACATTGTTTGATTTGGCTGCCAGCTCCGGTCCAGTCAGATCCAAGTTTTAATTCTTCCCCTGATCCTAGAAGGGAGACTGTTTCACCATATGCTTAGAAACCTCTTTCTCTGGTTCTGAACGGTATCAGCGTTGGGCTTTTGTCTTTGTTTGCCCTAGTACTCCTCTTTTGGAGAAGGTGCCACACTAACAATATGCACCTGTAACTTCTCACATATTATCTACTGAATTTATTCTGTGTGTAAAAACAACTATTGGTCATTTTGTGAGAAAGTATTAGGCAGATTTTTTTCAATTGCAAACAGCCGAGAGCCCAACAAGGGCTGCTGACCATCCACCATAAAACCTCAATATGGTGCCAACAGAGGAAAAAAGTGTCAATTACGTTGCTGGTGAGCAAATTGTGTTGCCGTTGGAGCAGCTAGCTGTTTCCAGTTAAGCTAAGCTAACGCGCTGGCTCCGGTTAGCTACATATTTATCCCACTGGACAGTGTCCTTCTCATCTAGCTCTCTGCGAGTAAACAAGAGGCGTAATCTAGTAAATGTCTAGGAACACCTTGCTAATTTCCATCAGAAAAACATTGGGAGTCAAACGTGTTTGTAACTACGAATCTTTACTTTCCAACCAGATGGCTCTTCGAGACCCATCTGCCATCGGTGCCAACAGACGCCTTCGCCAACATGCTCAACATTTCCAGGATGTAAGTGGCAATTCATTCCGAGGGATTATTCCATTCAAGGCCCGCTCGCTGTTTATTAACTGCAGTTCAAACACAAACTCTTTACGGCCGTTCTCATCCACCTGCCGCCTTCCCAAAGTGGGGACTTTTGCTGGCTCCTAATCACAGCTGGAAGCGTTCCTTCGGCAGGAATGTTGGTCCGTCAACCGCAGGAGGGCTTTGGACATTGTATTCCAGCAGAGCGGTTTTGGGCGTGTGCTGATTTTAGATTCCCAGTCGAGACGCGCGGGGGGTAAAATACACACTCGGCCCCCGGCCTCTGAGCCCGTTGTTTGCGTCCACGTCATGCGTGAAGGAAGACAGAGGTGGACAAGACGTTTTCCTCAAGCGGCCAGGAGGGCTCTCTATCCAGATGAAAGGACTGCACGGTAGAAGAAACCAGCCAAACGTCAGTGTGATTTAGTGAGATTATAAGTAATACGGGGAAACAGAACACATGTCGTGTTTTCATCTGGTCTTAAGGACGATCGAGTGCTAAAGTCATGGTTTATTTAAAGAGCATTCTGTTACCAAGTAATAACAAATGGGAGCATTTGACGGATGGTTGGGTAATGTATACGTGGGGTGCATACCTGTAAAATGACCCATAACTCAGGAGGCTTTGGGCAAGGTGGCTTCATCATTCCAGGAAACCGTTGTAGGCCTCAGGCCCGTTTAGAGAGCCACACACTAACTCTGTTGTAAGCGCATGTATTATATTTGTCTGCACGCTGGTTTACACCACAGGCATTATTTTAATAATTCAACGGCAATGTGAACTCTGATGCATTTATTTTAGATATATGTCGGTGGACGTGGTGTTGCAGAGGCTGGAGAGGCACTCGTTCCACAGCCTGAAGAAAATCACCCACATGTAAGTAAATAAAGCAAAGTGCTCGTTATTGATCCCTGTTGATTTAGCTGCTCCATTTGCTCGCTGGTGAGAGAAACGCTCAATTCTGATCCCTGCCGGCAGCAAATGGAGGAAATAAAGGAACACGTTATTTCTCTTACTGCTCCTCATCCGTTTCCCGCACTTAGAGAAAATGAAAACGTTAAAAGCGTTGTGGGGATCGCTGCATGCAAATAAGATGCAAAACAATTCAATTGGTACGACGGAATATATTATCGGATCCATTATTACTCATTCTGGTCTCAATAGACGCTCACAAAAAGCAGGTTAGAAGCAGAGAGGCTGAACAACAGCCAGTTTGTGACTCCTTTTTCCTGCTCCTGCTCCTGCAATGGCTTGGACCACACTCCTTGCAAAACACCTCCTAGTGCTCCATATATTACTCCAAGACTTCCTGCCTATTTGAAGGATCGGATCCAAGTTATAGCGTCTCTGTAACTGGGCAGTCGGTGTGTTTCCGCTGTTGGATTACTGTATAAAACGCGTGCATGTGAAGCCGTTCGAGACAGTAGCTGGGATTAACGCTCATCGGACGTGACTTGCTTGATCACGCGGCCGACCTCTTTGTCTCAATTTCCCTTCCTTTGTGTCTTTGTTAGCTGCTGAATTCCAGACATCGAAACACAGAGCGAGACAGTAATTGAGGGCCGAGCGCGTGTTCAGAGGGTGCTTTTGGGGATCTCGGGGGCCTATTTGCCGCTGATTGGTGTGGTGTAGCGCAATAATGGCATCTCTCTCAGGTTTCCTCCAGGGTCAGACACAAATTAATGCTCCGCTTCCCGTTGGCTGCTCGAGGCCGACGGCAGCTGTGGATCTAAGACTGCAGTCGAAGCGGTCTGGGGGAATTTTATCCTGCCACCATCAAGAGAAACCACCAATCTCAGGAATCCTGGCTTTTTGCTGGGGAGGATAAATACAAAGTCTTTTAAATAGACGAATCTCTCAGTTTTGATCACATGTCAGAATGATCAGCCTGTGGGTAAACCTCTCCGATCGTCTGGGCCCAAAACAACCGGCTCAGATGACGGTCCGACCAGCAGCGACATCAGCATGCGCGCTCGATTGCTTGTCTGACAAAGTGGGCAGTTAAAGCCGCATTGATCAAATTAATACCTGTCAAAGTAACTCGACTCGGCAGTTTCCCTCAGCTCTTTGCACACATTGTTTTGGTCTTAGCCCTCATTGATAGCAACACTAGGGGTCTGCTTTTAGCAACAACAAGCCCTGGCGAATACGCGCTACGCTATGCTAGGCTATGCTACTTACCCAACAGCTGACAAGGAAAGTATTTAGCAGCTAAAGAGCCAGCTCTTCCTCAGGAGCTGGTGGAGACCAAACAAAGGATAAAAGCAGAGCGAGTATTGGACTTTCGTCTGACCGGTTTCCAGAAGAAGGCCTCCCGAGTAAATGCTAATGTTAGCCCATGTCAGCTGGATGACTAAACAGTTTTGCTAATACGTTTACCTTAACGCTATTATGAGGTGATAGTATGTCATTGTTATTTGTCCCCCACGTGGCCAATTAAACAATGAATGTTGCTTTAACATGGCGACATGATGTCATGCAGAAATGATGACCTGTGCACTGACAAAAAATATATATAAAAAGGCTGCTGTTATACAGAGAGGAAACCTTCTGTGACAATGTGTGAAAAGCACGACGATTCACCCACAACAGCATCAACGGGACTCAAAGTGTTCCGCTCGGCTCTTTGTCTCAGCCGTTACAGACTTGATAGACTGTTGACTGACAAACTGCCCCTCGCTTATTTCACCGCAGCTCCAGTTCTTTAATATCTCCCACTCAGTGACTTCCACTGACCAGACTGCGTCCGTCTGCTGGGCCTCGGGACACATGTTCCACAGCTCCACGTGGCCTCGCCCGGCAGAGAGAGAGGTGTTGGGTCCGGCCCAGGGCGGACAGAGTAAACACACTAATGAAACACTAATTGGAGCCTACTTCCGGCCCTGGCCGCCTGCACCAACTTTCCCCTCTCTGGCACACTGGCATGCGCCTCGTTCTCTTCTGTCAGCAAGTCATGAGTGGGTTTATGGATGTGTTTCCAAATCATTTCGTATTGGCCACCGCGCACACTTCCTTCATTTACTTACTCTCTCAATGCTTTCGTTTTATGTGAAAGTGCATTTCCAGGACGCTTGTTTCTTGTCTGGTCTTTCAGAGAGATACGCAACGCAAAAAGTCTGACCTACATTGACCCAGAAGCCTTTAAAAATCTCCCAAACCTCAAATACTTGTGAGTATTTGTTCTTCTTTTACTATTCGTGCTGTCATTGATTCCTTCATGTTGACAACATTGTGGAAATCCAAAAAGAAGCAGGGTATTTATTTAAAATACCTGCATCTGGCAATAATTTAGACTTTGTGATCCATTCATTGCATTGTGTACCAGTACAGGCAAGAGTGAGTCATGCTTCATTTGAGTTTAATCCAGTGGTACAAGTCGGGACTTTGAGCTTTTTTGAAGAACTGTTCTGTCTCATGATGAATCTATAAAAACTCGGCCTTGTAACCAGGCTGCTGGTCTACTTGGTGTCACACGCCAGTAAATGATTTGGTCTGCTTATTATCAAATTATGTCGTGAAACTAAACTCCTATCTTACGGATTTACTTATAAAATAAAATAGCACCATCCTTAACGGCGCCTGTGTCCTCTCCGGTGTGTGGGGTCCTGACCGTCTCTGTCCTCCTGCTCTTCAGGGGACTCTTCAATACGGGCCTCACCATATTCCCTGACCTGAGCAACATCCACTCCAATGACATGAACTTCATACTGTAAGTTGTTATCATTTTTAATACTGTCAACCTTAATCATTAATCAATATGGTGAATCATTAATTAAAACAGTACTAGATTAAACTGCTGCGTGCGGAATTGTAATATCAGCGATGAATTGCCTTATTAATTCAAAGCCATTCCTTTAATAATGGCCACAATACAACAAGTGAGCAGCTTTCTGTTTAAACCTTTTACTGGCTGCTCTACAGTTTGGTAGAGTCGTCATATCTTATTGAAAAATGTATTGACCTCAACTGAACTTGACCTGGCTGTGTTATTGTAAAGACATCCTCTCCACGTCCCTCCGGCTTTAAGAAGTTTACCGTCTCAACTTGCTTCTCTCTGAACTATAGTTGTTGACATTTTTAAAGAAAAATTAATTCAGAATATTTTAACACACAAGGTTTTATTGAAGCGAAGAAGAATTAGGTAGCATGGCAAAACAACAACAGCAAAAAGGGAAAATCATTTCTTGGAAATGTGCTTTACCTTCATAATAAAGGTGGCGAAGTTAGTTTTTACGATGAAACAACATGCGATTATTTATTGTTGTAAATATGGTACATCTAATCGTATATTATCATACAGTATATATGCTAAAATGATTTCGTAGGAGGTTTGTTTTCTGTAAAAAAAAAACTAAAAAACACTGATACCGAACGGTTGATGTATTCGTTCATGGTCAAAGTAGTGATTCTAAGTTAAATTAATTTAAATTTAAAATAATACATATAAGTATTGCTTTTTTCTTAGTGAGGGCATTAAAGAGTTAAGCATATCACTGTGAATAAAGGATGGAATCTGTTAGATGTTTATTATCCGGTATATTCCTTGTAAGACAAATGGGCAGAAGCAACATACACGTTTGGAACGCAGCATTAGAGGGATTATGGGAAACGTGGTTTCAGTTTTCAGATATGCAACAACAACTAACGATCATAAATTAGCTTTTGTGTTATTAATATACTACATATCATATAAGGCCTCTCACACCGAACAGCCAATCATTTCTAACCATCTGCACGCAGCCTAATCAGCCTGATAGAGGACTTTGTACTGTCTGCGTGTGTGCATCTTTGTTGTCAGTAAACATTACCCTCATATCTCCATAAAGTTTGTATTTATACTGTCAGCCGTCCATCTAATAAACGTTCCTACTGAGACATATTACATTGAATACAAGAATGAACTACGTGGCACTTCACAGTATTTCTTACATTATTACTGACACTACTTCCTTTCCTCTCCGCTGTGTGTCTTCCCTCACAGGGAGGTTGTGGATCATCCCTTCATCACCGAGATCCCAGCCAACTCATTCTGCGGCATCACCAGCGACGTGCTGACAGTGTAAGACATGTGTAGGATAAACCGTGTGCGCGGATATAAATAAAATGAATGCAAACATTATATATAGAAAGAATATAGAAAGTGAAATACAAAAAAAAATACTGTAGTAAATATTTATCCCTAAATGCAATCCTGACCCTGACACAGAAGACGTGTGGACGGGGCAAAACAACCTCCCTTTAGAAACATCTCCCTGCTCTTTAAGATAGTACACACAACACAACAGGCAATCGCATGTGTGCGTGTAGGTGGCGGGAGGAGGAAAGAGGCACCGCAACATTCATCTGCACTTTAACGAGCCAAACGAATGTGAGATGAGCAGGTCCCACTTCCCTGCATCGTCGGTGGATCATCAGCACACATCTTCATTCAGCGGATGGCGACGTGTTGTAATCAGTGCTGTGTTCTGCTTTTTGTCCAGGATGCTGTACGGAAATGGCTTCAGAGAAATACAACATCATGCGTTCAACGGAACCAAGCTGGATCAAGTGTGGGTATTTCCTATGAGCTTGTTAAATGAGAAGATCAATGCTGCTCATTTCTGCGCGTTAAATACGAGGCTGCAGCCAGACATGGTTTGGCTTTACTGGACTCCGATTGTGCCTTCGTTGCGCGAACGGCGGCGAAGGGGTGTATGGCATTTTTTGCTGAAGCGCTTGGAGACGTCTACAGCCTAAAGCCACAGGCTGTGGGATTTGGCATCATTTACATGTAGGAGAACTTGGGGAGCCGACTCGAGAAGGGAAGTGGTCCTCTCCAGAGCTGGTGTTGGTTTTGTCCCTTCTGGACATGGCTGCCACCTCAGCAAAGAGGACCTTCTCTGTAAATTGTTCTTCGAGGTGTCTTCATTGGAGGGTATCTTCAGCTCTATCCGGTCTTTATGCTGAGATTATAGTCCAATGAACTGGCCAGAGGCTTTATATGAATCCTACAGAGGTGAGAGTACTGACTCTTCAACTCAAAAAATTGTTTTACCTGTGTGTTTTAAAAAAATAATATCTTTCTCTGGGAAACCAAAATATGTCCATTTAGAGCTCTTTCATTTCTCTAAAGAATGCATGGACTAAACGCTTTTGGCGTGGCACATCTGGCAGATGAATTTCCCTACCAGAAGTTGCACTACAAAAGCAGCGGCATCACAGTCGTATCCTAATATTCCCACGAAAATATGTTTCCCAACGGAAGTCTGCATTACGAGTTCAGCTCTGAGAAACACTGCGACTTGGAGACATCAGTTTATGGTCGCACTTAAATATTGAACAGCCTCAAGCGAATGGAAAGCAGTGCTTCCTTTTTTTTCTTATAAATCGTACTAATGATTTATATTTCGTCGATTGCAACACCTACACAGATCTCCAGTCATTATAAGAGCCGGATTAAACCTTTTGGTCAGCGACTTGTGAGTCTTTGCAAACTAGCATTTGTGTTGGCGCCGAATGCGCTCGGAGGGGAGAACTGATCCCAGAGAAGCCCGACCAAGACAAACACACCCCTCACGGGTCTATTATGCTCATTAGGTCTAAGGGATTCGTGGTGATGGTGAAGTGAGGGCGCAGTGTGTAAGAAGAACACCATCACCGCCTAATTTAAATCAACAATGTACGTGAGGCCGTTTTCTGGCATGTTTCACCCACGAAATAAGAAAAAATAAATAAACAGAACTGTGCGGTGGAAATATTCTGCCTCGCCTCCGTCATCATAATTGGAAAGAGAAGGATAGCTTTTCTAATAAACTTCAATTTGTGCTTTCCTTTCCAGGGACCTTCACAGAAATAGGTATTTAACCAAGGTGGACGAAAAGGCTTTTGCGGGAACCATCAGTGGCCCCATGCTTCTGTAAGTACACCCCAAGTACTGGTTGTAATGAAGCATATTCTTATCTCACGTACAACACGAGCATGAGGCGAGTCTCAGTGACATCCATTTATGTGATGATTTGTAATAAATCTTTGATACAAAATGTCATCATCCTAGTATTAATCTAGTTTTATTTACCAAATCATCCACGTCACAAAATCAAAAGACATTTTAATTGTCTTTTTAAGTGGAAATTCCAGCTATCAGGACATCTGGTGAATGAATGTTAATGAATGGCTATATCAATGTACCTTCCTATCGGTAAGCATAACGTTAACTGTCTTATTCCTTCCTGTTTTCATGCAAACACTGTTTTCAGAAAAAGAACGCATATACATCAATGAAGTATAGGTCTGGTAATTCCATTATTCACAGAATGTACAGGTACACTTAAACGATAATTTTAATTTTAAATGATAAAAAAAAAAAAAAAAGCCAAAAATGACTGGCAGCAATGGCTGCCAAACTAAAACAGTAAAATTCGACTAAATTACATATATTAATTCAAATAAAGTTTAAACCCATAATTTAAATACATTTTCATTAAAGGTTTTGCAGAGAAACCGTTATTTTACAGATGGTTCCTGTTATTACTATCAAATACAGAGAAAAGGTCTTAAAAATCTTAAAACTTTTACTGCTTTCTACTTTCTGCCTGGACTATTGCAATGCATTGTTTTCCTGACATTTCCTTTTCTTGATTTCCTTTTGTCAGATTCATTGGCATGTTTTTAGCCTTTACTCACTGTGACATTGAGACATCTAGAGCAGTGCAGGTTGTACTCTTTCAAAAGTTTGCATGTAAAAGAACATTAATATCAAACAAATCAGAATCAGCATATAAATATAAACATAACATGTGCACAAAGCGGTGCATTTGTAACGTTTCTCAGCAAAGCCAGGGGCTAACAAAAAAACGGCACACTGAAGAGCGAACCGAGACGGTGCTGAAGACGGTGATACAAGCTTCATTTGTCTCAGACAAACCGTGCCAAAACCAGTTTATATTCCCAACAAGCTTTCAAGCATGTATGAATCATAAATGCCCCCTTTGACGTTTTGAACAAAATGATGAACATTCATTAATCACCATTAATCGAGGTGAATGAATTTCAAAATATGCGATTAATTGGTTAATTTTTTAAATCTATTTACAGCCCATCATTTTTACACATCAGAACACGGTCAATGGTTCCCCTCTGTCCCCACAGAAAGACATTGTCCAGACTAAGTAGTTACACGGTTATTACACCTTATCCTGGATATGCCATTTTCTGTAAATTAGGAATCTTTTTTTACAGTGCAGATTGGAACAATTTCCTCCTTCATAATGTGCAGACCAGATAAGACATGTCTGTGTAATGGATAGCATTTCATCAAAGGGTGAAAATCCTTCGCCACAGCTGGGTCTTTAACCAGGATATCTGAAACGCATTGTGTGCAAGCGCGGGAGGGAGAGACTTCCGACGTTTCTCTGATACTGTCATTGTTTTTGCCGTTCTGCAGGTTTTTAAGCTGCGTCTATTTTAACAGTGTCTGATTGCCTGAACCCTTTACCACGGCTATCTAGTTGCTGCTGCGGCTCTGATCCGGCCATGAAGTGTCCCGTTAGCTAAAGGGGGTTGGTGTGCAGTTCTGCCTCCTCTTTTCCACCAAGGGACATGTCCTGAGTGAGGTCACCTTCACGAGGCCATGAGTTAAACATCTGGGAATGACAAAATCAGACTGACACTGAAAGTCTGTGCTGCTTTTAAGAAAAAAAAAGAATCTAACGGGTTTACACAATGTGTCCCATGAGAGGAAACACAAGTAGAGAGCGGGGAAGTGAAGAGAGCAAGTGGGACTAAAGAAGAACGATTGTGTTCTCAGTGAATATGAAATACTTTGGCGTTTGTTTCTTTTATTTGATTGAATTAATCAGTAGATACAATGACTTAACGGTTTAATGGGTTCAGAAACTTTTAAAAAAGCAAGAGAAAACGTGGCCCTCACTTGGCCCCTAGAAGAGTTTCCTCCGCTGAACAGCAGAATGTCCCGATAACGGTCACACAGGATGTTAATGAGATTGTCAAATTGCCTGCATGTCTCCGTCCGTTGAGGTTGAGCTGAACCAGATGGAGGATGCCGTTTAATCCACACATGAGATCTGTGGTGTTATCATGTCTGGTTCCTCTGTGCATTTGCTGTTAGTATATTTATAACAGATTTAGGAATGGTACTGCTTGGCAGAAGAAAATATTATATTCAGTGTGATGCAGCTTTTAGCAGCATCAAGTGAATTCTTGCAGGATGGAGGCATGAAGAAAGTTGCCTCTATCACATGCATCAACAACGCGTAGCCCCAATTGTGACCTCAGCACTCTGATACACTTGAAGCGAATATTGAACGGTACCGTTATTACCCAGATGTCTTCTATCTGCCTGGAATTCCAATATTTCCGCAGATTACACACTGACAACTTCCATGGCCTCTGCAGAGGCTAAAAACCCAAATCTATGTTGTAGATGATCATTGCCTCTTATTTAATTCTTCCATTTCCTTTCTGTCTTAAAGAGACGTGTCCCTGACAGGGATCACCTCCCTGCCGACCACAGGTGTGGATTCTCTGCGGGAGCTGAAGGCGCGCGATGCCTGGGCCCTCAAGAAACTGCCACCCATCAAGACCTTTAAGCACCTCACCACCGCCAACCTCACCTACCCCAGCCACTGCTGCGGCTTCAAAGACCTAAAAAAAAAACGAGGGTCCGCTTTCGTCAATTCTTCTAATTTTGCATTTGTCGAACATGTGGCCATAATGTCCAATGTCCAATAGAATTGTGTTTTGCTGTATTTGGATTATCCGCCCTGGAGAATGAGGCAGCTGCGCTTTCACGGTGTGAATCTTGGCAAGGATTGAATCAACTCTACCTATAACTTCTTAGAGCGGCGGCATAATAAATGTCAGTCATTGCTGTTATTCTAGTCAAAATGTTGAGCCAGACTAATAATGGCTCTCAAAACAGGAACCACTTTTCCTCAAATAGATATACAAATGAAATGATTTGATTTGACACTCGGTGTAAGTGAGGGTTGAAGTCGTGTCTTTATATTTGTGTCTACACCAAGACCACAGTATTTCTTTATTTGCTCAATGTGTATGTGTTTTTTTCCCAGCTTTTTGGAGTACCTCATCTGTAACCTGACCGCCTTCTACGACCAGCATCAAAAGCGCTCTGTCAGGCCCCCTGGCACGCCTTCCCTCCAGGCGGACGTTGGGGAGGAAACGATCCCAGACCAGGATCCAATTGACGGGAGCTACAGAGATTCCCAAGACTGGAGAAGAGGTGACTTCCACGGAAGCCTCCACTACCACGCCTATTTTGGGGGCCAGCCAGATGAGCATGTGGGCTTCGGCGAGACTCTCAAGAACCCCCAGGAGGACACCGGCCAAGACTTTAACAGTCGTTACGATTATGTGGTGTGTGAGGAGGCAGAAGAGGTGGCATGTGCACCGGTGCCTGATGAGTTCAACCCTTGTGAGGACATAATGGGCTTTGGCTTCCTGCGAGTGTCCGTGTGGTTTGTGAGTCTGCTGGCTGTTGTGGGAAACGTGGTGGTGCTCCTGGTGCTGCTCACCAGCCACTACAAGCTCTCCGTCTCCCGCTTCCTCATGTGTCACCTGGCCTTTGCAGACCTGTGCATGGGGATTTATCTGCTGCTCATCGCCTCCGTGGACCTCCACACGCGGGCAGAGTACTTCAACCACGCCATAGACTGGCAGACGGGCCCCGGCTGTGGACTTGCAGGTTTTTTAACAGTCTTCGCAAGCGAGCTGTCTGTCTACACCTTGACAGTGATCACTCTGGAGAGGTGGTACGCTATCACCTATGCCATGCGGCTGGATCGTAAGCTGCGTCTGCATCACGCAGCAGCCGTGATGCTGGTCGGCTGGGTCTTGTGCTTCCTACTGGCCCTGCTCCCACTATTTGGGGTGAGCAGTTACCAGAGGGTCAGCATCTGTCTCCCAATGGACACCCAGTCCACAATGGCTAAGGTCTACATCTTGTCAGTGCTGGTCCTCAACATCCTGGCCTTTCTTGTTATATGTGCTTGCTATTTCAAGATCTACTGCGCAGTGCACAACCCTCACTACCGTTCTGGATCCAAGGATACCAACATCGCCAAGCGCATGGCTGTCCTCATCTTTACTGACTTCTTGTGCATGGCGCCAATCTCCTTCTACGCCATGTCTGCCGCACTGGACCGGCCTCTCATCACAGTCTCCAACTCCAAGATTTTACTGGTGCTCTTCTACCCGCTTAATTCCTGTGCCAACCCATTCCTCTACGCCATCTTCACGAAAGCCTTCAGGGGCGATATATTCATCCTCCTCAGCAAGGTGGGTCTTTGTCAGCAGCGAGCGCAGCTGTTTAGAGGCCAGACGGTCTCGTCAAAGGGCAGCAGCGGGACATGTCAGAACCGCAAGGACAAGGATAAGTTTAAGACAGTCGGAAACGGAGGGCAGGGCATCGACTTGAAGAAGTGCCCCGGACAAACCGACCGCGCGGTCCACAAGCGGACTAGTCCTGAAGAGAGCCAGAGCCTGAACACGTGAGCCAAACCCTTGCCGACCCCAACCCTGGAGAAGGGGCAGGTTCCGGTGGGGAAGGCCAGGCCATTGGCTGTGTTTGGATATTTAACAGAAAGATCCAGTATTCTGTATCTGCTTCAGTTTGCAGGCCAAGTTCATCTGTTTTCACAATTTCAGCTGTGATTTTATGGTTCCAGTGGATGGAGAATGTCGAGTATCCATGAAACGTGAGCCCAACTTTATCTCACTTATAGCCCTTTGAACTCAAACATACATTCTGTGTATAAAACATAATACAATCTTTTGTCGGTTTATTGAATTTGGTTGAGATTTGGTTTAATTTCAGGTTATGCCAGCAAAGTCAGGCATTGAGGAAATATAACAGATTTTAAATAAACACTTAATTTTCCTGTAATAAAATAACCTTCCTGAGGCGCCCTATTCATTCCAGGACAGCCTGCTGGCTCAGTGCTGTTCACAGTGCCAACTTCATCCAGAAAATGCATTTCTCGTTCACATGAATACCTAGTTATATATAATCTATGTACACAATAGTGTTAGGACATTTATGGAATGAAACAGGGCACGTTGTTGGTGTTAATTCTGTCTTTTAACCAGGAAACTGGATAGTAAATATACACAGTCGTCTTAGTGAGGATGGAAACTCTGAAATATTTCTCTCATTTAGCTTTTACCTGCACCAAATGCTATATATTTTTGTCTGCCTTTTAGATGAGTATAAAATATTTGTATACTTGTGTTTGTTGCCTTTACTCTTTACCATCGACCTTTACTTTTCACAATGATCCCGCAAAGCAATTTGCAGAAGCACGCCCTTATCTCCCGAGAGCATGTGATCCAATTACTAAAGTAACCACAAGACATACTTTCATTATTAGCAATTTTCTACAAATTACAGACGGGGAGGATAATCATACATATATACTGTTAAAGCCCGGTGTCTCCTCTGGAATGTCATGGTTGTTTTTCTTGCGGGATCGTGACGTTTTTCCATCCTCTAACGGAAACAAGTGACTTATCCAATCAGGGGAGAAAGCTTCGCCTTCGCCGGGAAAGCTTCAAGCAAATACAGATTAGCAGCGAGTGAGCCGAGCTGCTGTAACTTCTGCTATATTGAGCCGTTACGAGTTAAAGGACACCGTCTGCCAATGGCAGCTTAACATCTGGTTAGCATCTGCTGGGTGACATTTTTTTGCAGGGAAATAAACCAATGAACGGGGGGAGGAGGGGGGCTTTCCAGGAAAGGGGGATCATTTCAGACCTTTTTTACATTTAGATTGCAAAGTCGTCGCTAAGTTATTTCAGACAGCTGGACAGTTTGTTTCAGCGCGGAAAATATCGTACATTCCCAACCTTCTGCCACTGGATTCTCAAAGTACCAGTAAGATGAAACCTCAAAAAAAGAAAAAAAATCAAAGGACTTCTACTTTTAAAGCGGAATAAATTAGTGGCATCTGTTCCAGGCTTTCAGGTCATCATTTTCATCGGAATGTTTTCCACATCATCGCGTCTATCTCCTCCAATAACCCACTGACAACCATCCAGTGTGGACCCTTCAGGTGCTGAGTGCACCGAGCACGGCTGCACACGTGAGGGGCCTCCTCGCGCAGTCGCTCGGGACAAAAAGCCAAACCACTTCACGTGTGCGTGGGCGACCATGAAGAGACGGCCCTCCAAAACCACACCTGCATTTAGGACAACACAAAATATCCCAGGTCGTATCGGAGACGCCCGCTGACGGAAAGCGCCGATGAAACCGAGCGGGACTTGGACCGGATTTATTTTGACATTCTTCGCGGTGCAGGTTCTCACGCCGGCCCCATCGTTCATCGGACGGTATTCCAAATAAACCCATTGCTGAGCCCTTTCTCAAATAACGACGGCGGCCCGCGCTAACACCAGATTACGTTGCTGAACTCGAATACAGTGGGAAAGGAGTCATGAGAAGGACCGGACACAGACATTGTGGGTTTTATTGTAAGATTTAGAACAGCCTTGGTCGCTCAGGGGAGGTCAGAGTCCACGAATACCCATCGGGCTCTTGTCGCTGGGAGCAAGAAGAAATCGCTGCATTTATGGCGTCATTCCACGGGCCGCCGGGCCTGGACGCTCCTCTTAGTCAAGCTCCTCTCGCGCACAGAAACCTCTTCATCGACTACCTGAGTGAGCCGTGATACGATCCGATGAGATCGCCCTTCACTGGTCCACGTTTAACATTCTCAAGCAAACACCTGTTAGAGGAGTAAGGTCGACCTGAGCAGACGACGACGCGTCCTCGCGTGTCCACGTCCAAGTGGTCACGGTGGTCGAGCGCCTCCTGACCAGCTTGAGTCGGTCCCGTCACAGCGTCCCCCCCCCTGTTAGAGACGGACAGAGGCTCTTTGTCCAACGGGCCCGGTTCCTCCGCTCCACTCGTAGCGGCTCGGCTTCTCAGTCCCTGTCAGCTACCCGGTAGGCAGAGAAAGCTGCAGGACGCAAGTCAGACGCCTCCAGGGCCTCGTTACGAGCTCGGTCTGAGGGCCCACTCCGTCAGGAGCCGCCAGGGATTCATTCTTCCTCCACTCAAGACGGCTCGGGACCGAATGCGCCTTGTGATGTGTTGTAAAAGTGACAGTTTACCGGCTTAAATCCATTTACAATCAGGGACCGAAATCTCCGTGTCGTTTCTGATTGAGCTTTAATCACAGACAGACCCACACCTTTATCTCGTAATTGGCCCAAAGGAAATCGGTGCGGTTAGGAAGCAGAGGAAAGGCAGGGAGAACGCCCAGTGCTGTCGGGACACGGATTCTGCAGCTCCAGGAGTGGGATTGAAGACGGGCTGAGGCAGTGCGGGGCTCAGACGTCCACGAGCGCCGGTGCAGCAGCGAGGGATTTCAGACCAGAGGTCTCTGTCCCGCGGAGGTTACTTCTGCAGAGGCTGGATGGGCGGAAAGATTTAAATTACTCAACTCATTAGATGGAAATTAAGATACGACTATAGAATGTACAGCTGTAAGACCAACGCTACAATTTGCATTTAATGTCTACACTGCTGAAATAACTTACTTAAATCAAATCAAAGTGGTTGAATTTGCTTAAGATAATAGATGAATTGTAACAAATTAACTAACAATATTAGTTTAATGTAATGAAGAAATTGTAACAAATATGTTAAATCTAACAAATGAATTATTAGTTTTATATAAAATTAAATTGTAACATTAAATATAATGCAGAACTTGTTACAATATATGCTAAATGTAATACATTTAGCTAATGTTACAATTCATGTAACAAATGAACTAACAATGTCAGCTAAATATAATGGTGGAATTATAACAATATTTTGTAAATGTAATTGATGAATTGTATGAATTTTTAATGGAAATGACCAAACTATTTCTGGCTGTTCATTCTATAAAAAATAAAGTAAACTTCATCCACCAGTGTAAAATATCCTCTTCATCATGATGAATCTGACAAAGCAAAGCAAATAAAAGACGTCCCACTTGGTCTAAATGAGTCGGTCTGGGCTTTCGTTCCAAACTTGATTTAATAAAAAATAATTATGTATGAGAACAATACATTTACGTTAGCGGAACACACACACAACAGGACATTCTGAAAGCAGAGGATACCGTTTAGTACTCTTCTTAAGCTCATCCGACATTTGTTCCATTTCGAAAAATAAAAAAGCTGTAAAAAGGCACACGATACATCCAACAGTAAGGAGAACACAAAAGAACTACGACTGAGCGGGTTTCACCTTTTACAAATAACTGCAGGAGCTGCTCCTTTTTCTTTAGCGTTCTACCCAAAATACGCACATCTGCCTATTTGTCTTTGAGAATGGTGATGATTGACAGCCACTTGGTTTGCATGTGCACATTAATCAAAATAGTTGCAATGAGTAAAACAAAGGATTGTACTTCGGTTGGGTTACGTATGGGGAAAGGACAGGAAACATTTCACTGCTCGTTTAGCGTTGGTCACGTAATCAGCGCTTCCTTGATATGAAGAGAGTTCCTTTAAAAACACACTAGATTAGCAACGACCAACCAAATTCACACGACAGTCAAAAAACACAGACTTTATTTTGAATTGCTGCAACAGGGGCGCTAAAAACCAACTGCAGAGAAACACACAGGCCCCCCCGAGTTATACTCGCTTCAATAGAAAATATTCTTTTAAAAGCCATGAACAAAATTAAAAGCGAGGAGAGCTCACGGTGGACGTCATGGGAACTCAGCGTTACGCAGCTTCGTCCAACAAGAGAAAAAAAAAAAAAAAAAAGGAACACTTATTAGATCATAAGAGCACAGTTTGGTGCGGCTTTCCAGCCTTTCAAAAGAACACAACACGTGATGAAATATCAGAAATAAATTAAAAGAAGAAAGCAAAAAAAGGACAGATGTTAAACTATTGTACGGTTTGATGGATTCCGCAACACGCGGATGAACTGACGGCTGCAGGGAATTCAAATGAGAGAAGAAGAGACGGACGTCACACAACGCGCACGTTACACAAACAAAGTCAGTGTCGGATCGGCTCCTCCTCTTTTTTTTGTGACCAATAAAGATGGAATGAAGCTCCAGAGAAGCAGCGGGAAAAACGTTTTTGGATTGAGCGCTCATTCGATTAAAATAATGCCTTTAAACAACTAGTTATTTTAGAATTAATGTAATTATAATGTAATTTAGCTATCATTTAAAAATAGAAGAAAAAAGAAAAGTTTAAAACAATTACAGATTGTTACCTACATAAAAACTCTGGAGCACCGTTTCATAGAAATGAATTGAGACAGAACTACGATCCAAAAGCAGAAATTAGAAGCCAAAAGATTGTGGCGGCTCTACAGGCGGCGATCCCGACCGGCGCCACTATGTTTGGACTTAAAAGCAGACACGAGTCAATCCAGTCAACCGACTACAGTGCATCACGAAGGTGGTTCTCATCTACGGGGAAGTAATGAATGACCTCTGACCCTCTGGGGGGGGGGAAGGGGGTGTGTGTGGAGCGGCTCAGGTCTCCCCCCCCCCCGGTCCACGACACCGGTGAAAGGCTTGCTTCCCATCGCGTGTGGATGCGCTCGGGGGAAAGAAGCCAAGGGGACTCGGGGCGCAGGTGGACCGTCCCGAATGGTCAGTTGAGTGTTTTTGGAAGTCGGAGAGTTCTCAGAGACTCAGAAGGTGTTTCCTGAAACGCATCCAGCCACCGGCGCCGGAGGACGCTGAAGTGTCTGTTGACTGGACAGAGGGAGCTACAGTTCCCGCTCCGGTCTCCGGGGCGCTTCTTCCCTCTTCACCATTCAGCGTCGCCGATAGCTTTGGAGAAGACGTAGTCCCTCCCGTTCAGGTTCATGATCCCGTCCTTCAGGTGGAATTTCCATTTGTTCTTACTTCTGTGAATCTGGGGAGGAAAAGAGGAGGCCGTCAAAGTCACCTGCATTGAACTTCTGCATGCTGCTTTTTTATTTAAGCCATACGTCGTCGCAACAAAGCAGCTGATGTTGGTGGAAAAAGCTACGACTGCCTCCTCTAAGCGCGTGTGTTTGCTTAAGGACGGGACAGCACATCGCTAAATATTCTCGCTGAGCGGAAAATGACGCCACCGCATCGATGCAGAGCCGCCGACGTCTGCCGCTAAAAAGGGAGCATCTACGCAAAACAACGGTTTTCACTTTTTGCCCTGCAATGGTGCCGGTGAACAGGGCGTGGATGAACGTGCACGCAGGTCAGCGGCGATTGCCCGCGTTCCCTCACAGAACGGATCACCGCTTACTTTGTCGTACTGGCACACCACTACGTTCTCCGTGTCAAACAGCTCCTGGTCCTCCTCGTCGCTGACATCGTCGCTGCTGTTCAGCGGCTCCTGGTGAGAGAGAGCGAGCGATGTCGTAACGTTACAGGAAGTAGCAGCACATCGTCACGTAAACCAGCTCCACAGACGCTTCGGCGTTATGATTCCCTCTGGAGCTCACCTCCTCCACCTGCCCGTCCTCTCCCCCGTCCTTGTCCTTCTCCTCCTCCTCATCCTCGCCATACTCCTCCTCCTCGTCGTCCTGGTCGTCCTCCGAGGAGGTGTCCCCGGCGCCGTCCGCCTGCAGTATCATGGGAGGCTGCTGGGCCTGGGTCTGCGCTGGGACCTGAGGGGCCGCGGAACCCTGGACCTGCTGGACCTGCTGGACCTGCTGGACCTGCGCCGTCGCTGCCTGGCCGGGCTGCTGCGCCAGAGCTGCTGCCTGCATCAACTAACGGCAAACGGCGATCGTCAGGTCAAGTATTTCAACGGGGGAGGAGCTGCAGTGGCATCGGGGGACTGAAGCGGTGCGGACCTGAGGGTTGCCTTGGACTTTGTTTCCTGAAGCCAAGACAATCTGCTGCGGCTGGATGATGACCCCTTGCTGGGACAGGCCTCCCTGCATGGGAGCCAGGACCTGGACACACAGCCAACGGGAACAACTCACGCTTTGGGGAAACGCTCCAGCGTGGATCGGAGCAAACGTATGGGCGCACTGGGGGGGGGGGGGGATTCGCTGGCGTTCTGAAGCCGCAGATCAGGCAGTTCCTACCTGTCTGACGGGGCATACCTGCTGTATGACCGGCGCCTGCACGCTGCCAGGCTGCATCTGCTGCTGCACGAGGATCTGCTGCTGGGGCTGGATGATGTACTGGGCCCCGTTGGCGGCGCGGACCACCTGGAGGATCTGACCTGAGGGGCCGGGAAACAGGAGTTGTGAGGGCTGGGGGACAGTTCACGTGACGGCTTGTAGACCCTTGTAGACCAACAGGGCCTCGCATCCGTCGATGGTGGCGCCTGGTGTTGGAGATAATAACCGTAGAGGCCGGCTCCACATAGCAATGCAACTACAGGGCACGAACCACATTCGGAACAACAGCAACGAATCGTGTCCTGGTCACTGGAGAATAATCCACAGCCATTGTTGGCAAGCGGGTTTTATTTTTTGCTTTGATCACCACTGAACCGATATCTCCAACATCCAAGCTGAAAAACAGCACTGCGGGGAAAAGGGACACGCGAGTGTCTTGGGGAGACGCGTTTGTTTCACCTTGGCTGGTGATGAGCTGTTGGTACGGAGTGACGCCCGTGGGCAGAGCGAGCGTTGCTGCTGTCGCTGCTGCACTCTGCAGGAGAACAAGGAGAAGACACTTGAGTGACTGGTTTCCCACTGGCATTCCTTTATCTACCGGCCAGGTTTGGTGGCAAAAGAAAAACGTAAGAAAAAGATTTTAGAAGATAAAGTGTTTGTGAATAAAGACAAAATCAACACAGTTTACTAAATACAGAAAAAAAGAAGCTTTATGTCCCGTGCATTGGCGCCGCAAACGCAAAGCTTTTGGCGTAACGACCACAAATCACTCACAACGGCGTGTTCATTTCATCTACTTACCATCCCCGTCGCACTCATGTGCTGCAGAATCTTGGAATCTTGAACAATCACTTGTTGCTGTGGAGCTGCAGAGAGAAACACGTTCAAAACAAACCATAATATGCTGAGAAAGCAATTACACAAAGATGATGAATCACCGACTGTCGTACTTCCATAAATATGACAGATAAATCTGTGAAACACAAATCAGTCTCCCCTTTATGCCCCGAATGACCTCTGGGAAAACAACCAATCAGGGTGGAGGGCGTTTCAACGAGGCAGCCGATGGCTGGTTGAGATCTGATGACCAAATGCGACGCAATCAGGTTACTGTATTTGCCTCAAACGAGTTCAGAGACATATTTCTATGTCCTGTTCGGCTGTACGATGAGAACGTGTTCTGTGGGTCAAACATTTCTACAGAAACACGTTTCTGAAAACATTTCCGGGGCTGAAATATGCAGGAAGAGACTCTTGATTTTTATTTGAATATCAGTTAAGTGGGACGGCAGCGTGTAACTTTTACATTACATTCGCCAACTTGACAAAATGGACCATTTTACCGTCCCAGATGTTTGATACTTCTGCTGGATGGTTTATAGTGAAAGAAGGACCCACCTTGCTGCTGCTGGGGGGGCAGAATGACCTGCTGGGCCTGTGCAGGCTGATTCACCTGCTGGACCTGATGCACCTGCTGAACCTGCTGCTGGACCTGCTGCACCTGCTGCACCTGCTGGACCTGATGCTGCTGCTGCTGCTGCTGCGCGGCCTGCAGGGCTGCCTGCTCCTCGGTGTGGAAGCCCTCCACTGCCTTGGACTGCAACAGCTTGTTTTCCCACAGCTGGAGCATCAGGCAGAAGAAGCGGGATGTGTCACAGGTTGAACATTTTGTGATTAACACTTTTTTTGGGGGGACCATGCTCTGAAAATGGCACACGCATGATGAAAGATGCATTCACTCTGGAACTACTTTGTCTATATGGACAATGTTATTCCTGTCCGGATAAAGGGGAACCGCTGTGAGCGAAAAATCTGTTTATACGTTACTGGTGAAGAAATAAATCAATATGACCACACACAAAAAAAAGAATCGCTTGACAAATATCACCAACATGCAGATCCTTTTTCTTTGCTGGCTTCTAGCTTCGATTAAAAAATGTCTACATAAGCAACGCTGTGTGCACAAAACTAATTTGCATCACATATTTTATAACTTGTTGTGTTTGGAGGATTTTCAAGGATTATTCCTTCGTGATGAGCACACAATAACCCTGTTCGAGGTTGATTCTGGCTCGGTTCCGAAACAAATTTGTTGATTCTCGAGCAGAAAAAGTTATGTAGAATACGTTCATTCACAACAATCACATAAAGCCCTCCTGTAGGGGGGGGGGGGATCGGTAATGGGGACATTTACCGTTTTCAGCTCCAGAAGCACCTGCTCGTCCACTCCCTCATCCAGGAAGAGCTCTCGTACCTCGTTGATCACATCCTCAATTACAGACTTATATAGTTTAGGCTACGAGGAAGGGAAAGAGAGCACATTACTATGTTTACTAGGTAAATATACATTGTATGTTTGTGAATATATATATACACACACATATACATACACACATTGTCAGTTTACACGTCATATTCATAAATGCTTAATAGGAACATCAACCACAGCAAACATGTAACGAACCATCTAAATATGTGTTTAGTTCTCTTGCATAAGCATATCTTATTATGTCACACTACAGTGATACTTCTAGGATTGGTCGGGTATGGAAGCTGGGATTTAGCGTGTCGTGACAACCTGCAATACGCGGCGTCCACTTCACGTTCGCCATGTAAAAGGTTCGCGGTGGAGCGACGGTCGGGTTTCAGCACGGAAGGAGAGCGACGGGACGAGCGAAGCCTCCGCGGCGTGACCCGCCGCGCCCCTGCGGCCGCAGCACGGCCCTCGGTCCCTCCGCGCCTCCCTCGGCCCGCGCGCGCGCGCCTCTCCGCTATTTAAAGCCACGTCCGCGGTTTATAAGCGGGGGCGGTGACGTGGCGTCGAGTAGCGCCTTCCCATCCCGGGCAGTCTATATTAGAGAGCCAACATGGCCGTATATAACCGGGAGGGGGAAAAGAGGAGGGCCACAAGCGGAGCGAGGGGCGACGTGGAAGCCATTTTACGGAGCGGCGAAACGCGCGCCCGAAAGTCCGGTACGCCGAAGCCTTGTGCGGCGGAACGTACAGGGTGCTTTCGGCGTTTTATCTCATGGCCGCTGGGCTTTGACGAAGTGCGTCAGTGTGGCCGTGTCGGCGGGGAGCGGACTACTTTGTCGTGAGGCGGGTAGCGGCGGCGGTTTGGCCCGCTGGTCGTGGAATGGTGGACGGCGGGGAGGCTTTTCACTGAGCGGTGGCGGCTTGTCGGCCACGGAGACTTTTAATTAAAAAAAGGACCACAACACAAGCCGTTCGCAGTGGTTTGGTGGCGAGGTGCTTTGCAAACATCTAAAACTGCGCCAGATAAAAGACTATTTAGCCGATTTAACGTTACAGATTCGTCCTTTCACAAGAGACTCGGCCACGCAAGAAACGCTCCGACCGCCATCAACGGCACAACCACCGACTCGTGTTCACATGGGAGTTTACAGATACTACGCTGGTATGAACCAGTAGCTCCACCGGACATTTAAGCCCATAACTAACCAGCCGTAAGAACATCTGCATTCTGCGGAACGTCACTGGTCACCAGCCATCGCTCCCACCAGATGGCTTTATCGGAACACGACCTGAGCTCAGTTGAAGAATGATTAAAATGGCCGATTAACTGAAGACGTTCTTCGTTTTATTTGGTAGAACAATGATGTGTTTGCTAAGCCTGAATGACACAAACATCTCGTTGACAGCTTCCTCTCATCTTAGCCCCCCCATTTCCCCGCTGACAATCCTTAGAGATTGATCCTTACCACTGGGTTCGAGTTAGCCGAGCTCGCCATTATACGCGTAGTGTAAAAACCACACGGAAATAGGCGAGAGATAGAGCCAAAAAAATTACAAAAAAAATGACTTAAAACAACTGGGAACGCTCTCTTAAAACAGCCGGCATTACTTTTGTAAATAAAACACAGTTTGAGCGGTCTTATTTACAATCCCGGGCTGCGACTCCCAGCCGCCGTCCTGCCGTCGTGGTCCTGCTTTATATACTGAGCGTGGAGCTGCGAGTGCGCGAGACATAGGGCAGGGTCGCGCCGCACTTCGCGCGAGATCTCGTCCGGCGCATGACGGCCGCGCGAAAGGCGCGCCGCTGGGAAATGTAGTTTACAGGGGTTTTAACGTGCTACGAGGTAAATACACGTGCGCAGAGCGCATTAGCTCTGTAATGCTCGGTGATCTTGTTTACGGAATGAGGCCACGTGTGAATAATGTGACCCATATAAGGAGAAAACCACAGTATCCCAGGAGCCAGTTTCATTGGTAGATTATTACACGATACAAACATAGTGATGGATATATAAATCCTAAAACATGGACGTCAGCCCGAGCATTAATGCGTGGCGTTTGTAATATCTGATCTGAGGGCAGAGAGAACACACAAGGCGCTTTGACCCTCCTGGTTTAGCTTTCTGTTACCATCTCTTCAATTTTGACCCATGTCTGTAAAATGCACTAAAAACAATTCTTTATCATTTGTTTTTCGCATCTCTTGGTTACCTTTGTTAAGCCAGCGCTGCCTCTGGGCCTTTTCTTTGACTCTGCAGGTCACCAAAACCGTACTGAGTTGACCTCACATGGTCGTCTTTGATTTGTTTTATCGTTGTGCACTGATAACGAGGGAGAATCCCCTGAAGATCACCTGATTAATGCTTCTTTAATGCATTTAAAACCTTTGAAAGACAAGAGGAACGTCAAAGGACAAACCGCAGTGCTTTGTAATTAGACTTTAATCTTAATCTACATCTCTGTGGAAACATTTCTGCATTTGTTTGCCTGTGTTTATGTCAATGATCGCTGATTCAGGTGTTAACGTAACTTCACTTGTCATTGATTTTCATTCCGTTTGCATTGCTGTTGTTATGATATATCTGTAATGGAACAGTACTTGTTCACAGGAACAGTTGGTGCCTTTGTTGACGGTTCCAGATGACGTTTGAAGCCACGTCAGTAACTTCCCGCCGCCACCAGAGTGTGATCACGCCACATCGCAGCGGCCCGGAAAACAAGCTCTCCTTTTCTGATTCCATGACACACATCCATCCTCTGAGATTCACCTATTTTATTTCAATAAAGGGGGGGGGATTTTGGGGGGGGGGGGGCGGTAGCCACATCTATTGGTTATGTTGAATCAAAAATACACCTGTTCTGAGCACCAGGGCAACGTTTCCAGATCACCATTAAAGCTTCGCAGCGACCGGGAGAACGTTACCTCCACTTCTGTCTCCATGGAAACTTGCTCGGCGGGCATCGTGTGGAGGAGACGGCGCGGGAAACACGCAGCATCGACCACCTCAGCCCCCCCAGCGGGCCTCCCCCACCACCGAATTACACAACTCGCTTCATTCAATTTAAATTAAAAGTGGACTCGACACTGATGAAAACATTTTTAAATTCACTCGTAAGTTTTGTTCTGTACGAACCAAGTGCTCACGTGGGGTACGATGCCCTCTAAAGATCTACCGAATGCACCCCCCCAGCCCCCCGTCTTTCATCGCTGTGGTTGCATAGCAACAGAGGAGCAGCTAGCTCCAGTGGTGTCGGCGGTGCACAGGGAGCCACTGGTGCGATATTAAGTCCCAGCTTCAATTATGAATGGGCCCCCACCGCCACGCGGCTCCAGAGCGACACCACCCAGAGCGATAAGGCGCGGAGGAACTCTTTGGTACACTTAACTCTTTTACGTCCTTCCCTGGGGGGGGTCTGACTTTAATCAGAAATATTGAACTTAACCGATTAGAGGAAGTAAATGAATAATTAACTGGCGGAAGAGGAGTGGTTGTGATAAGACCCGTGTTGATGGGAATGTGCGAGGTTAATGATTGGGGTCAGTCTCGAGAGTCACAAAGCGACCGCTTTACCAGCAAATGGGGGCTAGTGTGTGTGTGGTGGGGGGGGGATATCATTTCTTACACGCGTTCACTGTATTCAACTCTGGATTCTGATGGACGAATTGTGAATTTGCTGCTATTGAGGCGCCTGCCAGCGTTGCTGTGCTCGAACGCGTCGCGGTGGTCAACGCGTGCATTGTTCCCCACGACAGACCTCCCGGGCTCCGGTCTGTCAAAAGGATCAGCCAGACGAACCCTCTGCAACTTGTATTTTTTATTATTGCAACCAACTGGAAGACAATACATCACATGAACATCATTGCAGTTTTTCAGGAAATGGAGAACAAAATAAAACAACATTTATATATTTTTTGCCACGGTATTAGACAACGTTGATATTTACATGTAGTGATGAAATAGGTCTTAAATCATTCTTTGGCAATATGATTGCACAATAAGGAGAGAATTGAACATTTAGTAAAACAAAAACAACAACAACACTCTCTGCACTCTGCAGCTCATCGCACAAATCAATAGCATTTGCATTTTGACATCGCTTACCCATGTGCTCTCCGATGTTCAGCTCACAAAGTCACTGACAAAAAACAATGGCAGTATTGTAGAGGGGGAGAAAACAGAACAGAAGAAAAGTGCATAAAAATGGTAAAAAACAACAACAACAATAAAATGGCAACTTTATTCTTTTGAGCGTTTCGTTCCGTTTGGCGGGTCTGAAACAAACCCCCTTGTTTCAGGGGCCTTTTCAGGCCAAGGTAGATTTTAACCTTCCAGGACTCGTAGGTCCGGAGTTCATCCTCTTCTTCTTCGGAGGAAAAAAGAGGCGGTTGCTACAGCAACGCGTCCCCCCCCCTACCCCCCGACATGAGTCCTGTTGCTGCTGACAACCAGCTATCAGACCAGAGACACGTGTCTCCTTCTGGCCTGTTTTGTGTGTGCGTCTATGTCGGCACGGATGCAAAGCCAGTGATGCTACGGGGGGGCAGAAGACTGCCCCGGTGGACGGGGCCGTCACTTAAACCAAACCCTGGTGTGACAGCTGCTACAGCCAAACGCGGCCCGCGCTACAAAGCGCCTTTCTGCGCGCGCACGCACGCCAACGGACAGGGAGAAGCACGCTGAATCATGGCGGTGTGGCGTTTATATCACTTCTGCTGCAAAAATGTCAGGACTCACCTCTCCCCTCGTGGACCAACACCACTTTGTTTTCTTGATTCTAAGTGAAATACACACATTCTTTTTTGTTAATATATTTAAGAATGCTCTGTCTGTGGATCGGGCTCTTGGGATCAACATGTATGCAAGCTTGACATCCGAAGGGACCAAAAGGGGTTAAAAATACTGTGTGTAAATAAAAAAAAAGATAAAGACTTTTGTCTCCTACGTTCCTCTTCCTTTCCAATCCGGGTTCTAAGTGGCCTACTTGGGGATTTGGGGTTGTTCCGGGACGCCGACACGGCCGCCCCGTCCCCACGTTGACGCTGAACGATGGCGATGGAAAGAAGGACACGTTTACACGTGAGACACAGGCGAGGAGAGGAAACCAATACTGTTATAAATAAAAGACAAGCGAGGGGTGCTGAGGGCAGGTAGGCAGGCACAATGTTAAAGGGCGTGTGCTCCTGGGCACACCAACTCACACACACACACACACACACGCGTGTTCAGAAATAACACAGGGGTTAACATTGAACCCCTAAAAATCCCTGTACAGGCAGAAGAAGACGGAGGCCCCCCCCCCCCCACGGAGCCCGGGGGAGCAGAGTGGTCCTCCCTGAAGACGCGTCTCTGAACGCCCGCTCACAAAACAGAAAAAATAAAAAAAGACCAAAGATTCAAATGAAAATGAAATCCGATATAATCACGGGTATAACAATTGGCGGCAAAACTTTTTTCTGTCCTCTAGGATCAGGGTTTATATGAAAATAAGTCATGCTTCATGCTAAATACATTGTTTATCTTACATGATCTTTGAATAAAAAAGATTTGCTTTTTATCTTATTTACAAGCACCCATGCAATATAACTGAGAAAGTCCTGCAGGTCAAATTGCTTCAATTAAGAAAGGAAAAAAATAAAATATTTTCTAACCTTTTTACAGAGTTGTCCGCGCGGGACAAATTGCTTATATCTTTATGAGGGTAGATTGAGGGTAAACAGACACAGTTCATGGATATAGTTCTTTGACGCTGTTGGATGAGCGGGAAGGTGTGGTAGCCGCTGCGAGCTACGCCGTCTACACCCGGTGTCTACGTCTATGGACAGAAGTACTGGGGAAGCTTCAGGGACGTTCACATAATGCAACAACAACAACAACAAAACGAAGGAGATATTGCCTCAGACCCGGCACACGCCATCCGTTCCTATGGTGAGAAAAACATGACCCTTTTTTTTTTTCTTCTTCTTTTTTTAAATATCTATCCTTAAATACTATGAGTGCTCTTTGAAATAAACCATGTTTGACCCATGAGGCTTCTACTATAAGTGGTGTTAAATAATCTTAAGTGCATGAATATATATCACATTGGGTTTTACAATTGTCGGGGCGCTTTAGGCCTCGCCTCTCTCGGCTCCTCCACTCCGCCTTCTTTCCCCCCCCCCCTTCAGCTGTGGTATGGGCTACATGAAGCGCCCTGTTTCGTCGTTTTTTGGCACATTCTCACATTTGTGCTCGCGGGCGTGGGGGACAGTGACCCTAGCGACCTCTGGAGGTTTTGTAAAACAGGTTCCCCCCCCCCCCCCCCCCCGCCGCTGCAGGATTGCTACAGATTCACGCGGAGCGAGACCGACGAGCGAGACAAAGCGGCCGTCTCTCCCGCGTCGCGCTCGTCCAAATTAGTGACAAAACATGCATTTTGTATGGCTTTCATCCCCTTTTAAACGACAAAAACAACAAAGACACGTGAGAAAGACCCATTGATGTTAGTGTTGCTGAACATGTAGGAAAACATAGATTTTTGATATTGCCACAAATAAGTAGGATTCACCTAATGCCCTGCAGATAGAGTGAGGGAGATGACACGTGTCCGTTGAGACTAATGCTGAAGTAACGTTACCTGTTGACCTGTTTGTGTATTGTGTGTCTCTGTGCGTGTGTGTGTGTTTCAGCTGTGTGACTGTGTACTTAGTCTTAGTTTCTCAGGGCCTCTTTCTGCTCTTTCTGGCCCTTGGCGGTGCGGTTTGTGATGTTGTTGAGGCAGGCCCGGACCCCCGCCAGGTGCAGCAGCGACCCCGCCGCCTCCTTCATCTCCTCGTCGTCGCTCTCCGGCGGCTTCTCCACCGCCGCCGCGCGCCGCTTCTTCAGCGGCAGCGTGTCGCCGATGCTCCTCGCTCGGTTTTTGGTCCAGGGCAAACTGCTGCCCGGCAGCGTGCCCACGGCTCCGGGCCCCGAGCCGCGTCTCTGTCCGCGCAAGGCCTGCTGGGAGATGTATGTGGCGGCGGCCGTGGCGATGTGAGAGTCCAGCGGGATCTCCCAGGGGCTCCCGGTTTAACGTCTGACTGGATCTCCACGGCGATGATGTCGTCGTCGTCGTCGTCCAGCGAAGAGAAGGGGGTCCCGACCCCGGGAGAGCACAGCCGGCTGGGGAATTTGGCGGTGCTGTAAGTGTGGTCGTCCTGAAGGTCCTCGCTGCCCGGCGGGGGGAGAGTACCGGGACGGGCTGTCCTGTCTCCGGCTTAGTTAGTGTCCCAGGGACGATCTGTGTGAAGCCACAGCCAAGAGAGTGAGAGAGAATACGGTTGCTCCGGCTGCCACCTCCCTCCCCCCCTCTGTTAATGCGCGACCTTTTAATGGCGCCCGAGGGCCCTCAGGAGCCATCAGACCCGCGTGTCTCCGGGGGGGGGGGGGGTAAAAATGAGCGGACTCATTCTCAGCGGTGGCGGAGACCTTGCCGGGCGCAAAGCGGCGCTTGTCCACTTTCACATCCGCCTCCACGTTATATCGCAACACGTCTTTCGCTCTATTAATCAGGAGACACTTTTCTCTGCAAGGCATCAAAGGACAGCGGCGCTTTCTGACAACTAATAAATCACAGGGAGCTTCAGCAGCGCACCCTGTCCCCCCGGACCCCCCCCGTCCCCCCCTTCAGAATGAGGGGGCGAGCACATTAACACCTCAGGAGAAAAACATGCACCCCGTACAGTGATCAAATATTCACTGCATACCTTTGGTGGGACTTTGGGCATGTTTAATTCATAGTGGCGTGCAGGCTACCGCCCTCTTGTGCTCCTATGATAGGTGCACGTGTCCGGGCACCTCCCGGACGCTCTAAGATGGTGGAGCCCGCTTCCCTTCGATAAACCCTTTGTGTGAAAAGGGGGGTTTGCGCAAACACACCTGGAGAGGACGGGAGCGCGTGAAGGCCCCGCGAAGAAGACGTCATTAAACTGTGTGAGTGGAAAAAGTTTGCTGTGTGTGTGTGTGTGTGTGTGTGTGTGTGTGTGTGGCTGGAGGGGGAAGCCCTGACTGACATTGATTACGCGTCTGAGCAACGTTGACCCACCGTATGGCTGAGGTTCTGCTTCCCACGGGGCTTACAGGTAGGGGTCTTATCACGGGGAAGAGCGCCTGGCTCCTGATGCGGGCGCCATTTTGGATCACGCCGCGAGGAACTGAGAGAGAGAGAGAGAGAGAGAGCAGCGCACGTGAGTACTCGTGCACACATCGGTCACATGCAACACACACACACACACACACAAACGAGAGGAGCAAACTTCTCCAGAAGCTGGATGAGAGCCTCCGCCGTCCCTCTGAGGGAAAAGCGCCATAAACGAGTTAAAGCCGCCGCCAATCATCGGATCGCCAACGAGCGGCGAGCTGGGCCGCGTGCGGAGGGCGGGACAGCAGGCCGATGTTCCGTAGGTTACTTTCTCCTCTTTTTTCTGCCTCTTTTTGGGGTTTTATCCGAACAAGGCTGCCCTTTAACAGCCGAGCACTTCTGCTCTAAAAGGACTGAAACTGTTAATCAATTATCTAAACACGCTGGTTTTCTGTGAAATAATGATATATAGTTTATTTGTAGCTCTACTTGTCACTTTCACTCCGCTGTCAATCGCCAGACGTCCAGAGACCAACGTCTTCGGTGATCAGGCTTTTCTAACTTTGTAAAACCAAATTAAACAAAGAAACAGACAATAAAGATCCACTCAGCAATGGACAGGAATTATATTTGGAGCGTGAACCTTTTCAAATGAGTTTTCTAACACGGATAACTCCCCATTATAGCTTTTAACATTGGACAACCGAACCCATGGAAGGCTTTCTTCTTATGGTGTAGTGATCCACAAGGGTAGGGTGCATCGGGGTGCCTTTAGGCTATTGAAACCCTCTCCTAGCAACACCCACCAATCCATAATAAACTATTTTCTAAGGTAGTTCACCATTTCTTTTTGTGTCGAAGTGTTTCAGACCCCCCAGACCCGTTTTCACAACCCTGGGAGTAACCACAGGGGAGGTCGCTGCGGTTTTCGCACGGGCGCTTTGTTGCAAATGAGAAGCCCCACCCGCGTTTCCCGCGTTTCCCATGTGTTCCCGGCGCTCTGATTGCAGAGACCCACGCGCCTCCCGTCTTCAGCTGTGGCTTCTGTGTGGGCCGCCGAAGGGTTTCCACAGGTGAAAAGCCGCCGCCGTTCCACCACATTTCTTTTAGAGGGAGGCTCCGGTCTTCAGGGGGAGCCCCGAGCCCCCCCCCCCCCCCCCCCATGGTTTCATGAGGCAACGTGATGGAGCTCCTGCGGCCGTGTCCACAGTAATCTTGTGGACTCCCGTCCGTGTGGCTCTGCCCCGACGTCTCCATAACCTTATAAGTAGGTCCCTGCACACGGGCTCCTCTGTAATCTTGATCACTCGCTGCATGGCTGTGTGTGTGTGTGTGTGTGTGTGTCTGTGGGCACTGCATTAGGCTCCCCCTCCTTCCCCGCTCCAGTCAGGCTTTGGGTTGCCATAGCAACGGCTCCCCTTCCACATGCCACAGAGTGGTAGATCATGCATCAGCAGAGAAAGTGATAGAAAGGCAGAGAGGGAGGGAGGGAGGGAGGGGGAGAAAAGGGGAGGAATGGAAATACCAAGCTCTGTTTGACATGGCCTCTTATAGCTCAGTGACACACTCCTGACCACCGACACACACACACACACACACACGGGCCAGAAGTTCAACGCACCTCTTTGAAAGTGCCCACCGATGGGGGGGCTAGCGGATTAGCCGGATGCTAAGTGGCAGTCCAGCTGAGCCTGTGACTGACATGTGCTCACGTGACATGTAAAGAAGAGCGTGTTTGCATTACTCAGTGCTGGATCGGTGGTGAAGTGACACGATGAATGAAAAAGTGTCGTCGTTGTTGTTGTTGTTGTTGAGCACATTTGCGTTTCGGTCCTGGAATGCAGGAGGTTCTTTTGTGCTTCTCTACTTCACTTCACATGGGTATATTGTGCGTTTTACTCACGTATATATATGTTTACAGCTGGTAACTCTGCTGGTTACCATGGTGATGGTGGGGGAGAAGCCGGATGGCAGGATAATGTACTACAGCTGACAGCCAAACATGTGAAATAAGAGGGCCGTGCTGCACTGTGATATTTGAAGTACAATTTCACCTCTAATACAGTGTATCTATAATATAATATGATAGTAATCAAGTACAGAAGGAAACGTATTGAATATGCAGAAGGATCCCTGTTATTATACATGAGAACAGCAGATTACTGCTGATGCAGAAGGAAGGAAGATGATCCCCCCGCGGGGGCTGCGGGTAAAGACACCCGGGGAGCAGTTAGGGGTCGAATGTCTCAGGGACACTTTGTCTCAGGGAGCAGCCGGGGCTCCGTCTCTACTGCAGGCGCCTCGTTCGCCCCTAAAAGGATGCAATGACAAGAAAAGCAGCATTTCAACAGCTGCTGAAAGCTCAATAGTTGTGGTGGCTTCAGTTTCTGCAGAAGATGAGCCTTGATGTGACTCTGATTCACGGACAGTGTCCACGTGCAAAGCGGGACGTCCTGTGAAGAGCTGCTGCTGGAGTTAAGCCTTTAACAGCTGGTCAGTGGGGGTGTTAACCGGGAAACACTAACAGTGGTTTCTGACTGATGACCCGTGTGGGGGGGAGGGTGGGGGAGGAAGGGGGGGGGGGGGGGCTGCTAGGATTAAGGACACAGCTGGCAGGCATCGGGCCGTGTTCATCCCGAGCTGCTGTGCGCTTCAATTCAGCTCATTTTATTTTATAGAACTAAAGCACACATTGGCCTCCAGGGGCCACGCGGGATGACCCGCCCCCCCCCTTGTCTCTTGGCTGTCCGTCACTACGTCACGCTCCATCATGGCGCTCCGTCCTCTTTCAAACACGTTTTAAAAGTTTCCCTTCACACGTCCAAACCAAGACTCCCTTCCTATCTCCCCCCCCCCCTCCGTCTACCGGCCCGTCCGCTCGCTCGCTCTGGTCTGCGGGGAGTCCATCTTCCCAGGCCCCTTGACCATTACTCCTCCATTATCGGCGGCGATGGAGGGCGCGCCGCAGACGCCTAATGTATCCATTTCCCCCTCCATTTAGGAGCCGGCGGCCCGGCCAGCTCCCCGAGTGCTGCCTGATTGGGATTGAATGTCCATTTAAACTGCTGTCCAGCCACCGGGGAGCAGGAGGAGGATAACGGGAAACCCAGAGAGAAGGAGGTGAACGGGATTGGATGGGAGATGTTCTCCCCCCCCCCCCTCCCCCTCACTGCGTCTCCACGGCTTCTTTGCTCTTAGCTCCCCTCCACCGGCACCGGGCCAAGTGTCAGAACTCGGCACTCGGTATTCTCCAGGTGCGCTTCTGAAGAAGAGAGGGATTTGGAATCGAGACGATTGGAGCTGGCGCGTCCGTGGAGGAGGAGGAGGAGGAGGGAGAAAGGGAGGGAGGGAGGGAGGGAGGGAGGAGGAGGGAGGACATACACACGGTGGAGGTGAAACGGTACCTTGCAGGAGAACTCCTCCGTTCTTTCTGAAGAGGGGATTCCCCGACCACAGCGGAGGACTAGAAAGGAGAGAAAAGTGGTCAAGCGTTGGATGGTGCTGCAGCGCGTCATCGCGAGGCAGAAAGCAAGGCAGCAATTTGAGCCCATAAGCCGGCGCTGCTGATTATAGTGATTAGATTCCCGGGTGTCCCACTGTTGCCATCATTCCCTGTGATTACCTCGGAGAATTACAGCCTCGCCGCTGAAGTCCGTGGGGGTAATTTCTCGTGACAACCCCCCCCCCTCTCCAACCCCCCCCCCCCCCCCTGCCTGCCCGCCACGAGCCCGTTCACTCACACAAAAAAACGCCATCGACGCACACGCATTTAACACGCGGCCGCGCCGAGATCTCTAGTCTAAGCACACACACACACACACACACACGCACACACACACACACACACACACGCACACACACACACACACACGCACACACGCACGCACACGCAGCCCGGGACGCAGTTTAGGTGATCATTGCACCACTAATGAGGGAGGTAATGATGGCATTTCTCAAATAGACGCAGACGTCTTCACTCACACATGTGCACACACAAGAAGACAAAAGACGCCGGTGTGCTGGAGGATGCACGAGAGGGAGACGGGGACGGAAGGGGGGAGAGGGGAGGGGGCAGGGGGGGGGGGGGTGTACGAGCTGGTCCAGGTTCACTGGTCTTTAGCTCCCATTAGAGGACACGTCTCCCCGTGCAGCCATCAGGCCGTCTCACACGCTCACGGGACATCAGGGGACACCTGGGGGGGGGGACACAGCTGCCCAGGTGTCCCCGCCGTGACGTGCTCCTGTTGGGCCTCGTGCTAATCTGCCGGATGAGGGGCGTTCGGACCCCGATGGGGAAGGTGGACTCTCTCTCTCTCTCTCTCGCTCGCTCGAGAAGAATTTCAGCCCGGAGCCACCTGCTGTTGCCATGGAGAGTTGCCACATTGCGTTGCCACGGCGATAACATATTTTTCCTGCACTAACAGCCTGTCTGTTTTCCCTACCACATCTCTCTCTCTCCCTCTCCGTCTGTCCCCCCCTCTCTCTCTTTATCTCTCCCTCTACTACATGTGTTGCCAAGACAACCCTGTGCGTTTAATGTAGTGGGCGAGGGGCTAACAGGCGCTCGCCCTCCCCTCATCTTTCTTTCTCATGGGGGGAGGGAGGGAGGGGGGTGGGGGGGGAGAGAGAAGGTGAGGGCTCCTCCTCAACCTCCTTCAGACACCCTTTCCTTCTTTCATTCGTTCCCTCATCACCCCCTCATCCTCCACCCAGATGCTGATGGAGTGTGAAGGAATGCACCATGGAGCTGACCTCCTACACACACACACACACACACACACACACACTCACCTGCTCTGACTAGCACGGATGCTATCGGATGCGCACACACACACATGCTGAAGCACACTGCGGGTGGGGGTCGGGTGGAGCGCTGTGACTTATTGTGGTCCATGAGAAAGCGAGAGGTGTGAGTGACGGAGTAGAGGACAAAGAGGCACCGTGTCGCCCCCCCCCCCCCCGCCCCGTATGCAGCTTCCTCCCGCCGTCATCGTTGCGTGCTGGAGACGCTCCTCGCCGCGGTGCACTTCATGACGTATGTTCGTTGACCTGCATTACTCAACGTGTAAAAGGGGAACTTTTAATCTCAGACACTTCAGCGTCCCACCGACCGGCTTTAAGCCTCAGCTGTAATCCAGTCCCTCAAACTCAATCTGCCACCTTTTCATAGATGTTCCCTTTACATGCTTGACGGTGGACAAGATTAAACAGAACGTTTACGTCAACTAACTTGTTTATTTGTATATTAAATAGTACATGTGTTCTTCTTCACGGAGGCTTTTTGTCTTTTTGTATATTTCGACATCCGTAACGACGATGAACTGTGATGAGAGCGATGGATTCGTTCCCCTCACTTCTCTCTTTCTCTCCCTCGCGTGTGATTACGATCCAATGCCGTACACGAGCGAGGAGATCGTGGATCCTGACCTTCTGTCCACGGTGCCCCCCAAGTCCAAACCCCTCCACAGGCTCCCATTACACAACCCTTTGCCTCTTGTTGTTCCACTCACGGACATCTTTAGCACAATGTCGCACAGTTACTGACGAGCCCGACGGGCTCGATGTCTTTGGGAACCCATGAAGCCTCACGTTCATCTTCCCTTCCACCTGAGGGGGATGTTACGGCGTGCGGAGTGAAATGCTGCCGCTTGTTCCATCATAGGCGACGCGTGTGTTAATAACAGGAGCGTGTTGCAGAGAATCCGCCTCACGCACTGAGATGGACCTTGGAACAATGAATGGAGACACACACACACACACACACACACATGTGCTGCATCACAAGAGACCTCAAACCAAGAAATCTGACCCCTGACTGACGCTCCAACACGCACACACACACACACACACACACACACACCACCCCTCCCCTCCCGTCTCATGTCCCGAATCTGGCCTCCCATTTGTTCCTCTTCCCCACAGCTCATTGTTCAAAATGACACTTTTACATTTAACGGTGAACCAATTATTCTGTTTTACACAGTCCGCTGCCTCTGCGAGCCAACCTGCTCGGATCGACTGAGGGGGGAGGTGGGGGGGAGGGGGGGGGAGAAAAGAATAAGGAGGACTAATGGGACCTCCTGCCGACATATCCACGGGGAAGGGCAGAGGCGACGGAGAGGCGGAGGTCAGGATGCAGGGCGGAGGAGAGTGAGGGAATGTGGAACAAACAAGGCGGATGCTGTGTGTGTGTGTGTGTGTGTGTGTGTGAGAGGATGACATGAATGAGGATTTAATTGAATGATAGAGAGAGAGAGAGAGAATGAATCACAGTGGGGATAAATAAAGAAGAGCCCCACCAGTAGTGATATATGCCTGGGGATGAAATGGGCATTAACAGAGGAGGCCAGGGAGCGAGAGGAGGGGGATGCTGGGGAGTCGACAAGTGGACATGTGGAGAGGGGGGAAAATAGGCGAGCAGCACTTTTACCTGTGATGTGCCTGAGGGGGGAGGAGAGGAGGAGGAGGAGGAGGGATGGAAGCGCTGCTGCATGAAAAACAGCATGCAGGAGGATTTAAGGAAAGGACGGGCGGGTCAGCTAGACAACGCCCGGGGCCCCACGGGAGGAGGAGGGGGGGGAGAGAGGGAGTCAGAGAGGGGCTTGCACATGTTGTATCTGTACTATGTGCTGCACCTGCAGAATATTTCTACCACTTTATTACGACTAATCAATAAGCCCGTGTGCAGTGATGCACTTTGCACGGGCAGACTGCTTTTCTTTCATTTGATTACGTTCTTACAGAATCTTGACTTTTATCGCTTTATTCTCCAGGATTCACATAAGTCGGATGAACCCTCATTGCATTTCTGTGACAGAAGTGAAGAAGATGTGCTGATTACGAGACATCTTTAAAAAGCAAAGTGGTCCGTGGCAGAGATCACGTTACACAGTAAGCTGTGGAGGAGGATGATGTCATGAGAGACCTGGTCCTGACGATGACGATGATGATGATGATGATGATGAACACAGTGTTCATTGCGCATTATGTCATTGCATCAAACCCCTGTTTTACAGCATGCGCACAGCAACTCATCAATGGAGCAACCCGCCTCTCAGCTGCTGCATCTCTCACCTGTGGTGAAACGTCTGCGGCAGGGTGGGGGGGGAGGTGGAGGGCGTGGCCAGGCCGGGCGAGTAGGGGTGGTACGGCGTCTTCTTCAGCGCCTGGATCAGGTTGTGCCTGTACTCCGGGTCTATGGACCACAGGGAGCCTTTGCCGATGCTCTGCGGGGACAGAGAGGAAGATGAGAGGGAGGTTATTGAGATGCATTGGGGGGTGTTGGGGGGGGGGAGTACACCCACGCGGCGCACCGACGGGAGACAACAGCCCCAGCACGCGGGACTCTTCTCCTCCGGCGGACCCGCCGTGGGCTCCGGCAGCCATGGGCCGACTCCCGGGGAGGAATCGCAGCGGAAGCTTCCCGCCATTTTCCCAACACTTGGGTGAAAAAACGCACGGAATCTCTTTAACTTTTCTCAGCTCCAGAGGCGATGGTGGTGCGTATTTTTAGATCAAAGCACACCCCTCCCCCCTCCCCCCCCCCCCCCCCACTCGCCTAATGAAGCTGTCGGCTCCCAACCTGAGTGAAACCAGCCTATGGATTATAGAGGAGGGATCTCAGACAGAATACTTCTCCGTCTCCGTCTCCATCAAACCTGCAGTTTGTGTTCAGCAGGGACGGAGGGGGGGGGGGGGGGGCTACAGGGCGGGGAGATGTCGGGAGGAATCTATTCAGAGGGAAACGTCCGGAGACGGATTCTAAAAGCTGAAGAAGATGAGGAGCACACCAGGACCAACTCACGTCCCGGCTGCTGTGGTCTGAACTAAACACAGTCTACACATACACAGTGCAGGAGAGTAGTGGAGGCGTTTTGTAGTAAAGGCACCAGCGGATCACAAGTCAAGAAAAACTAATTACAACAATGTATAAAAAAGACGTGATTGAGTGTGTGCTCCAATTTCCATTTGCTTAGTAAATAAAGGATTATTACATCTTATGTTATTTTACAACGCAAAAGCCTTTCTATATTTTTATTACATTTCTTACACTCAAGTTCATTTTGCGTGAAAATCTTTAATATTCCCAGCAGCAATCACAGGCATCAATACATATCTGATGTTAAAACGGGGACTAAAGGAGTTTTTGCATCCCTGAGGAATAAAACCAGGCATCATATTATCCCATCAAATAAAAACCGATAATGCACAGCAGCTCGCCATGTGCCAGCCGTCGTTTCTGTACCGCAGCCCGTAGGAAATGCTCCCCAGCCAAACGACTGTCGCGTACATCTCTCTGAGCGTTCTAAATTCCATCAGTGCTAACGAGCGATGGCGGCGCTGAGCCTCTCCGGACGTCCAACCGCTCCCTGCACCACGTGACCTTGGAGGGACGCGAGGAGCTCGCAGGGCGGGCGTGTGCGTGCTGCTGATGCGGTTTGAGTCTGGCTCTTTGCGTTAGCACGTGAGCGGTGTTGAACGAGGGCCATATGTGCCGCGTGTGTGTGTGTGTGTGCGCGACTCCCCTGGGGAGTGTGATATGGCCCAGCGTGGTCTGCTCCTGGGAGCGCTTCTATTACCGCCAGCAACGCCTCTCCTGGAGAGCACGATATTACACACACATGCGCTCGCTCCCACAGAGGTGACCCCCCACTGGGCCAAATTTCCCCTCACACCCGCCAGCCGAGCGCGCTGTGTGTGTGTGTGTGTGTGTGTGTGTGTGTGTGTGCCTACTGTCTGCCCGCTTGCCAGCCGATTAAATCGATGCTCTCGGTAGAATCAGTCTGCTGGATCCCCTGCTTCCGCCAGCCAACCACGACGCTCAATGCGTATACCCCCCCCCCTCTCCCCCGCTCGATAGGCCAATCGCCGGGCGCCGCTCGCAGGAAGGGTCCGTCGCCTGGGTTAGTGCGGTCGCCTTGGCAACAGGCATCATCTGGGCTTTGATGCAGGGAGGAGGTGAAACACACTTTCAATTTTCTGGCAAATTCGCAAAGTTGAGAGAACAGATAAAAGTGTTCGAGGCCAGAGATTTGCTTTAAGTTCGCAGAGGATGTGACAGCGTGGAAGCCGGTGCTTGGGGAGTCTCTCCGTCCTCTGGTCCCACCTGGTCTCGCGTGCTTCCTGGGTGATGTGTTTATTGGCGTTGCCTCGTGCGTGCTCAGAAATAGTCACACATGTGTAGGGTTCCAGCAGCTAAAGAGCAGGATTACACAACAAGTAATCCACAACTGGAAACGTTAACCCCTTCCCTCAGCCGGGGGGGGGGGGGCACTGGTACTTTGTCAGACTTCACATTGAGAGTTTAGGCAACATTACACGTAGTGTAAATTGGTTTAATCATATGAAGGCTGTGTGTGTCACTACGCCGGCGCGTAGTGGTAGCGTTTTTAAAAAGCAGCAGTTGTGATGCTGTTGTGTTAGAAAACTGCACAATACTGCGCAGAGGGACGATATCGTGATGACGGAGTCATGTGAGCGGGACGCGGCACGGTTTGACCGCCGGGCGAAAAGGGGAAGAAAGGGAAGACAAAGGCAGCAGGAGAGGAGGGAGAGGGAGGATGATTGCAGTTGCCAACATCTGTTTCCTGTGTTATATAAGCTGAGGGGGCCGGTCTCCCTTGGAAACGGGAGATATTAAAAAAGTCCTGCTGTCACTGACCTGGTAGTAACACTACTGCTGCTACTGCGTTACAACGTTCATTTACCGCTCACACACACATCAGGACATGATATTATTTTAGACACACAAACGCATCACCGGTAGAGGGATGGGACTATCCTCATGTTGAGTCTCTATCATCAGAAAGCTGCTAGAGAAGTGCAGGTTAACCAGCGTAACTAACCCGGTCTGTGTGCACTGGTGAATGTTTTCCGTTTGATTTCTTCATTTCGTTGCGCATTTCCTGTTTAGAGTTTGATGGTTTATGTAATTTAGTTAAGTTAAAACCGATTTAGCAGACCTCTCTCTCTCTCTCTCTCTCTGCGCAAAGCGGTTTGAATGAACGACAACAATAAACAACAATGAAAAACAATAAACAACACTTTAATGTCGCGAGCTCCATTCAGTGATTAAACTGAAGCTTTTAACGTAGCGACTTTGAACGCTGCGCGCTCCGCTGGAAACACGCAACTTTTCATCGGCATGAAACGGCAAATAATCAAACTAGTGCATGAAGCTGTTGTAGCCTCTAGTCTATGTTATTCATGTAATAGTCATTCAGTAGTCACGTCACATTCACTGTGACGCGCGACCGTGACGCGCGTCACGGTCGCGCGTCACGGTCGCGCGTCACGGTCGCGGTCGCCACAGCAACAGTCGAATTCGAATATAGAATGTTAGTTATAGGGAAGAACAGTCAGACGAGAGAAGCGGGAGACGAGAGCAGCGGGAGACGAGAGCAGCAGGAGACGAGATCAACGTGGGACGCACCATCGGAGAGGATCAACGTGGGACGAGATCAACGTGGGACGCACCATCGGAGAGGATCAACGTGGGACGAGATCAACGTGGGACGCACCATCGGAGAAGAACGACGTGGGACGAGATCAACGTGGGACGCACCATCGGAGAAGAACGACGTGGGACGAGATCAACGTGGGACGCACCATCGGAGAAGAACGACGTGGGACGAGATCAACGTGGGACGAACCATCGGAGAGGAACGACGTGGGACGAGATCAACGTGGGACGCACCATCGGAGAGGAACGACGTGGGACGAGATCAACGTGGGACGCACCATCGGAGAAGAACGACGTGGGACGAGATCAACGTGGGACGCACCATCGGAGAAGAACGACGTGGGACGAGATCAACGTGGGACGCACCATCAGAGAGGATCAACGTGGGACGCACCATCGGAGAAGAACGACGTGGGACGAAATCAACGTGGGACGCACCATCGGAGAGGATCAACGTGGGACGAGATCAACGTGGGACGCACCATCGGAGAAGAACGACGTGGGACGAGATCAACGTGGGACGCACCATCGGAGAAGAACGACGTGGGACGAGATCAACGTGGGACGCACCATCGGAGAGGAACGACGTGGGACGAGATCAACGTGGGACGCACCATCGGAGAAGAACGACGTGGGACGAGATCAACGTGGGACGCACCATCGGAGAAGAACGACGTGGGACGAGATCAACGTGGGACGCACCATCGGAGAAGAACGACGTGGGACGAGATCAACGTGGGACGCACCATCGGAGAGGATCAACGTGGGACGAGATCAACGTGGGACGCACCATCGGAGAAGAACGACGTGGGACGAGATCAACGTGGGACGCACCATCGGAGAGGAACGACGTGGGACGAGATCAACGTGGGACGCACCATCGGAGAGGAACGACGTGGGACGAAATCAACGTGGGACGCACCATCGGAGAGGATCAACGTGGGACGAGATCAACGTGGGACGCACCATCGGAGAAGAACGACGTGGGACGAGATCAACGTGGGACGCACCATCGGAGAAGAACGACGTGGGACGAGATCAACGTGGGACGCACCATCGGAGAAGAACGACGTGGGACGAGATCAACGTGGGACGCACCATCGGAGAGGATCGACGTGGGACGAGATCAACGTGGGACGCACCATCGGAGAAGAACGACGTGGGACGAGATCAACGTGGGACGCACCATCGGAGAGGATCAACGTGGGACGAGATCAACGTGGGACGCACCATCGGAGAAGAACGACGTGGGACGAGATCAACGTGGGACGCACCATCGGAGAGGAACGACGTGGGACGAGATCAACGTGGGACGCACCATCGGAGAGGATCAACGTGGGACGAGATCAACGTGGGACGCACCATCGGAGAAGAACGACGTGGGACGAGATCAACGTGGGACGCACCATCGGAGAGGAACGACGTGGGACGAGATCAACGTGGGACGCACCATCGGAGAAGAACGACGTGGGACGAGATCAACGTGGGACGCACCATCGGAGAAGAACGACGTGGGACGAGATCAACGTGGGACGCACCATCGGAGAAGAACGACGTGGGACGAGATCAACGTGGGACGCACCATCGGAGAAGAACGACGTGGGACGAGATCCACGTGGGACGCACCATCGGAGAAGAACGACGTGGGACGGAATCAACGTGGGACGCACCATCGGAGAAGATCAACGTGGGACGCACCATCGGAGAGGAACGACGTGGGACGAGATCAACGTGGGACGCACCATCGGAGAGGAACACTAGATTGTATTTTAACTGTATTGTAACTATTGTAACTATTGTATTGTATTGTAACTGTATTCCTTATCACTTTGTTTAAAATAAATACTTTAATGAATTTAAAAGTTGACTCTTTTGATTCTTCGTTTCGAGAACAAAGGAGTGAGGCCTCATTCGAGGGCTTTTCGAACCCTTAACAAATGAAGGATATTCACAGACGGACGGACTGGTCTTACGTGCTACTGGTTCTTTAACCTACTCGCCTTCGTCTACGCGTGCGCTCGCAAACATGTTGCTGAAAAATGTTCAAAAGTCATCACGTCCTTTGCAGCGATTACGATTGTATAAGTGAGCACTACTTCACTGCCACGTCTGAAGAAATACATTGAAGAATATATATTCACTAAGATCGCCTCGACGCCTGTCAAACATGTCGCACACTCCTTTGCTGTTTTCTAAACTTGTCATTAAATTGTACATCGTCAACGGCTAGAAAACGTTTCGGTTCAGAGCGAGACGAAGACACCTGGTTTTTGGTGGCGTGTCGTGGAATTTGATTAGAATAAGAAGAATAATCTTTTCAATCAACGACTAAAGTATAACAGATGTTATTGGGCAGCTTCAAATAGCTTCATGGAAATGAACAGTGGCATCGATATCCAATTTAAACCGTACGGAGCATCGCGCTGTCACTCCGGACGGCGTCACCGCAAGACGCCTTGTTGTTCAGAGCATGAGCAACATGACCCACCAATCAGAAGTATCAGTAATCATCATCAATTGTTAATATCAATGTTCATTCAGCGGAAGTTGGATTGGTCCTCGCCAAAGGCCGTTGGACAACACCGACACTCCACGTCGGTTGGACACCGGGACATTTTTGCCTTCACATACAGAACGTTATGGCGCAAATGAGCATTTGGAAATGTCTTCTGTAAGCAAACCTTCTGGTTTCAGTTTAAGCTGCAGCGGGGCCCAGTTTGTGCTTATATTCTTCTCATTAACTTTCACTATCCAGCCATCAGAGACACTCCAAAAACACACAAACTTTACCGCCACTGAAAGGCAATAAAAATAGTCCATCTGGTCAGTACATTTTTACCCAATCTGACAATTAACCTGAAGTAAACTTCCCATCTGCGACTAGAATACAAGCAGAGAGTTTCAGGTGTGAAACCACTGATTAGATGAGCAGACTGTGATATGTGGTCACTATGTGGTTTGTTACAATCTGCGCTTTCCTCAGTGGACGCGACCCTAAACGGAGTGAAACATGGGGAAACATGCTGCTCATCCCCCATGTGGCCTTTGTGCTCCTTGATGGACCTTAAGTCAAGGAGCTGAAGGACGCTGCAGAGCTTGGTCGCCATGACGGAGACGTCTCATTTTGAACCCGGTCGATGAAACCGTTTCCATTCAGAAACGGTTGATTGATTAACCTGCCAATTAAGTGCACGAAAAATGAAACCCGTCAGCGCGTGGCGTTGTTCCACGCGCACGCTTTAAAACCTGCGGAAACCTCACGCCTGGTTTGAGAGGAGCCGGTTCAACGGTATTTTCTCCCTCAGACGCCTCTGTGGCGGCGGCCAACCGAGCGCACATCTGAGCTCGCTCCAGACGCGCCGAGTCAGAGGGGGAGGAGAATCAAGGGCGCTCTCATCGGAGGTCAGGTTAAAGGTGACGCACGCCCAGAGACCTCATGCTGGGCCTCAGATTACAAATCGGCCTGTTGTCTCTGCCGTGATTTCACAAGAGGCAACGTGTGTGTGTGTGTGTGTGTGTGTGTGTGTGTGTGTGTGTATCTGCTGTTGCAACACTGATGCTGATCCAGAAGTCTGAGGGCAACAGCACATGTCATTCCAGCGCGGCGAAGAATCCTGTTTGTAAACAACGCCATGGCAACGGTGGGCCGACCGCGCTCTCACGCTCTCCGACACGGGATCGCAACCGCCGCACGCACACGCGCGCACGCACGCCCGCCGACGGGCGGCCTTATTCTAAACTGGTCCCCCGTCTGCCTGCGACCCAGAAATACAGCCGCTGGAGCAAACGGGCCGCCGTCGTATTAATCTCCACCTCCGTAAATTGATGGGAACATGACTTGGTGCGTCTCCCCCTCCCCTCCCCCGCCGTGGGTGTCTCACAGCCATCATTTGACCTCCCCTCAAGCAGAGCCCCCTCGTCCCCGTCCTCCGCCGCGGCGAGCGCGATGCACCCGCGGGGGGAGAGAGAAGAGGAGGAGGCGGCGTGTTCGCCTGCGGATCTCAGCGGAAAAGACTGAAATGACGGAGATTCTGTAATTGCTGCTTCAGATGAAGCGCGGCGCTTGGCAGGTAGAGCGGCAGTCTGCAGAGACGTGCCCTCATTTCCACACCGACACGTGTGTGTGCGTGTGTGCGTGTGTGCATTCCTGCACGCTGCACAGTGTGTGTTTGTGCACTTCTTTGTTTGTGTGTGCGCGGCATCCCCTGTGTGTGTGTTTTGAGGTGTGTGTGTGCGCGCGAGAGAGAAAGAGGGGGGGGGAATAGGTTTGAAGGGTTAATTAGCGCGCTGTCTTAAACGGTGTGCAGTGACAGGAAGACAAGACATGCTGTCCTTGCCAAAATCACACACACACACACACACACACACACACACACACGCACACAGACATGTGCATTTAACACATGACAAGGACGTACACTTAATTCTCCCCCACTCAGAACCTCGGTGCTCAGACACACAAACACACACACGCCCAAGTCAGTAAAAGCCAAATCAGTTTTGCCGTTGCTACAGCAACAGCATACTTTATGTCAACTGCCACCCTAGGTCACTATGGAGGATACGTATCAAGGAGAAACTGTGCCGTTGTAGTCAAGGCCAAGATGACAGCATAGCGTGAGGGTGTGTGCACAAACACACACACACACACACACACACACCATGTCCTCTTCCCTCTTTCGACCATTTTGTTCCTCAACACACACACACACACACACACACACACACTGGTCTTGGAGAGCAAACAGCGCTCCAGGATCCTCCAGTATAATCTTTATAAACCAAACAGCACACGCCGGCATTGATGGTGGCTGTTTGTCCCTCGGCCCCCCCCAGCACCTCCCGGGCGAGATGAGATCTAAAGTCTGCTGGCATCCGTGTTATTACATCCTCCCGTATTAATTCAGCGCTAATTGAGTGAGGGATTCATCCCCGTTTACCCCGAGTATTTAATGGAGTAAAATGCGGATGGGAAAGCCGGTCCGCAGACGGCATCCAGGCTGGAATCAAAGGAGAAACGCTGCTCCCGCCGGGGAAGAACGAGCGCAGGAGAACTATGAAAGCAGAGATCATCAACTATTGATGAAGCCGAATCTGCTACAGTTGTAGACAAAATACAGAATATGTTCGACTTCAAGTTGGATATGCCTGCAAACGGCTGATAAGCGTCTGGCGGTGGAGCAGGTCAGAACCACACATGAAGGAGCGAGTAGCGCGCTGCGGTCACCGCGTGATGAAGACGTTTTACAATACGCGTTCGGAATGGGGTCACTGAGAAGTGGTTTGGATCTGGCGTTAAATTAGGCAAATATATATTGGGAAATGATGATGCTATGATATTTAAAGGATGAGACATTTTAGTTTGCTATATGATATCAATGTGGCACAAAAACAGATCTGTGTGAGATAGTAGATCATTGAAACCAATTAATAATGAAGTTTTCGATGACCTTCCTGTTATTTTGTGGGAAATGCTCCGAACTTTGTTCGTTGTTAACACAGATATAAGGCTGCAGTACAGGAACGGTCCTGATGTCACACATCCAAAGTGTGTGAAACCAACAGCGTCAGCAGCAGACTCAAGAGACCTGCTGAATACAAACAGAGGGGCGTTACTGCCGTGTTACCTGCACAAAGTACGACGACTGCTGCACGAGGAGGTGACATCATGCAAGACGTCCACAGCCAATGTTAACAAAGGGGGAATCAAACGAGTTAACGGGAAATTACAGTCACACGGGACCATTTGAATCATGAAGTGGGATTTATTGCTTCAAAGTAATAAAGAAGAAGTGAGGTTGCATGATTCCCCTACAGCTCCGGCCTACTATGAACTGCAGATTCCAAATAGGAGAAAGTTGGTTCTCCCGAATACAAGACACCGTAGAACCAATCAGATCAGTGCGGTTCTTCCCGCGTGAGGCTCATTGACGGACACAATGTACAGCGTGACTCTAGAAACCGGTTTTCCAACAGCGGACTGATGATCCTAAAAAACAAAGCCCTCTCTCTTCATAAGTTAATACAATACGGCCTTTTCATACAAGGAACAATATTAGGAACCCTGACGTATGGGAAGCACTCTGTGGGGATAACGGAGTGAACGTCTGCAGCCTGCCCTTGGATGCACTCAGGTCAAAAGACACCTCGTGTCTGAAGCGAATCCCTCCCGTTGCTGATTAAGCCGAGAAATGTTTTCAATGCAACAAACAGGGAAGCGAAGAAGAACCACAATCGGGTGCGTTTGGATACATTCGTGAGAGTAAAAGTCTTTACCTGGCTCCGGTCCTTATCCACCTTCTTGAAGCACTTGTTGAGCGACAGATTGTGGCGCACTGAGTTCTTCCAGCCGGTGGGGGCGCTGGAAAAGTACGGGAAGTGCTCCAGGATCCAGCCGTAGATGTCCTTCACCGGCAGCCGCTTGTTGGGCGCGTCCTCGATGGCCATGAAGATGAGGCAGCTGAAGGAGTAGGGCGGTTTCCTGTTGGCGCCCGCCGCCAGGTCGTACGCCGAGTGCGCGTCGGCCAGCAGGGGGTCGTCCAGCGAGGGAGACGAGGACGAGGGCGAGCGGGGGTGCTGGCTGTCGGGGTCCTGCAGGGGGGACACGCTACGCAGCCCCGAGTGGCTGAAGCTGTTGAGGAGGTCGGTGCTCTCGTGGAGCCAGGAGAGGCTGGTGAGCTCCTCGTCCTCGGCCTTGGAGAAGGAGGCGGACAGGGACAGGGAGAGGTCCGCCGCCTCCGCCTCCGCCGCTGCCGTGGCGGCGTCCCCCTGCCGATACGGCGGGCTCATGCCCTGCGAGGCGCTGGCTCCACTGCTGGGGCTCTGGGCCTTCTTGCTGGGGGGCATGGTGGGTCCCATCCAGCCCAGGGCTAGCTCCTGGAGAGACAGACAGCAGAGGGAGGAGACAGGAGGAGGAGCCAGAGGGCAAGGGGGGACGGGGGGGACGGAGAGACAGACGTGGGAAAGGAAGAGGAAAGAAACAAGGTCAGCTTGTAAAGTGGAATCAGCTTAATTGTCGTTGAAGGCCAAAGGGTTGGAGACACGCGGCAACATTTTCACCGCAAACATCAGCACTTTCTCTTCTGACTGAAGCGGCCAATCGAGTGATTCACCGGCGGAGAAAACGCACACGTTCGTTTGCACGAACACGTAAATCCGGGAAGCCAGGCCTGAAAAACAGCTGGGGGGGGGGGGGGGGGCAGAGGGCAGCGCCTCCGGGACGCGGCGGAGATTAAACCCGGATACGTGGTTGGCCCCCTGTGACGGGCGCTCTAATCCAAGGTGATCATCGGCCCCCGTCTGTCCCCTCACTCTGCCTGATTGACTGACAGCTGTCACCCGTGGCAACCCGCGGCGCCGCGAGCGAGCTGTGCGTTGTCACCATGGCAACAGGACAAAACAACTCTGCTCCTCCCCGATCTCCTCCCCCCCCCCCGTCCCACTGCGTCTGTCTTTCCTCCACCTTATCTACTGGCGATATCTCCACGCAACACTGCTGATGTAGAGGATGCAGAGGAAGGACTGGGCTAAATATAGAGATGTGATGTAACACGGAAGCTGCTCTGCGTGTGGATGGCCGGCCTGTTCAGTCCTCCCCCCCCATCCCGCCCTGCTCTCTCCTCCTTTCATCCTCCCCTCGCCTCTTCTTCTACTTTCTGACAGCACCAGCGCTCATTCAACAAGCTGTACCTGTCTGCGGGAAGGTGGCGGTTGTTGCTGCACCGATGTTGACGTTGAGCGTAATGAATTGAAATTGCACCCCGGTGACAACAGCGGCGTCGCTGAAAATAGAGCGCGCATAATCAAAGGGATGGGCGAGGCGGGAGGGGGGGGGGGGGCTCTGACGGGCTTCTGTTCCTGGTAGGAGTCCACCGGAATGCAGCGATGGCTCCGATGCTCCCCCCCCTCCCCTCTCTCTCTCCCCCCCCCCCCCTCTCTCTCTCTCCACCTCCTCGTCCTCCGCCTTGTTATGTTGCCATGGCGGCAAGGGGGCCATGAAACATTACGGCTGACAGTAAAGTCCTCTCATTTTACTGTTGCTATGACAACGAACTCCTCACTGTTGGCTGGGGCCCGGCGCGAGCTGCCGCCCGAGCCTCGTGCCGGAGTGTGTGTGTGTGTGTGTGTGTGTGTGTCTCCCGTGGGCTCTCACAAAGCTCCACACATTTGCTCAGCTCTAAAACAAACTTTCATGCAACTTCTCCAGCGCCGCCCCCCCCCCCAGGACCAACTTGTGAAAAGGACAAAGACAGATAGCGCTCAAGCTCAGACTAAATGTTGCCGGCCGTGTGTGTGTTTGTGTGCGTCCTAACATTTGTTTGACAGATGGGACTGTGCCGTTCCCGCTGTCGTCTTCCTTCTCTGGATCTCTTTGGCGTTTGTGAGCGCTTTGGCTCGGCGTGCGCGTTGTGAGCACACTGTGTGACTATGTGCCTGCAGGTACGCGCCTCCATCCCGCTGCATGTGTGTGTGTGTGTGTGTGTGTGTCTCCGGCACCACAGCGCCTCTGTTTGCGCTATAATAACATGGACTTAAAAAAGACACCACTCAATTAGAGCACAAAGGCGGTCCCCGTCTGGAGATCGGTGTTAAACAAGTCGCATTGTTTTACTATGCCCACCATGAATGCAGGTCTCATAAGGCTCTGGCAGGTAACAGAGACGGGATATTACCATGGCGACGGCGTGGGACGTTTAGACTCACGGCCCTCTACTCAGCGGCATTATTACAGACGACAGCGGAGAATTATATTCTCACAGTGTTGAAAAGTGTTATGGAGCCAAAGCCTCGCTCGCCTTCTGCTTTCTGTTTTCGCTCTGTGAGATTGCATTATCATACTTTATCAATCACGGCGAAGGAGTAATTCTGGCACATTGTGTATTTGACTTTGAGCTGACGAGTAGTTTCCCGCCCCCCCCTCGAGCTTTTGACCACCATCTCCTGGTCTCAGATGGTGTTTGCGAAGCGGAGATGGACGTGATGACGTGCACACTGAGCAGCTCTTGGGTCTGAAAGGTAAAGGAATAAGTTGGGAAATACACGTAGATGAGCGGATCCATACCAATCACTCGTAGTGTGTGTGTGTGTGTGTACTGTGTGGATCCACCACTAGCAGTCTCCATTGGTTGCCTAGCAACTTCACAATTAGGACAAGACAGCGAGCGACTGCACCCAACTAAGAAATAGTCTGTGTATATTCATGTATATGAACCTTTTTTACCTCACAGACCGGTCAAGAAGGTCCTGCAGAATAACGGGGGGGGTTGTTTGCAGGCGGACCGACCGACGGGGGGAAACTGCCGTGCACGGTAAGAGGACGATTGTAGACGTGAAGAAAAGCGCTTGGTGGCGCTTGGGAAAGATGTCAAGAGGGACGAGTGCACATAATTAGGAGACAATCCGGTCAATTTTCAAAATAAAACATTTTTCAGAAGAAAAAAAATATATGTATTCTTTCTGTGCTGTGGTCCGGTACCAAATGGCCCACCCACCGGTACCGGTCGGCGGCCCGGTGGTTTGGGGACCACGGTGCTACATGACCCCCCCCCCTTTAAAAGCACAACCTGTCAGATGAACCCTTTTGATTGATGGCTTCAGAGGTCCTGGTGGCAAATGAAGTCCCCTCTGAGAGAAGCAGGCCAGTCCTGATGCTAAGCTAAGATAACCGTCTCCTGGCTCGAGCTCATTCTCATTCTTACTGAAAATAGGAGCGTGTGTGTAGTAAAATCCTAAAGGAGTTTAGCTTTAATAACCGAGCAAACTCAATGCCACGATGGAGGCCTCGTGGGTTCTAGGAAATACTACGCAGGGCACCTTGGGTATAAATGGTTTCTGTCACCACCACAAGGTCAAGAATGACCTCCTGTTAATTATACAATATATGTGATATAATATGACCTTTTTCTACAGGAGTGCTTTCTCCTTAGAATCATTAAAGGACATATCACAGTCAACCACGACTATCACGGTATATCAGTTTGACTAAAGTCCCATTTTTGAGGTAGTAAAAGCGTATTTGCCTGCAAATCAATTAATTAGAACATATTTTGGGCTCATTTTGCCAGAAGATGGTTTGCCTCTGCATGTCTGAATAGATATTGACGGATCTAACGGTCCTGGACTCCGTGCGCTGCTCGGTTACCGTCATACTGAGCCGCAGGTAACAATAGTGCCGCCGTTGAAAGCAAACACTTTTTTCCGATCAATACATCCCGCTGTAGTCTGCATGGAAGAGGGAAGGGGGACGGCGTTCGGCTGCGAACACTCAACGTGACGCAACCGCAGAGTAGAAGCCGGCAATCGGCATCCGAAAAGTTAGCCGAGCCGCTGGTCCCGCCCTCGGGCACAACAGCGAACACAGCGACTCGCCGGCCAGTTGGCCAGCCAGCGGTCAACAGCTGTTCGGGTGGCCGGCGGTCCTTGAATTAATGTGTTAACTCTCCCCCCCAAAAATACAAGAATACCGCCAGAATCGTACAAAATACAGCGATATGAAGTGTTGGCCATCATTTGAATGCAATAATCAAACACGACCCGGATGCGCTGGTGACGGGCTTTCTGCAGTGCCTTCACGCTCTGCCCCCCGGGGGGGATGGAAGCTCGGGACATGTTGCTGCGTGTCCTCGCTCCCCGGTCAGCCTCCACTGTGCAGCCCAATAAAGCCGGTGGCATGAAAATAATCCTGCCAGCCCAGAACGGAGGAGTAATGGTGGTGTAGGAGATAGCGGCGATGAATGCAACAGTAGCTGGTCGGAGTTATTACTCTGCAGGAGCCGAACCTCGTGGCTCCTCTGGCCCCCCCGTGATAAAGCGAAGCGAGAGATGCACCGAGGCAAAACTAATCTGGGGGTTTGATGACAAAAGGACGACCTTTATACCTCCTACACACTGGCTGGGTGGATGGAAGGGGAGAGGAAGACCAACAGAGAGAAGTGGAAAATAATAACTTCTGCTACATATATGTCAACGGCGGCTGTGATGTTCTCCGTTTTCAACCCATGAAATTGTTTCCCCCTTCTGTATTTCCTGCTCTTCCCCGGTGACAAATGTCAGGATTCCAGGGGGCTTTAAGTGAGCCGAGCAGGACCAATCACATCCAACGAGGTCCGACCGTGTCTCCCTTTTACATCATCCACAGCAGTGAAGAGTTATGGGGGAGAGGTCGGGGGGGTCAGGGTGTCCCAGAGGACTGCTCCTGACCCCCCTGACCCCTGGGCCCTGGCTGCCGGGCCACTCGGGTCTCACACGCACGTAGACAAACACAGGCCTCCTCTGAGGACGGACTCGGTCCGAGCGACACGCTTTGTGCTCCGAGCGTCGTGATGTGAGCTGATGTCATGGTCCATGAACAAGCCTCTCATTCTGCACGCTAGAAGAACCTTTATCTCAGACTATTGCAATTGGATTCTCTGCCCAAATGATGGTCTGCATGCATGTTATTATTCACCCGTATTACTATGAAATACTTTAAAGTTGTTATTGGAATCTGTTTGCACAGTGACACAAAATTCAAATGATTTGGGAAGAAATCGTTGTATTTTTTAATCAAATATTAGGCGTGATTAAAATAATTTAGTCATTAGTAGTTTTAATGACGTATAATCTGCTCAGCATGTTCAGCTCACAACTCATCTCGAATATCGATTTTATATTACTGTGAAAACATCTCTTTCAATCACCTGGATTTGTACGTTTGATGTGATTACATAACATGGAGACAATTGTCACTTTCACCGAGTCGAGCTTGAACGCATCATAGCGCACGTGGATGGAACGCGTGGTGACTTTAGCCGTTATCTACGCCATTAGCACGACTGTGCTAGTAAGTAAGTTATTTTGATGCTATTTAGCAGGGTTAGCTATTCAGCTAGTTGCTG